TGAACCCCATCCCTTCTACCACACTGCCGTCGACTCATAGCCCCGGAAACTCACAGCCACTAATGAGAAATGCGACGGCTTAACCACCCACACAACCTGACATGGACTTCATTAGGGTAGCCTACCCCGAGTCCGAGGGAGTGATCAATTCCCTCCTTCTGCTTTCAAATGAAGCAGGTACAATTCTTTTACAATATACTTACTTAAAACGCTCCCACTCCGTAGATTCCTGGCCAGGAAATTGTTCAGACCACCTTTCCTGCACCGCAGGGTTCTTGGACTCGATCAGAGCACTGTGCACTGGGGGCCCACAGGGTTATCGCGGCTGTCTCCGGAGATGTATCTCCGTGGCGCCTGGAGAATGTTCAGGAGCGACCTCCCAATGGTCCCGAGGGGTTGAAACGGTCCTCAGCGAAATATCGCCTTGCACCTAGTCCCGGCGGTGTCGCCAGCTGTTGTAGACAAAATAACGGACTGGGCAAGCTCTTCAATGCAGGAAAGTTTTATTTGCGCAAGGTTCAAACAGTCCAAAGACAGCTAAGGGTCTGAACGCCGATGGCTTCTTCTGGCCATGTATTTATACAGTTTAAAGGCAAAATTATTACAGAGAGTGATGCATTTCACACGTAGAAGCTACCCTTTAATCTATCTCTAGGAAAGACATAACAGCCCTGTTCCCACAGGCTCAGGTTTTCAGCTCCGGAGCTCAAGACATAACAAAAGGAGATAAGAGGCTAGAAGACGCCTCACAAGCAGTAAAGAGGACAGTAAGGGAAACAGTATTTTCTCTCTGAAATCTACATGACATTTGGGGTACAATAAACATTAAACAACAGAATGTATCTGTTTAGGGTCAGTTTGCCCTTTTACAATTCTGTACCTACGTCAAATACCGTTTGTCATCTCAGCACCTTGGCACGGGAGAGGCACTTCTGTCTTGACCAAAGATTTGGATTTCTAATATTTGAGTTTTATCCCAATATCGAATCTTAGCTGGCTCAAGGCGGTAGCTTTTGCTGTGTCCACTCCCTAGCTCGCTCGCATCTCACCAATCCCACTTTGTCAACAGGGCGCATGAGCTCAGAATGGAGATCAGTGAGGTGGGGGTGGGGCTGCAAGGCACAAGTCTGCCTTAAATCCAGGGAAGGGACTGCAGCCTCGGGGTTCCGTCTGAAGGAGCTGCACCACTTGGGCAGCGCCCCAAAAATTACTGTGGAGCTGCTGCCTCACAGGAAAGGGTGGGCACTGCTCTCCCTGCCAAACAGCCCCAGTGAAGGAGGCACATCATTGGGGTCTCTATCCCTGCCAGCCCTTGGGTGACAACTCCGCCGCCACTCAGCAGATCCATGCAGCCTGAAGGACGTGAAGAGGCCAGTTAGAAAGGCGTGTTCCTTTCGCGCACCACCGAGGCTATCAGCAGATCCCCATCAGAGCCCTGGCTACCCAGCCCAGCAGAGATGAGGGGGGGGGGGAACGCAATCCCGGCTTTCCCCACTCACAGTGGCTGCAGTCTAATGGACCTGCGCAACCTTAAGAGGTTGAAGAAAAAAATGCTTTTAGAAGCCTCTGACGATCCAGCTGAGCCGCACAATCATCAGATACTTTTTTTTTTACTTTTAAAAGCAATTTTTTGGCCGAAGAGGTTGTAGAAAAAATGCTTTTAAAAGAGAAAAAAAAAGCCTCTGATGATCACGGGGCAGGGTAGGGCAGGGGGCGGGGCTAAATCCCACCACTGCATGGGCTGGATACATTGTGTCAGCGGGCCGTACCTAGCCCGCGGGCCGTAGTTTGAGGACCCCTGATCTAGATAAATTCAATCAAAGGATTTGTAAACCTTAAATTTTGATTTTGATTTTACCCAAAAATTTTGCCAGAGTTGCTAATAATAAGCATAATTTTTGAAGAAGAAGAAGGAATGTCCAAGTAACAGATCAACAGACTACATAAAATCAGTGTAGATCTTCTGGTGGGTAACCGGCTGGAGATTAAAAAAGGATTGTTGGTAGTTAGCATTTTTCTTCTGGTTTAATACATTCCAGTTTATAATTATAAAGAGGACTGCACTATATATTTTGAACTGGAATAATCATTAAATAAAGGGCTGTTTTTGTAAAGATGGATAAAAAAATTAAATGGAAATATATAACTCAGAATTTCTTATTAGGTTTATTGCAATAACATTGTCTGTAACTAGTATTTACACAATCAAGTTAAATCAAACTTTCAAATCAACATAAGATATCAACAGTCAAATCTCACCACTAAATTTATAATGTGAAATTAGGCTCTTAGATGAATAGGAATGTTCTGGATGTATATTTTCATGGCTTTCTCTGGTTCATGGGAGGGGAGGGGGTAGAAAGAAAAACGAAAAGAAAGACTGACAGAAGGAAAGACACATATTTGCAGCTTGTATCAGGCTATTAATCAGATAGTCTAAAATGTACTACTAGTACTGTTACATAAATCATGTAATTAATGGAGTGCCAACATTCCAGGAAAATGTTGCCACATACTATTGTAAGGAGATTATCAGTATCTGAAAGGTTTTAAAAATGTCTATTTGAGCCAGAGAAACTTCAAAGGCAGACTGAATAACTAAATATATACTCTTTTGGAGTGAGACTCTGCTCTTCTTGATTTAAGCCACATGTAAGGTTGAGCTGCCAAATGTTCCATAAGTCAGAAAGATACCACCCAGAATATAACAAGGTATATATCTAGCTCCCTCCTACCCTCCCAAATACTTTTATAATTATACGTGACTCCAAGAGGATGAATATCACATTTGAACCAGATTGTTAGCATGGCGGGTTTTTTACTTAGTTACCATAGCTCTTAGCCATACTCTACTTAACCACTAATTGTTGAATAAATTATAAATACTGAATTCCCATATTTTCCCAAGCCATGAAACTAATCTCTAAATTTACATACTATATTAATTCATAAGGGAAAATTATCCAAGTGCTTCAACAACCTGCTAAAAGGATGCAGATTACCAGCTGTCTGCAAGGAATATAAATCCTTCCATTCCCCACTATCATGTCAGAGCTGAAGAAGCTTCTTGGATGAGAAGCGAAACATCTTCAAAAGAAAAAACAAGAAAATCCAGTTGCCTCCTGAAAAAGCACCTTTGGAACAACCATAATCTGGATGACTGAGAATCTCTACAGACCTTCAAGGAAAAACAAAGTCCAGTTGCCTTTTGAAAAAGCATCTTTGCTTTAATCAACTAATACCCTGCATGTAATGAGTGCAGGGAAGATGGTGTTTTACTTTTGCCTACACACACCCTTAATTTTTTTTTTGTCCCCTATCATTTTTTTCATTGTTGCCTAGAATGTCTCTGTGCTGGTATGACTGGTTCAGTTTTGCCATGTACCACCGTTTTTGCCACCCTTTTATTTTTGAGTGTTGAGTTTCACTTGTCTCTCATGAGCAAAATGCATATAAATAGTACCGTCCCCTAAATATCTTTTCTTCAATTCCCATATCCAAACTTGCAGCACATATGTTTTCCTCATCTTTGTTTCAGAGATACAGATTCAGTTTTCAGTATGCCCAAGGCAGATTGAAAGACCCATGTTAGATATAGTCAAGTTTTATTTACAAATGATAATATTAAAAAAAGAAAACCAAAAAGGAAGTGTGAATTTATGGTGTTCCTACATTTTCCCCTATAGCAAGAGTGATCAGAAAGATGTTTATTTTTTTTTGAAGAACATGCAGGGAGGAGAAAAGTATGAAGCTTTGCAGGTCTTGTAAGGACATGGGAGTCATTTTGGAGAAATAAAGAATATGGCATATCCAACATCTCATGGGCTTATTTGCTTGGGAACAACTATTATACAAAGAAATCCTCAGAAAAGCTGCAAAGCTCAGTTCACTTGATTAAAGATAAAACTACTTTAGTTTTCTGGGTATTTTCCTCTTTTGTTACAGTCTGCTACAACTATCTGGTTTCCAAATGTCCTAAGAAGCAATCCCTGGATGTATTCATATGCTTTTGAAACCTGAACCACAAATGTAGGAGTTTGTAGTAACTTCAAACCTAAGATCTTCATTTGATCACTCACTTTATTCACATGCCATCTTATGTCATTGTAAATATTTTTCTTCATTAAAAAAAACTGTTGAAATTAATAGTGCAATAAATGGAAACAGGTAAAGATATTTAGTATTTAGTATGCAGCATATATAGCGTGCAGATATTTAGTGTGCAGCAGCTGCCAAAAAAGCCAACAGTTATGGGCTGCATAAACAGAGGGATAGAATCAAGATCACGTGAAGTGTTAATACCACTTTATAACGCCTTGGTAAGGCCATACTTGGAATGTTGCATTCAGTTTTGGTTGCCACGATGTAAAAAAGATGTTGAGACTCTAGAAAGAGTGCAGAGAAGAGCAACAAAGATGATTAGGGGACTAGAGGCTAAAACATATGAAACGGTTGCAGGAACTGGGTATGTCTAGTTTAATGAAAAGAAGGACTAGGGGAGACATGATAGCAGTGTTCCAATATCTCAGGGGTTGCCACAAAGAAGAGGGAGTCAAACTATTCTTCAAAGCACCTGAAGGTAGAACAAGAAGCAATGGTTGGAAACTAATCAAGGAGAGAAGCAATTTAGAACTAAGAAGAAATTTCCTGATAGTTAGAACAATTAATAAGTGGAACAACTTGACTTCCTGTTTGCTGCTGGCCGCCGCCAGACGTTCCTTTGGGATCGTCAGCTTCCACTGCCTGTCAGAGCCGCCTTCACAACGGAACGGCGGCTCGAAAAAACTCCGTTCCATGAGGAAACGGAGATAGAGCCGGCAGGGGTGGGTAGAACTCTCTGCAGAGTCCCAAAAGTTTTGGATGGATGGATGGATGGATGGATGGAATAACTATTGTCACTTGGAAAGATTTTGTGGGGGAGCCACAGAACTGGCTCCAAACCAGTGGTGGGTTGCCCCTGGTTCGCACCAGTTCTATAGAACCGGTAGTAAAACCAGTGGGAGGCTCCGCCCACCGACCCCAACGTCATCAAAACGCTTCTGCATATGCGCAGAAGAGTGCGCATGCACGTGGCCCCACTGCAAACCGGTAGTAAAGGTAAGTAGAACCCACCCCTGCTCCAAACCTCTCACCTTCTTCACAGAAGATTCCTCTGAAGCCCACTGGACAAGTGCAGGATCCGTACACAGGGTCACACTTGCCGTTGTTGTGGCAGAGGCATTTCTGAGCACAGCTGTCCCCGTAGGTACCATCGGTGCAAGCTAAAAAGAAGGGAAAGCATGATCAGGATTGTGGATGGGAAGCCAGGAGGTACTAATGATGGTACTCATTAGTGACAACATAACAGCCCCACCCCAGATTTGGAAAGTATTTAGGGTGATGCTTAAAGCTGGCATTTTGCTTGACAGTTTTCTCTTATCCGATAGAAGAGAACTTCTGTCGCTCAGGGTTGAACTGTGGAGATCCTGGTGCTCTCATTACCCAACTAGGTAACATCATCAGTGCTAGATGGGAGTGGGGTTTGCTCTCTGTTATATACAGTAGCTTCCCCATCCAGTGATATTCCCTAATAATTTTAAAGTTAGCTATAATTCAAATGGAGCCCCATAATAATTGAGTTACCTCACAAGAGATTTACATTCCATGCTTTAAAAATATATACGAAATTATGTGATGGGGCTTGATAAATCGACACTTACAGATTGAAAATTAATGAGTAGTTACGATAGGCCTCTCCTCTCCCCTTCTCTCCCTCAGCCTTGCCCCACAGAAGCCTCTGCTATCTTATCCCCTGGTTGCTGCTGTGAAAGTGAAAGTGAAACTCCTCTCCTCCGCTTGTGTTTAGCATTTGGAACAGATTTCTTTTCAGGTGGGGAGGGGGAGTAGAACTCCTTAGAATCAGAGCGTGTTAATCATAATACAGTAAATTCTAATGCTCTGATGGTCATTTCGAAAAATCCTTTCTTAGTGAGCACCTAGAAGCCAAGAGAAATTTGCCATACATGGCAAATTTCAAGTTTGTAGGCTTTACGGTTCTGGAGATTTTGTGATTACGACATGAGTGGTTTTCACTTTTATATATATAGATTTGATTAGATAAGCAAAAAAAAAAAATCAATGCTATGCATGATATTGAAGAATCAAATCTCTCTTAGTTGCCTTTTTTGCAAGCTCAAGAAGGAAGGAGTTGGAGCTCCCCATTCAATTCTGTTATCGTTTTCTGCCTTGTTTCAGCTCTGTTCTGTCATTTGCCAAATGCAAAAACTTGAATTGCACACCCTGTTTTCAGGTATGGATATACTCTATAGCAGGGGTCTCCAACCTTGGCAACTTTAAGATTTGTGGACTTCCAACTCCCAGAATTCCTCTGCCAGACATGTTGGCTGAGGAATTCTGGGAGTTGAAATCCACAAAACCAAAGTTCCCAAGGTTGGACACCTTTGCTGTAGAGTTGTGGAAGGGTACCACCATGTTTACAACATGTACAACCCTAACTGCAGTTTAGAAGGCCAGATCCTGAAGAGGAAACTCAAATTCTTTGGCCGCCTAATGAAAAGGAAGGACTCATTGGAGAAGAGCCTCATGCTGGGAACGTTTGAGGGCAAAAGAAGAAGGGGAAGGGAGAGAAGGAGGTGGCTGGATGGAGTCACTGAAGCAGTCGGCGTGAGCTTAAATGGACTCTGGGGGATGGTAGAGGACAGGAAGGCCTGGGGGAACGTTGTCCATGGGGTTGCGATGGGTCGGACACGACTTTGCGACTAAGGACCACCATGTTGGCTGTTTTCTTTTTAATTCACCTCCCTCCTGTCTCATGGAATTCAATTTTTTTATTCCTGTTGCCCTGAGCAAAGAGGAGACGTCGACCCAGCAAAAGAAACCAACACCAAGATGGTTAAGTGAGAAAAGAGGATTTACCTTGGGTGCAGTTTTCACCAGTCCAACCGGCATCACAGACGCATCCCGCTGCAATAAAGGAAGGGACAGAGAAGACACTATGAAGTTGGGTAGTAAGATCAGAGAACGGGAAGGGATTTAGGGACAGGATTAGAGCTAGAATCTGATCCAGGGGGAGCAGGGGTCCTCAAACTTTTTAAACGGGGCCAATCCATGGTCCCTCAGACTGTTGGGGGTGGGTGGGGTGGACCGGCTGTGTGGGCGTGGTTAGGTGGTCATGTGACTGAGTGGGTGTGGCCAATTTAGCAGTCCATTAAACATTACACACAAATTACACTTTAATTTGTTATGCTCCTGGGGATGGAAAGCAGGTTAGTGAAGGGATGTGGCTGCCTTGGGGTGCGTGTGAGGGACTTCTGTTTCTGTGTGTGTGTGTGTGTGTGTGTGTGTTTCTCTCTCTCTCTCTCTCTCCCTCTCTCTTTCTCTTTCTCTCTCTCTCCCGAGGCCTCCATGCATCCCGTTTTTGGCCTCCTCGGCCTCCAGAAGGCAGGTGATGGCCGGTGCGTTGGTGGGGTGATGTGGACGGGGCAGCCTCATGGTCCCACATGGGCCGGATTAATGGCTTCGGTGGGCAGTATCCGGCCCGCAGACCGTAGTTTGAGGACCCCTGAGGTGGAGGATGAGCAAATAAGGAGCAACATGGATTTGCACAGTGCTGTTTACCGAGAGTGCTTTACCAAGGCACTGAAGAGGAGGAAGAACTTCTGTGCCCAACCTCAAAATCAAGGGTGCCAATTCGCAATGAGCAAAAGGGCCCCTTTAACCTAGCCCCAAAGGGAGACCCATTTGCACCCGCATCCTTCCAAAGGTGGGCCCTTACTCTCCGTGCACATTCCGTGAATAGTGCAGTTGGAAGGACCACAATCCAGCACGTCGCAGGCTGGCCCTCTCCAGAAGGCTCCGTGGCAGTGGCATCGTCCAAGCACGCAGTGCCCATGCCCGCTGCAGTTTTGAGGTTGGCAGGCAGGCTCGTGCACACACAAGACGGTCGAAACGCTCCGAGGGCAGCGCCAGGTAGAGTCAAACACGCTGGGAAGAAAGAAGAGAGAAGGGCAGATGGAATTATCTATGGAGATTCTCAGTCATCCAGGACATGGTTGTCCCAAAGGTGCTTTTTCAGGAGGCAACTGGACTTCCTTGTCTGTTTTCTTTTGAAGACATTTCGCTTCTCATCCAAGAAGCTTCTTCAGCTCTGACAAGTTGGCGGGGAATGGAAGGATTGATATTCCTTGCAGAGAGCTGGTCATTTGCATCCTTTTAGAGGGTCGTTGAAGCTCTTGGAGGTTTATCTGTGTCCTCAGGGTCACCTGAGTGGTTTTCCTGGTTCCTGTAGCCTGCAATTTTTTTCCTTTGGAAATCCATTCCTCCTCCCACACCATTCAAAGGCTGTTCATCCCAAATTGCATAGCTCAAAGTCTGTAGAGATTCTCAAGTCATCCAGGTCAGGGTTGTCCCAAAGGAGCTTTTTCAAGAGGCAAGTGGACTTTCTGGTTTTTCTTTGAAGATGTTCCGTTTCTCATCCAAGAAGCTTCTTTAGCTCTCATCCTAGAAGAAGCTTCTCGGATGAGAAGGGAAACGTCTTCAAAGAAAAACCAGAAAGTCCAGTTGCCTCTTGAAAAAGCACCTTTGGGGCTAATGGAATTAAAAACACAACCACATCCCCTTATCTTCAAGCCCAGCCTGTGGCAGATGCGTTATTTATGTATTTATTTAATTTATACTGCCACCTAAGTCAAGATACGTGGTGGTGCAGTGGTTAGAATGCAGTATTGTATTGCAGGCTAATTCTGCTGGCTGCCAGCAGTTCGATCCTAACCGGATCAAGGTTGACTCAGCCTTCCCTCCTTCCGAGGTCGGTAAAATGAGGACCCGGATTGTTGGAGGCCGACTCTGTAAACCACGTAGAGAGGGCTGGAAAGTACTGTGAAGCAGTATATAAGTCTAACTGCTATTGTTAACTCACATCCATAACTCTAGGTGGCTAACGAGATTAAAAATAATGAAACATATAAAAAAAGTATAACATCCACAGCCACTGCAAAAAAGATGACACAACCTATTGATAAAAAGAGTCCACAATGCAAACTCTGGGGCACTAATAACCACAGACCACCTTGGGAGGGGAAGGGGTTTTTATGTAATGATTGTTTTTGGAACGTGGGGAACGAGGGCAAAAGCCAAATGGCCAATTACTTTTCTTTTCTTTTTTAAAATTCATTTAGTGCATTTTATTTTATTTTATTTTATAAACCTTTATTAACATTTAAAATCCAAAACTACAAGTTAAAATACAGCTATAACAAAAATACATCCGTAATAATTATACAATTCAACGTCATTCTGACAGTACATAATTCTTAATTTTGTTCATCTATTCCCGCATATTCCTACTTAGTCGACATATTTAAACACATTTTGTCTCTTATTTTATTCTATACATTCCTTATTTTTAATTTCTATCCATTGATACCAATTTTCCCAAGTTAAGTAGTATTCCGAATCTTCCTTATTATTTAGTTCTAAAGTAAGTTTGTCCATTTCTGCACATTTGAAAATTTTCCGGATTATTGCACAGTCTGTTGGTATAGTGGACATTTTCCAGGTTTGTGCGAGTACGATTCTTGCTGCTGTAGTTATATGAATAAATAAATATTTAATCCTTTTAGGGTAATTTCCTTTGATAATCCCCAGAAGAAACAGTTCAGGTTTCAATTCTATTTTACAGTGTGTAATTTCTTTTAGCCATTTTTGTATTTTAATCCAGAATTTTTTAACTTCTGGGCAAAGCCACCATACATAAAAGTAGGTACCTGTACTTGTTTGCATTTCCAGCAATTAGGTTTTAGGTTGGGGTACATTTTTGCGAGTCTTGTTGAGGCTAAATGCCACCGATAGAACTTTTTATACTGGTTTTCTTTATATGCAGCAGATTTTGTTAATGTATAGTTTTTCTCCCAAATTTTTTCCCAATCTTCTAACTCAATGTTGTGCCCAATATTTTTAGCCCATGCTATCATTGATCCCTTTACAATATCGTCTTCTAAATCAATTCATTTATTATTACCCTTGCCGTTTGCATGGAATAGATTGAGTCAATCATCTTTTCAAATTTATCTCCAAATTTTCATGGCTTTAATTAGTTGAATCATAAATTCCCAATTCACATTATCAAAGGCTTTTTGTGCATCCAGGAGGACAAGGGCTACTAGTCTTTCTGGATATGCCTCGTAATATTCCAATATATTAATTACTATTCTGATATTGTTTCTAATTTGTCTCATAGGAAGAAATCCATTTTGATCTGAGTGCATCTTATCATTTAGTACTTTTTTTATCCGTTCTGCCATAATGTTCATAAATATTTTGTAATCTGAATTTAAGATGAGATTGGTCTATAATTCTTGATTTGTTTGTTATCTGTGCCTTCTTTAGGTAATATATACTTCCTTCCATGTTTCTGGTGACTTTGCTTCCCTCAAGGCTTCATTACATACTTCCAATAATAATAATTCTATCGAGTCTCTTAAGTGTTTATAAATTTCCCCTGGCAACCCATCTGATTCTGGGGCCTTATTATTTTTTTGTTTCCGAATTGCTTCTTTAATTTCTAATAATGTTATTCAATGTTTCCCTTTCTTCTTCCATCAATGAAAACCCAATCCCTTCCTTCAAATAATCACTTATTTTTCCCTGTTCTGTTTCTTCCTGTCTATAAAGCCTCTCAAGGAATTCTTGTGTGATTTCTTTTTTCTTCTCCATATTACTTTCCACAATTCCATTTTCATCTTGTAGTTGGTATATTATTCTTTTTTCTCTCTCCTTTTTTAATTGATAAGCCAACCACCTCGCTGGCTTGTTTGCATGTTCAAAGTAATTTTGTTTTGCAAATTTTAAGTTTCTTGCCAATTCTTTTTCGTCCAAAACATTCAATTTATGCTTGACTAGGGCGATTTTGATTTTAATTTGTTCATCCCTCGAATCTGTTTGTAGTTAATTTTCTAATTTTTTAATTTCCTTGGGACAAAATGTTATGTTCTGTCCACTTTATTTCTTTTTGCAATATATGCTATTGTAATCTCCCTTAAATATGCTTTCATAGTGTCCCAGAGATTTTGTAATGAGGTGTGGTGTTTTTTGTTGTCTCTAAAAAATAATTCCAATTATTAAAAAAATATTCCAATTAAAAATAATTAGAATCTTTTGAATATATTCTTTTTCTTTTAAAATTTATGGATTCAATGTCCACCTGCCTTTCTTTCTTTTTTGCCCTTTCCATATTATTCTGAGAGGATTATCATCAGCCCAGGTGTTTGGCATTATCTCTACAGTTTCAACAACTTTAACTAAACCTCCATATATCCAGGCCATATTGATTCTCGACCAGGATCTATGGGGGTTGGAATAGAAAGTAAATTTTGTTTCTTCTGGATTACGGAATCTCCAGATGTGTAATAGATTTAATTCTTCTGCTATTTAAAAAAAAAAAACCTTTGGGTAAGATGTTCCTTTTTATTTTTGTTTTGTTTTGTTTTGTTATTTTCATAATCTTTTTTAATGTCCACTATTGCATTATAATCACCAATCAAACAAACATTGTCATTCCCTATCTCTATTACCTTATCATACACATTTTTATAAAAGTCCGCTTGGTTCTTATTGGGCGCATACATCACCACAGGCAAAATATTTTTTTTGACCCATTACTATTTTGATTATCAACATTCTACCTCTTATGTCTGCATATATTTGTTTAGCTATTATCCCCTCTTTAATGTATACTACCACTCCTCTTTTTTTTTTCTGCCAATGTTGAATAAAGTTTTCCCTATTTGTTATATTGTAAATATTTTTCATCTTGTTTTTAGATGTCTACTTGTTTAACTAATTTGGAAAATATATGTCTTCTTTTGGATGGTGAATTTAAACCATTCACATTTAATGATATTAATTTCAGTTCCTTTTCCATTGTGTGTCACTCGTTGCCTTCTTTGGATCCTTGTTCTTACTCCCTCTTCTCCTTGATGATCTTTCTCCTCTTTGCTTTTATCCTCTTGGCCTTTCTCTTGTCTCCTGTCGTTGTTCATCTTGGCTGGCCAATTCCAATTCCTCCCTACTGCTATATTCTTCCTCTGGGCCAGTTACCTGGTCATACAGTTCTTGAGCTTTCTCCATACTATCAACTTTAATTTTTTTTATCATTCCAGGAAACTAACATTCCCTCCGGAGTAATCCATCGGAACCGTATATTCCATTTATTTAATTGAGTCGCTAAAAAGCGATAAGTCTTTCCGTTGTTCGTGGACCTTCCTAGGGATTTGTTTCAGAGTAATAATTTCTTATCCTTTGTACGTCATCGGTTCCTCTCTTGTGATCTTGTATATCATATCTCTCACTTTCTTACGAGCGAATCTTATGTGGACTTCCCTAGGGAGTTTGTGGGGTCTAGCATAACTCGTATCGACCCTGTACACATCGTCCAACTCGTTTATGATCTCTTGCTTGTCCCTTTGCAGTGCATCTGCAATTAAGCCTGCCATTAAAGATATATCACTCTGTATCTTTAATCGCTCCTCCGGCTGCTTCTTCGCTGGTCTTTCAAACTCGGCTAAATCCACTGCTTGCATTATGCCTGCTGTACTGTCTTCTTTCCTCGCTTCCCTTTTCTTTGGCCAGCGTGTCACACCTCCAGGTCTGCCATTAAGGCAGGCTTCTTCCACATCGGGTTGGAGGTTCTCTTCCTAACACCGCGGTAAACCATACCTTTCCTTGCTGCCCCTGAGACTTCCTCCTTCTATTGTTTGTCCCTCCAGGACAAAACTTTGCCTCTCACACACCCCGATCGCTAGAAATCCGGCACAGGGAACGGAGTTCTGTTCCTCTGAACCGCCCGACACGACGTCACCACCGGAAGTCCGGACAATTTCTAACTAAATTGTTTCCTCGGGCTCCCCACCATTGTTGTACAGCCATTAACATGAAGTGCGAAGCTTACTGTGGTTGTTGGTCAGAGAAAAATGTGCAACTCAAAACACCCGAGAAGCAGGGTATTCCCCAAAAATGATAGCAGAAAATGCTTACCAGTGATCCGAAGGGTAGCTAGCAAGGGATCCGTTGACAACAAAAGTAGCTGATCCCCCACCATCCAGGTTGATCGCATTCACGACGCCGCGTTCCTTCAGGAAATTTGCCATTTCCCAGAGGTTCAGCCTGCGGTTGTAAGAAACAGAGATGGTTATATGAACCTGATGAGAGGAAAACATAGCTGTTGGTTATATTACCCCAATGAAGAAATGATTTGGGTCTTTCTCCGGTAGCCGACACTCAAGAATTCTACTTTCCTAAGCTGGACATGTTCACATTCACAGCTCCTGAGAGAATTCAAAGCTATTAGGATTCTAGGTCTATTTTTGTTGGCTTTGAGGATGATAAGAGGGAGCACAAGAAAAAGCCTAGAAGCAAATATGAAAGAATTAAAAAAGAGCTATAAACAGTGGTGGGATTCAGCCGGTTCGGGTGAAGCGGTAGTTAAATTGCTACTGGCCCTGCCCCTTCCTGCCCCGCCCCTTCCAGGGGTCCTCACACACCCCATTTTGGCTCCCAGGTTAAGTGCAGGGAGGCCTGCACCCATCAAGCCACGCCCACAGAACCGGTAGTAAAAAAAATTTGAATCCCACCACTGGCTATAAATCTGTTTTCAAAGTCAAGACTGACTATGCTGTGATTTTGGTAGAGAATCTCCTAGCTGCCTATCCACCCACAACCAAAACATACATTTTTTTAATTTTTATTTAATATACTATAAAATATTATTTATTATATCCCGCCTGTATTATTTTTACAAACAACTCAAGATTCCTCTCATCAGATTTTTTTGATTTAAATCGGATTTTTTTGATTTAAATCGGATTTTTTTGATTTTTATCAAATTTATTTTAATAAAAAACTTTTGGGGTAAAAATCTATCGTAAGATAGTTTTCCATTTAAGATACATAAATAATTTAGTTTATTCAGCATGAAATGGAGCTTAGTTATGTAGCATGAGGCTGTGTATTCTGCAACACTGGGACTATCGGTGAGTCAACAGTGGGTCAAAGGAGTAGCAGAGATGACAGTTGCTCTTTAAAAATTATGATTTAAATCGAGTTGATTTAAATCAAGCCTTTTTACTGGTGATTTAAATCATGATTTAAATTGTGAATTAAATCAACTCGATTTAAATCAAATCCACCCTGCTTGGCTGAGTGTGATGGTACAACTCAGAAAACAGCGCCAGCTTCTCTTTCTTGGGATCAACATCTGGGAACGCAGAAGACACCTTCCCCTCCAGAAAGATCTCCCATTTCCTTTGCCAGAAAGCTTCACCAAGCCACGGGACATACCCTCTGACGCCTGACTGCCCATCAGCGTGAAACAACACGAGCCGTCCTTGCCGGTCATGCCCCACAGCCGTCCTGGCAGACACAATGTTGACAAAAGTGTCAAAAATCCCTGCCCGGGGGGAAAAAGAGAGATGTTTCAAGCAGCCAAGTTAAGCGGATTGGTTGGCTTGAGCCGGGGTGAAATGTAAAATTTCTTACTACTGGTTCTGTGGGCGTGGCTTGGTGGGGGGAGGGTTAATGTGACTGGGTGGGCGTGGCCAACTTTTTTTTTTTTTTAACTTTTCAAAGCATTTTTTCTAATGCTTTGAAAAGCCTCTGCCGATCAGGCAACTCAGCTGGGATCGTCAGAGACTTTTCAAAGCATTTTTTTTACCACCTCTTCGGCCAAGAGGTTGCAGAAAAAAATGCTTTGAAAAGGCTCTGACGATCCCAGCTGAGCCACGCGATCATCAGAGCCTTTTTTTTTTTTTTACTTTTAAAAGCAATTTTTCATCGGAAGAGGTTGGAGAAAAAATGCTTTTAAAAGTAAAAAAAAAAAGCCTCTGATGATCGTGCGGCTCAGCTGGGCATGGTGGCGGAGGGGGGGGTTGCAGGGAATTTTGCTACCGGTTCTCCAAACCACCCGCTGCCATCGCTACCGGATTGGGCAATCCGGTCCGAACCGGGAGCATTTCACCCCTGGCTTGAGCCGAACGTCTTCCCTCCCTGCAGAATGACTTTACGTGACAACAATTGGGCAGGACTGCTACCATCTTGGAACTTCCTGAAAGAGTATCAGGTCCAAAACTGTATTGATGGGTGGAGAAGGGAGGAAAATTATTAACTTTAATCTTTAAACTATTATCTGAGGGACTGTGTCTTGCCGGTCACATCTACCCAACTCATCAGAATGGTGAGGCAGGGAATGTTGTGGGTCCCATTCCTGACTGAGATACACCTTGTGGGACCCAAAAGAAGGGCCTTCTCTGTGGTGGCTCCCTCTCTCTGGAACATCATCACCCCCACCCCCCCGAGATTAGACTGGCCCCAATGGTGAAATGTAAAATTTATTACTACCGGTTCTGTGGGCGTGGCTTGGTGGGGGGGCAGGGTAATGTGACTGGGTGGGCGTGGCCAACCTTTTTTTTTTTTTTACTTTTTACTTTTAAAAGCCTCTGACGATCAGGCAACTCAGCTGGGATCGTCAGAGCCTTTTAAAAGCATTTTTTTCTACAACCTCTTCGGACGAAGACGTGGAGACCTCTAGCCCATAAAATTGCCAAGAGTTGGATATGACTGAATGGATAACATTCATCATCATTATGTGATTTTTATGTATTTTATATGCAGCCCAAGACAATTCCTCTTCACTCAATCCTAACTCTGGCAAGTCCAAAGGTTGGACACCCATGATTTAGAGCAGTGGCCCCCAACTTTTTGGGCACCGCGACCGGTTCCGTGGACAGAGGTTTTTCCACGGAACTGAGGGGATGTGGTTTCGTGTGCTGCCTGCATCCTGCGGATGTGGGCTTTGCTTGTTTGCATGGCCCGGTTTCTGGCATGACATGGACTGATGCTGGTGCCTGGGCCAGGGACCCCTCGTTTAGAACCATTCTCCTGAATCTTCAAGGGGTGGGGATGAGGGGTTGTGCCTTCAGCTTGGTACCTGTTTCCTGAGTCTTGTCGCATTCTGCCACCTGGCTCTGATTCACGTAGACCTCTCCGTTACGTAGAAGCCACCCCACCCCGCTGACAAGCTGCACAAATGGGTTCTCTGTAGCCAAGACCTCATCCTCAGAGAGGTAGCTGGAACAGACAAGCAAAAAAAAAAAAAAACCAGACTGAAAAATTGCAGGGAAGCCAAAACGGTTACTGGCAGTCCTTGTTTTAGTGACAGCTTCATTAGTGTTCTGCCCCAACTACGGACCCCAAAGAACGCAGGACCCACAAAGTCCATACAAACCTTAGTTTACTAATTAAGGACTACTAATGAGCTTTCTTAGTAGTTGTTCGAACACAAGTACAGTTTAAATCAGTCTTTTCTGAACAAGGGCTGTTAATTTAACTTCATTAACAGCCGACAAGAATCCAAAGAATAACAACTCAATTCTGAGGCACAGTATTTCAGATAACCGGAATCTTACTGTGGTTGGCAGAATGCCCAGAAGCAATTTGCAGGAAAACTGACAAAAGATAAACAAGAGCCAAATCAAACGTTTCTGGAATCAAGACGCGAAGGAATATGAACAAAGTTGTTTCCTGCAAATTGCATCAGTCGTCATCCTTCCTTAAATAGGCTAGGGGAGTGGCCAATTAGCCCCAAGCCTGACTCTCGAGGAGACCTCCTCCTGAGGAGCCATTCCTGCCTTTTAACAGCTCTGCACGCTTGTGCATCAAGAAGAGGCTCCTCCTCTTCTTCTTCTTCTTCACTTATGGGAGCTTCTGGAGGTTCTGAAGGCCCTGGCTGAATCCCCGCCTCTGGCACCACATCTTCTCCAGCCTCCTCATTAACTGACTCGAGTACCAGCTGCACAGGCTGCTGGCGCAGCACCATATCAGCCTCCTCGCTGTCGGAATCAGCTACTAACTGCACAGGCTGCTGACGGGCCACAACACTTAGCGACTATTTCCAATTATAGATTTACTGTTTATGACCACAACTGGAAATAGAAATCCAGCTGGATGTTGAGGCACCCACATGACGAGACCATTTTTGACAGTGGACTTTAATCACTGTGGTTATTAAGTAAAACACATGGCCACTAAAGCAAACCCATTTTTGTGGTCTGCCAGCAGCCTGCGGAGCTGGTAGCAGAGTTGGACAGTGATGAGGCTGAGGAAGAACATGGGCCAGTCCTGGAGGCTGGGGAAGGCCCGGATGAGGGCTCTGCGTCGGAGGCAGAGATGGGACCAGGCAGGGGGAAGTGCATCATCTGTTAGCATGACTAAGGCAGAAAAAAAGTTAATTACAGGGGGAACGCAAGGGTGCAGGCCTGTTATGTGCACAATGACTAAATTGATCAGCATTACATAAAAGCAAGCAGCTCCTCAATGGGGATTTTATACTCTGACAAAGTCGGTAGGGGCCGACGAAAGCTTAGCACAAGTTTTAAAATAAACATTTTTAAACTTTTAAACGTTCCGGAGATCGTGATGCCTATCGCCTCTTATATATATATAATTTCTTATATATATTCTAAAAATACGAGTTCCAGATATATTAGTAAAAAAAAAGAAGCAGACATACAGCGAACTCCGGAACTTAAGATTTTAAAATTTATAATAAATCTGCTTTTTACTAGTTCATGGTCTTTGTTTCACTTTTGATGAGGTTTGCTGTTTTTTTTAAATCTCACAATTGCGGTCACTAAACAAGGAGTTGCAGTACTTAAAAAAGAAAAAAAAGCACGCCAACACTTACCCAAACACTAAAGTGCCATCTTTCCGGATACCAAACTGAGCATTCTGCACTCCTCCAGAGGATTGTACCCGGTGCCCATTGCTTACAACGTTCCCTAAACATGCTCCTGTCTTTGTATCAAAATAGCCCCCATTCTGGGCCACAAGGCACTGACTTCGGCTCACCGTCTCTTCCACAGTAGCTCTGCGGTGGAGATGGCAGCCCCCTGGTCCCCCGGGCTCTAGGACAGAAAAAGTCCTCAGGGGGTCACGCACTATAGTCAAGTGGCCGTACACCTGGCGGCGATTTGGACGGTACGGTGGGAAGTCCGAAACAAATGTATATGTATTAGCCAGAGGGGAGGCACTGCTGTTGTCGCTGGGCCAGGTTTCATGCGTCGCATTGCCATGCCGGTGAGCCTGGCAGTCTCGGACGTAGCGATGGTGGTGCCGTGGGCCGTGCTGGGGAGGAAGGTATGGCAGCAAGAGGTCATCGTTCAAAGAATTCCTGAAAGTTGAAAAGCAACAGGGCGGATTCAGACAGAAGAAAAGGAGCGAAAAACTTTACCTGATGTCGTGTATAGCCATAGGACTTAGACTTATATACCGCTTCCCAGTGCTTTGCAGCCCACTCTAAGTAGTTTACAGAATCAGCACAAAAATCAAGGACTACCTATAGCAAGTAAAGCATAATAAAAAGTTTTTGTCTTCCTTTTCACCCACCGAACTAAAAACCCATCTTTTTAACTCTTCTATTTGCCACTGTTATAGAAAAACAGTTTTGTGCAGTGATTTAAGTTCTGGACTAAGAATCCAAGAAACAGTAAGTCCTCCCTTAGATATGAAAACCAGATGGGTTTTCTTTGGGCCAGTCTCTCTCTCTCTCTCAGCCCTACCCAACTCACAAGAAGAAGATACTGTCATAGAATAATCACAAAATAAACTAACAATAAATAAAATATATGAAAGACTAGACTAGACTGAGCTGGAAGAGACCTGGGAGGTATTCTAGTCCAGCCCCCTGCTCAAGCAGGAGATCCTAGTAGATACCATTTCAGTCAAGTGAGTATCCACGATTTCTGGAGGCAAGCTGTTCCATTGGTTAATTGTCCTCACTGTTAGGAAGTTTCTCCTGAATTCCAGGTTGCTTCTCTCTTGGATCAGTTTCCAACCATTGTTTCTTGTCCTGCCTTCTGGTGCTTTGGAGAAGAATTTGACCCCCTCTTCTTTGTGGCAGCCCCTCAAATACTGAAATACATCTATCATGTCACCCCTAATTCTTCTTTTCTTTAGGGTTGTCAAACTTTACAATCACAGAGCCACATTTTATACCTTATACCTAATATTATTATTAGAAAGTATATTATACACTCACATATATATTATACACACACATATATACCGTGTTTCCCCCAAAATAAGACCCTGTCTTATATTTTTTTGAACTCTTAAATAAGCACATGGCCTTATTGCCATGCGCTCAAAAGTCCAATTGGGTTTATTATCAGGGGATGTCTTGCTTTGGGGGAAACAGGGTATTATTCACACACACACACACACACACACACACACACACACACACACATATATATATTATAACATATATATTATACACACACATATATTATATACACACATATATACCGTGTTTCCCCAAAAAAAGACCCTGTCTTATATTTTTTTGAACTCTTAAATAAGCACTTGGCCTTATTGCCATGCACTCAAAAGTTCAATTGGGCTTATTATCAGGGGATGCCTTGTTTTGGGGGAAGCAGAGTATTATACACACACACACACACACACACACATGTTTTCTGAGGTTTTCGCGGGTGTTTGTATGTAGGTCTTTGGTTATTCGGGTTTTCTCCCGCGTAAAATTGGAGGTTTCTTGGCAACGTTTCGACGAAGTCTCATTCGTCATCTTCAGGCTGGTGTCTTCGGCTTTGTGCTTCTAGGAGCAATGTGTGTGATCGCAGCTGTTTCTTCCTTTTAACTGCCAGTTAACTGCCAACCCCCCATCCAATCAGAGCACAGCCAAACCCTCAACCAATCAGAACACACCTCCACCCAATCAGAACACAGCCAAGCTCCCACCCAATGAGTTCACACCCCCACTGGCAGTTAAAAGCACGAAGCCGAAGACACCAGCCTGAAGATGACGAATGAGACTTCGTCGAAACGTTGCCAAGAAACCTCCAATTTTACGCGGGAGAAAACCCGAATAACCAAAGACAGACAGACAGACAGACAGACAGACAGACAGACAGACAGACAGACAGACATACATACATACATACATACATACATACATACATACATACATATATATATATATATATATATAAAATAAAGTGAACACAAGTAGAAGACATCCGAGATCTGAATTTATTTATTTATTTATTTTATTTGTATACCACCCTACTCCCAAAGGACTCAGGGCGGTGAACAGCCACAAGATAAAAACACATAAATACAAAATTTAAAAACAGAATAAACATTAACATTAACAACTGGAGAAAGAGAATTGGTGAGGATTTTGGTTATAATGGGGAGAATTATAATTGCTAGATATTGGAAATTAAATGTTGACTTAAAATTAGAAGAATGGTACAATGAAACATGGAAATTTGCATTAAATGATAAATTGACTTGTGATATTAAAATTAGAAATGGTATATATAAAGAAAATGTTTTTTGGAACACTTGGCAACCATTTGTGGACTTTGCACTTGGGAGATTGGATGAATCGGCACCAGTACCTTATCAAAGAGATTTCTGGAAGAATTGAAGACTTCAAGTTCCTAAAACTTGCTTTCCGTTTGTATAGCACGTTGGGGAAAAAAAATTTTTCTTTCCTTACTATTGATTTTTTGTATTGATTTTTTTTTCCTTTTTGTAATTCTTTAACAATAAAAAATATAATAAAAAATTTAAAAAAAAAAACAGAAAAAAACCAAATTAAACAATTTGGCCGAAGACAGATTTAAAACACCCCAATAATTTAAAAACCAATTAAAATTTGTGTTTTAAAAGGGAAAAAAAATTAGGCCAGGCCAGCCTGATGGAATAAAAAGATTTTAAGAGCGCGGCGGAAGGTGCGTAGATCCGGGATCCTCCATATCTCCGGGGGGAGCTGTCACGCAACCACACTCTCAACAACCTGAATGAATGAAATAGCTTTATTAAATACTTTGTACGTTACATACAGTAGTTTTGTGTTCCCTTTAGGTGTTTGAGCAGTGTATAAACTACTGTATGTAGTTTTTTTGAGCAGTGTATATATATTATACACACACACATATATTATACACACATACACACACACACACAGAGAGAGAGAGAGAGAGAGAGACCAGGAAACCCAGTTTTAAAATAACTACGTAACTCAAGCATTTCTCTGCAGAGGAAAAAATGGGCTCCCTGCAAATATTTTTCTTTTTAATCCTACTTTTTAGAAAGGCAGAACAGGGTTTAGCTCGCCTTCTTTTTCACCACGAAAAGCGACATTTAAACGCTCATTGCAAAAGGCGGAAGAGAAACAACCCCCGGCAGCCCTGCTAGGTAGGCCCCCCTTCCCCTCCCCTGGCTCGGCCTCCTTACCAGGCTCCCGCGCTGCCGTGAACGCCCCAAAAGCAGTGAAACAGCCCCCCAAAAAACGCGGCCAGGGCAAGACCTGTGAGCCCCCTGCCTGGGACGTGTGACAGGCAGTTCATGGGGGCCGCCATATTAAACCGAAAGGCGGGTCACATGATCGGAGGCCACGTGAGGCTCAGGGAAAGTCGCGTCCTTCCCGAGCGAAGGAAAGCATGGACGGGTTGGGTTTGCCCTCTTGTGGCCAGCGGCGGGAACTACAAGGCTTGAGTGGGGAAAACCTTAGAAATGCTCAAATGTTTATTTTATTTTATATTTTTATTTAATTATTTATTTTCGTGGAGCATGTATTAGATAACAGTTACAAGTCTAAACATGATTATGAATACATGAAATGGATACAAATAATCCAATAATTATTTATATAATAATAATAATAATAATAATAATAATAATAATAATAATAATAATAATAATAATAATAATAATAATAATAAAATAATTATTTTATTTTTTATTTATTTTTATTTTATTTACTTTATTTATTATTTTATAATAATAAAATAATTATAATTAAAATAAGAAAAAATAATAATAAAAAGAAATCGTGTATTGTCCCAATTGTAATTGGAGCCCTTGGAGCAATACCCAAAGGGCTACCCCGCTATTTAGAAATTCTAAATTTGCCGGACTTGAACATTTTGACTCTACAAAAAAACCACCTTACTCGGAACAGCTTACATCCTCCAACAATACCTTAATAGTTCCTAGGTCCTTGGTTAGGACTCGAGCTGCTGAGCTATTAACCAGCCTCAAAGGCTGTGAATCTCACTAAAGATTAACCAATAATAATAATAATAATAAATTCCAAAGTTGCTTTTCCAAAAGGCAACTGGACCTTTTTTTTTCTTTGAAAATGTTTTGCTTATGATCCAAGAAGGTTATTCAGTTCCTCAGTTAGAACCAAAGAAGCTTCTTGGATGAGAAGTGAAATGTTTTCAAAGAGAAAGTCCAGTTGACTTTTGGAAAAGCACCTTTGGAACAACCAAGATCTGGATGATGGAGAATCTCCATAGAGATTGAAATGTATAGGGAAGGGTTTCTCAACTTGGCCGCTTGAAGAGGTGAGGACTTCAACTCCCAGGATTCCCAAGCCTGTCCATTCTGAGATTTGAAGCCCATACATGTTAAAAGGTGTCCAGGTTGACGAAGACTAGTCTGTAGAACCAAAATCACAAAACTACGTCTCACTTTGACCGTGTCTTGCGAGGAACTTAGTGGAGGAAGTGATTAAGTTTGCCGTAAAAGGAAATCAGGCTGCCAAAGATCACATGATCCGGGGACACTGGAACCGTCATAAATATGAAAAAGTTGCTGGAACTGGGCATGGCTAGTTTAATGAAAAGAAGGACCAGGGGAGACAGGATAGCAGTCTTCCAATATCTCAGGGGATGCCCCAAAGAAGAAGGAGTCAAGCTATTCTCCAAAGCACCTGAGGGCAGGACAAGAAGCAATGGGTGGAAACTCATCAAGGAGAGAAGCAACCTAGAACTAAGGAGAAATTTCCTGACAGTGAGAACAATTAGCCAGTGGAACAACTTGCCTCCAAAGTTGTGAATGCACCAACATTGGAAATTTTTAAGAAGAGATTGGGCAACCATTTGTCTGAAGTGGAGTAGGGTTTCCTGCCTAAGCAGGGGGTTGGACTAGAAGACCTCCAAGGTCCCTTCCAACTCTGATATTCTATTCTATTCTATTCTATTCTATTCTATTCTATTCTATTCTATTCTGTGCCGTGCCGTGCCGTGCCGTGCCGTTCCGTTCCGTTCCGTTCCGTTCCGTTCCGTTCCGTTCCATTCCATTCTATATATTTGTATTTTATGATTATGATTTATCGCTTTGTTGCTTGTATGTACAAGAGAACTTATGCTCTGGAGAATTTAGGCACCAAATTCCTTGTGTGTCTGGTCACAGTTGGCCAATAAAGAATTGTATTCTAACAAAGCTGTGCCTTAAAGACCAGGCTTTCAATAAGTCCTCTCAGATTTGGCCAATTCAGATTAAAAGCATTGTTTCGCAATATTGATTTTTCTGGTTCAATTCCCAATTCAAAACAGATCTGAAGGCCAAGAAAAGGCTCAAACAATGAACCTACTTGAGATGATGCAACATCTCTTAAAATGTGCCAAATCCTTGCTAGAAACTGGCATGACATAAATCCGTTTCCCAAATGGAAGAGAATTTACGATTTACAACACCTTAGGAGACCTCTCTGTAGAGCATTGTTTAAACAACGCTTAATTCTATGGTAAGATGTGACAGGAGGCTTAACGCAGAGTTCGTTTTGCAGAACAGTGATGTAAACATAGTATTCCAGCTCAGGAGTGGGTTCTAAATTTTTTTACTACCAATTCTGTGGGTGTGGCTTATTTAGTGGGCGTGGCTTGATGGTCATGTGACAATTATTTAGGATATAGCAGAGGTACTGGTCTACCAGACTTTTAACTGCTTGCAGAGCTGTTTTGCAGGCACTGATCTACCCATTTATTTTTGCAGGCACTGATCTACTCATGTATTTTTGCAGGCACTGATCTACTCATGTATTTTTGCAGGCACTGATCTACTCATGTATTTTTGCAGGCACTGGTCTACTGGGACTCAGGAGGCAGAAATAGATTGGGGGTGGGGCCAAATAAAAGATAAGAATAACGTGAGGGGTGGGGCGGGCACGGGCGGCGGGTGGGGCAGAACCAGTTCGGTGACGTCATATCATCACCGCTACCGGCTCGGGAGAACCGGGCTGAACCGGGAGGAACCCACCCACCACTGTTCCAGCTGTTGAAGACACTGTATCGAATGTGTCCTGAATGACCGATGGTGTCAGGGCCTGGATGGGGGCAGTGAAATACTCCTTTTAGAACCCTCAATTCAATTCAATTCAAATTCAATTTTGATACTGTCAACAGTATATTGTGGGTGTCATGCCCCCCGTTGGAGCCTGAATCTGTGGGGGAAGGTGAGCTGGAACCTGAGCTGACAAGAGGTTGGGGGGGGGGCGGAAGAAAATGGGGAAGGCCAGGGACTTTCAGGATTAGGACAGATTGTAGGCAGGGTGGAACAGAGGCAGGATAAACGTGAGAGACAGAGCTCAGGCGAGGAGCAAGGACCACCCCCTCTTGCTCCAAGGGCTCGGAGAGTGGAGAGAAGGTGTGACCAGCGTAGACTGAGCAGAGCATCTGCCCTCTGGAATACCATCCTCCAGAAAGCCATGGGGTGCCCCATCTGGTTATGGTGAGCCATGGAAATTATTTATTTATTTATTTATTTATTTATGTATTTATTTATTTATTTATTTATTTATTATTGCGATTTATATGCCGCCTTTCTCCCTGGGGACTCAAGGCGGCTTACAAAATGACAAATTCCAATACAAATCACAATGAAATAAAATTAAAATCAGCAACCCTATTAAAACAGTTTAAAATTATGACAGTGTACCCCTAAACGGATCAGTTGAGTTGACGGAAGAGCCACGTCTTCAGCTCGCGACGGAAGGAAAGAAGGTCGGGGGCTGTCCTGAGCTCGGTGGGCAATCCATTCCAGAGGGTCGGGGCTCCCACAGAGAACGCTCTCCTCCTGGGGGCCGTCAGCCGACATTGTTTGGCCGACGGCACCCTGAGGAGGCCGACTCTGTGAGAGCGCACAGGATTGTGGGAGAGCGGCTGGAGATGGTCTTGCAAGTACCCCGGGCCTAAGCCATGAAGGGCTTTATAGGTAAGCACCAGCACCTTGAAATGTACCTGGAGCGCCACCGGCAGCCAGTGCAGCTCACGCAGGAGAGATGTTACATGGGAGTGTAGAAAGTTAGCACCCACCCCTTTCCTGGAAGAGTGAAATATTTTAGGAAATATGAAAAAGGCAGAATATTATATTTCCCTGGATGAGAAATATGAGAAGCATATTTTACAGACAAAGCAGCTCCCACCTTCCTGCCCCCCACCCTTTGTCAATGGGCCATTAAGGCCTGGGCCAGTCTATTCTACATAACAAAGATCTGTCTCCTTCAGGCAGAGCCATAGTAGGAATTGCCAAAGTTCCAACAAAGATAGGATTAGTCCTCTACACAATAGCAGCAGAAACTCACCACATGTGACCTGGGAAGCACATGTGACCATCAGCCAGCAAGGCCCCCACCCCCTGGGAGTCTGACAACCAATCAGGAAACTCTTTCTGGGCCCCAAGAAATGCAGAGCCAGAGAGAGCATAAAAACCCGAAGATTTACTGTATCAGCCCCTTTTCTGTTCAGGAACTCAAGCCATGTGATCCTGTCCACCATTAAACCATCTTTCCAAGTAGTCTCCATGTTTCCAGTGTCTGTTTCCCCACTTGGAGCAGAACCCATAAGGATGTTTCTTCCAACAGGAGTATCTAGACGCCCCTGTAACTACCCGCGTGGCTGCGTTCTGGACAAGCTGGTGTTGTAGACAAAATAACAGACTGGGCAAGCTCTTCAATGCAGGAAAGAGTTTATTTGTGCAAGGTTCAAACAGTCCAAAGACAGCTAAGGGTCTGAACGCTGATGGCTTCTTCTGGCCATGTATTTATACAGTTTAAAGGCAAAAGTATTACAGAGAGTGATGCATTTCACACGTAGAAGCTACCCTTTAATCTATCTCTAGGAAAGACATAACAGCCCTGTTCCCACAGGCTCAGGTTTTCAGCTCCGGAGCTCAAGACATAACAAAAGGAGATAAGAGGCTAGAAGATGCCTCACAAGCAGTAAAGAGGACAGTAAGGGAAACAGTATTTTCTCTCTGAAATCTACATGACATTTGGGGTACAATAAACATTAAACAACAGAATGTATCTGGTTAGGGTCAGTTTGCCCTTTTACAATTCTGTACCTACGTCAAATACCGTTTGTCATCTCAGCACCTTGGCACGGGAGAGGCACTTCTGTCTTGACCAAAGATTTGGATTTCTAATATTTGAGTTTTATCCCAATATCGAATCTTAGCCTGGCTCACTGGAGCCTCCGGATGCATCTCCATTACCTTGGAGAAACTATGTGGGGTCAGATACAAAAACTTGTGTAGTCGAGGTATTGAAGAAAACGTCAGAAAGTATCTTAAACTGACTCTGCTTTAACTCCCAGGAGCATAAGAGGGAAACATAGAAAACATGTCCTGGAAGGCAAGAAATAAAACCCACAAATAATGCTGGAAATCTACTTTATTGACCTAAACTACAGTAAGAAAACCTTGAAATCCTTTTCTTTTCCTTTCCTCCTCCTTATTCCTCCGTGTCCAAATCTATCAATAAGAGGATTTGCCGGGATGATGTGTTGAAGTGAATTTAATTTTGAATTTCATACCTGGGATCCACCTAAAAGTGTTGCTAGGAGCAAGGCCTTTTAAAACCGAAAAGTTGTCTCCTGTAGCTTTCTAGAGATCCAAGCCAGATCTCAAGATGTACATCTAGAAACAGGGGTCTCCAACCTTGGCAACTTTAAGACTTGTGGACTTCAACTCCCAGAATTCCTCAGCCAGTCTTAAAGTTGCCAAGGTTGGAGACCCCAAATCTAGAAGACAACCAGGTGGGGGGAGATATTGGTTCCTTTAAAAAAAAAAGAAAAGAAACGGATCTTGTTTTCAGATGAAGTCAAACATTTGCTTTAGGAAAGTTGCCCAGAGAAAGCTGGGTTTAGACTGTGATAAAGATGGATCATCATCAGTAGAGGAGGAAGCCCCCAAGGGCTCCAACAGCCACAGCAGTGTTATGGGAAGAGCAGACACCTGCAATGGAAAGAACATACAATCATAGGGCTGGAAAGGACCTCAGAGGTCATCTAGTCCAGAGGTCCGTAACCTTTGGAGCTTGGCAGTCCAGTTGGAGGGGGGGAGAGAGAGGGGGGAACCAGGCTGTGCAAGCCAAGATCTGGCACACATGCTGTTCTGACCTAGGCTTCCTTAGAAATCATAAAGCACAATCTTAGTCCCAGCAAACCTCTTTTATTCAGACGGCTGTGAATTATTGTCATTTCCCAGTCCGAAAGGCTTCTCAAACCGTCTTTCAAGGGAATATTTATAAACACCCACCTTATCTCCCTTGGAATGCTGCCAGGGATCTAATTGCCACACGCTGGGCAAGGCCAAACTTAGCACAGAGTCAAACAAAACTTTTCCAAAGCTTGAGCCGGTCAGATGAACTAAATTGCTTCCTGCAAAAGCTCACATCCCGTTTGCTCTTCTTTTATGTCTTATGAGAGGGGCCAATCCTCGCCAAGCCTTACTCCCAAGTTGATCCTGTTTTCTTAATTGTTCTTGTCTTCTGGCAGCTCTGTGCATGCGCACACTGGGAACAGGAACCCGCTGTTCTTCTGCCTCGCTGATGTCAGACTCCGGAGGCTCCGGAGGCAGCAAATAACTACCAGATGGCCTTGGCCCTCTCTCTGCCTCTGACTCAGAGCCCTCGTCTGAGCCTTCCCCAGACTCCAGGACTGGCCCACGTTCCTCCCCAACCTCCTCACTGTCTGAATCTGCTGCCAGCTCTGCTGGCCACTGACGGGCCACAAGACATGCATGAAGCTTGACTCACGCGAGTCGATGCACAGACACATGCACACCTAGCTCGACTGCAAGTCGGACTGCAGGCATGTGTGCACCGGCCCACCGCTCGTGCGAGCTGAGTTGCACACATGGGTGTGTGTCCTGGCCCGCGGCCCAGTTGTGAATAGGCCTCAGCCCAATAGTGGGCCCCAGTCTGGGCGTTGGAGACCCCTGATCCAGTCTAATCCCCTGCTCAAGGCAGGAGTCCTTATATGATTCTGGACAAATGGCTGTCCAATCTCTTCTTGAAAACCTCCAGTGATGGAGTTCCCACAACTTCTGAAGGAAAGCCATTCCACTGAGTAATTGTTGTTGCTGTTAGGAAATTTCTTCTGGGTTGGATCTCTCTTCCATGATCTTCCACCCGTTGCTTCTTGTCCTGCCCTCAGGTGCTTTGGGGAATAAGTCAATCCCCTCCTCCCTGTGTCAGCCCCTCAAGTATTGGAAGGCAGCTGTCATGTCCTCTCTATTCCTTCTCTTCAATTCACTAGGCATACTATATTTTTCAGAGTACAAGACACATCTTCCCCCCTCCCTAAAAGGGGGTGAAAATTTGAGTGTGTCTTATACACTGAATGTAGCCCCACCCACCCACTGGCCCCCACCCTTTGACCTCTGCCTCCCAGCAATTTACCTCCTTGCAGCAAGCAGCAAGGAGAAGCAGCCCATTTCAGCTTCAGCACAGCCTAATTAGCAAAAGTTGATTGTCCGTTGGATCGGCCTCCTGACTCTCAGCTGTTTCAGGCTGCACGGATTGCCATTGCCTATTGCTGCGCGGGCCTCTGCTGCTTGCTGCAAGGAGGTAAATTGCTGGAAGCAGATTTTTTTTTCTTGTGCTAATCAAGCTATGCTGAAAACGAAAATGAAAGTAAAGCAGGCTGTTTGCTGTTTGCTGCAACGAGGCAAAATTGCTGGGAGGCAGATTTCTTTCTCTTGTTTTCCTCACCCAAAAAGGTAGGTGCATCTTATACTCTGGAGCGTCTTATACTTCAAAAAATACGGTATATAGATGAATCAGAAGGTGAAAGGGTTAGCAAAATGCTAATTCACCCTGGTCCTTGGATATCATCCCTGCTAATGTTAAGTTCCAGCAGAAAGGCATTGGGCCAGAAATCCCAATCTGCTTCCAGCAAGATTCATTGTGAAATTCTTATTAATTTCTTATGCTCTTAGAGCATAGAACATGAAACATAGAATAACAGAATTGGAAGCAGTGGTGAAATCCAAACTTTTTTTACTACCAGTTCTGTGTGTGTGGTTTGGTGGGCGTGACAGGGGAAGGATACTGCAAAATCTCCATTCCCTCCCCACTCCTGGGGCCAGCCAGAGGTGGTATTTGCTGGTTCTCCGAACTGCTCAAAATTTCTACTACCGGTTCTCCAGAACCTGTCAGAACCTGCTGGATTTCAATTCTGGTTGGAAAGGACCTTGAAGGTTTTTTAGTCCCACCTCTGCTCAAGCAGGATATCCAGACAAATGGCTGTCCAATATCTTCTTGAAAGCCTCCAGTGATGGAGCATTTCCAACTTCTGGAAGCAATTCGTTCCACTGATTAATTGGGTTGTCAGGAAATTCCTCCTTAGTTCTAGGTTGCTTCTCTCCTTGATTAGCTTCTATCCGTGGCTTCTTGTCCTGCCTTCGGGTGCTTTGGACAATGCCTCCTCTCTGTGGCAGCCGCTCAAATATTGGAAGACTGCTATCATGTCTCCCCTGGTCCTTATCTTCACTAGACTAGACAAACCCAATTTCTGTGTCCCAACTAAGGGAGTGTTTTACCTTCAATAATTTTCTCTGATCTCTTAGTCCTTCTTCTCATGTGGCCCCCATCATTGGAAGAAGCTAGTAGATTGAGAGAAGAAATGAATCATTTGCTGAAAAAAGAGACTAGTATTATTTCTTTGGAAATCTAATTCAGTATGCTGCATCAGATTATACCGTTTCCTTGAGTTTGTCTAAATAGTTCAATGCTTGAAACATTGGTGTAGGAGATGACCAGGCTGAGCTGGAGGGAGGAGTTAAGTGTGTCATTAGTCTGGAGTCCCTTCATGCCTGTAAGAGATCTAAGCCCCGCCCACCTTGAATTCCGTTCACTCTTATCTACCACCAATTTTGCTTGGATTGTTAGTAGTTCAGATTCTTGTAGGGAGTTTGCAATAAGCCTTGATGGTCATTTGAACTGCCTGGATTTCCTGATTTCCCATGTTTGACAATTGGTGTATATAGAGCAGAGTTTTTCAAACTTGGCAACTTTATAATGGGCGGATTTCAGTTCCCCAAATTCCCTGAGAAGATTTGCTGTTTATTTATGAATTCTGTTCTATAGATCGAGGTTAAACATATGGAATTACAGGCAGTCTTTACTAAACAAGTGGTCGCTCAGTGAAGTTAGGACGTATCTCAAAAGAGGTACTTATGACTTGGACTTGAAGCTCCAAAGTCCATCCCAGTGGTAGGTTTCAAAATTATTTACTACCAGTTCTGGGGGCGTGGCTTGGTGGATGTGGCATGGGAAGGATACTGTAAAATCTCCATTCCCTCCCCAATCCAGGGGAAGGATACTGCAAAATCCCCATTTCCTCCCGATCAGCTGGGACTTGGGAGGCAGAGAAGAGATGGGGGCGGGGGCAGTCAGAATTTTTACTACCAGTTCTCCGAACTCCTCAAAATTTCCGCTACCGGTTCTCCAGAACTGGTCAGAACCTGCTGAAACCCACCTCTGGCCCATCCCCTCCTATTGTCTTTTGCGTATTCAATAACTGGCTCACATCTAGGGTCATTTACAATGTCCCAAGTTTTTGCCTAAAACCAGTGTTTACTTCTGGTTTCTGGCATAAAATGCCCATTGCAAACTATAGTTTGCTAAATGCCCATGGTGTTTGCTTAATGACCTCTGCAAAAAAAATAAAATAAAATAAAAGACATAAAATTGGATTGGTCACATGATGGCTGGCTTAATGACTGTCATAACTTCCAACCCCCATTCTGGGCTCAACTATGGTCGTAAGTTGAGGACCACCCGTAAACTTAGCAATGAAAACTTTGAGCTCAGTGGTGGTCATTAAGTAAAGGACTACATGGACTCATCCGGATGGGTTTTTTTTTTTTGGCGAAACTCAAGTCACTGATGGCCCTAAAGTCATGCAATCTACTTACTGTACATCCAGAAACATCCTTTGTCCTTTTTCTGCCAGCTGAGAATGTGGTCAAGCCAGGAAGTCTGGAAGAAATCTGAGAATCCAGCTAGACCGCAAAACATAACTGTGAGGAAAGAAGAGGCGGGTTGGTTGATGATCTGGTTAGTGCAACTTGAGGATTAAGAAAGGAAAACCAAAAAAAAGATGTCAGGGTATGAAGAGTTAATAGCTGTAAGCTGATGAGAAGTTGTAAGCGGAGGCAACCGGAAGCTGATGCAATAGAATGAGGCAGCAGAGTTACTGCCACTTTGAGAAGCTGGGTAAGAAGCTGCCTATATAAGGGAAGCCATGAGAAGGCGTTTCCTTCTCCTCATGCATTATCTTCATGTTCTCTCGTCTGTTGTGGTCTGCCAGCAGCCCATCAGAGTCAGACAGTGAGGAGGCTGGGGAGGACCATGGGCCAGTCCTAGAGTCTGGGGAAGGCCCGGACGAGGGCTCTGCGTTGGAGGCAGAGATGGGGCCAGGGCCATCTGGGAGTTATGTGCAGACTCCGGAGCCTCCAGAGTCGGACAGCAGAGAGGCAGAGGAACAGGAGGAGCCTGTTCCTAGTACACACATGCGAAGAGCTGCCAGAAGGCAAGAGCAGCTAAAGCAAAAAGGACAACTTGGGAGTAAGGCCAGGAGATGATTGGACCCTCCCATAAGGCTTAAAAGAGCAGCAAAGGCTCTTGGGCTCTTTGTAGGAAAGCAACGTTGTTAAATCTATTTTCCAGTCGACGTCTCTTGTTTCTGAACTTCATGGGGCTTTGCCAAGAAAGGCCTTTGGCCAAAGAAGATAAAGGTTTGTGATAAGCCAAAGGACTTTTTCTGAAGGACTTGTTTTGGAATTAATTTGGACTAAGCTGGGAATGAAGTAATTCCCAGCTGTTATAATAAAATAGGTTTGTTTAAGACTAAATTGTGTCATGTGAGACTAAGTGAGCCTAGGTCACGACATCGTAGTGTATCTCATTGCTCTCCATTGTATCAGTAGCTGTATGATAAGGTATTTAACGTATAAGTCTGTATATATTTAACTGTAGATAAAACCACTGTTATTTATCTAAAGGCTCTGTGTGCTGTGTGCTGTGTTTTGCTCCTGGGTTTATCTCATAGTTATGCTGCCTAAACTCTAACAGGTTATGGGCCCAGTCCAGAGAGAAGGCCAGAGTGAATAGTAACTAGAGAGAAGAGAATCCCATTGATGGCTCCGTCGGTGTAATGAGAAGAGGGTTCCTGGTGTCTCGACTGAATAAAACTAATTACCTCTCCTGGAATGTGAAGATGGAGATGTACCTGCAGAGGGAGGAGTTGTGGATGATTGTTACTAATCCACCAGCAGTCCCGGATGATGGGGATCAGAGAAAAAATGAAAAGGCACTAGCCAACATAATCTTTGTCTTAGAAGATAGCCAGTTTATACACATGAGGGTCTCCAGTCTGTGCAAGATTGCTGGGAGGCGTTGCGCAGCATGTATGTGAGAGAGACTGCGGGTGTTCTGCCCCAGCTACGGACCCCAAAGAACGCAGGACCCACAAAGTCCGTACAAACCTTAGTTTACTAATTAAGGACTACTAATGAGCTTTCTTAGTAGTTGTTCGAACACAAGTACAGTTTAAATCAGTCTTTTCTGAACAAGGGCTGTTAATTTAACTTCATTAACAGCCGACAAGAATCCAAAGAATAACAACTCAATTCTGAGGCACAGAATTTCAGATAACCGGAATCTTACTGTGGTTGGCAGAATGCCCAGAAGCAATTTGCAGGAAAATTGACAATACAGAAACAAGAGCCGAATCAAACGTTTCTGGAATCAAGATGCAAAGGAATATGAATGAAGTTGTTTCCTGCAAATTGCCTCAGTCGTCATCCTTCCTTAAATAGGCTAGGGGAGTGGCCAATTAGCCCCAAGCCTTACTCTCGAGGAGACCTCCTCCTGAGGAGCCACTTCTGCCTTTTAACAGCTCTGTGTGCTCGTGCATCAAGAAGAGGCTCCTCCTCTTCTTCCTCTTCACTTATGGGAGCTTCTGAAGGTTCTGAAGGCCCTGGCTGAATCCCCGCCTCTGGCACCACATCTTCTCCAGCCTCCTCATTGTCTGACTCGAGTGCCAGCTGCACAGGCTGCTGGCACAGAACCACACCAGCCTCCTCGCTGTCGGAATCAGCTACTAGCTGCACAGGCCGCTGACGGGCCACAACAGCGGGCAATAAAGTATTGCTGACTGGGAGGCTCTATAAGGCACAGCTGAAGCCAGGAGAGTGTGTGTCCACACATTTGCAGAGCATGAGATGGACATTCCTCAAGTTGGAAGAAAGGGGAATGACGGAAGACAAAAGATCTATTCCTTACAAGACTAAGAAAGACTTAGAACTGGAAATTACCCACTCATTTTGAAGAGATCACTTACTGTGCGCATCCTAGACCAAGCTAAATCCAAAAGGTGCTAGAGAATTCCTGGAAGCCCAGCACTCCATTAATCAGCCATCAATGAACACATAGAAATAAATAACATTTACACAACATATGAGCCCTGGTGGCCCTTCCTTCCTTCCTTCCTTCCTTCCTTCCTTCCTTCCTTCCTTCCTTCCTTCCTTCCTTCCATGGTGTGCAGTGGTTAGAGTGCAGTCCTGCAGGCTACTTCTATTGACTACTGTCTGCAATTTGGCAGTTCGAATCTCACCAGATTCAAGATTGACTCAGCCTTCCACCCTTCCGAGGCGGGTCAAATGAGGTCCCAGATTATTGGGGGCAAAACTGCTTAGAGAGGGCTGTAAAAACACTGTGAAGCAGTATATAAATCTAAGGGCTATTGCTATTGCTATTCCAAAGAGGAAATTTAAAAAGCTAAGAAAGAAACACTCCACCAGCCAGCTAAACAGGGATTAATACCAGCAGACAAAAAATCAAACAAACAGTAAAACAATCAACCCATTCAAAGAACTATCAAGAAGAAAACACCTCCCCACCCCCAACTCTGATAGGGCAAGCCACTTGGAAATGAATAGTGAACAAATCCCACCCCTTTCCAGCACTGATGACATTATCTAGTTGGGTAGATAACGTCAAGAAACGTCTGCAAGAAAACAACCAAGCTCGGAGAGCACCAAGGACACCAGTCTTTTTCCTCCTCCTCCCACTCCTCCTCCTCCTCCTCTCCACAAATCCCACTTCCTTCTAGCAGTGATGATGTTCTCTAGTTGGGCAATGAGACGTCGGCAAGAAAACAGCCGAGCTCGGAGAGCACCAAGGAGCCCACAGATCACTTACTGTTCTCTGTAAAGAGGTCTGCAAAATTGTGGATGAGTTTCTTCTTTTCGAGATTGCGATTAGTTTGCATCATCAAATCACACAACATGTTTTCATAGTACCCGGCATTTTGGAAGAGCGAATTAGAGCATGATTTCTAAAGAGGGAAGGGTGAGAATATAAAGAAAAGGGGGATAAAATATTGATCGATCGATTGCTATCTTCATCTTGAAACCCGAATGTTCTGCAATTGATAGAAGAAAATTAACAAAGGATAACGCTTTTTTTATAATGCCTTTAAAGCAGGGGTGAAATCCAGCAGGTTCTGGAGAACCGGTAGCGGAAATTTTGAGTAGTTTGAAAAATCGGCAAATACTACCTCGGGCTGGCCCCAGAGTGGGGTGGGAATGGAGATTTTGCAATATCCTTCCTCCAGGAGCGGGAAGGGAATGGGCATTTTACAGTATCCTTCCCCCAGGAGTGGGGTGGGAATGGAGATTTTGCAATATCCTTCCCCCAGGAGCAGGGAGGGAATGGAGATTTTGCAGTATCCTTCCCCCAGGAGTGGGGTGGGAATGGGCATTTTGTACTACCCTTTCCCCAGGAGTGGGGAGGGAATGGAGATTTTGCAATATCCTTCCCCCAGGAGCAGGGACGGAATGGGGATTTTGCAGTATCCTTCCCCCAGGAGTGGGGTGGGGTGGATATTTTAGAGTATCCTTCCCCTTCCACGCCCACAAAGCCACACCCAGAAAGCCATGCCATGCCCACAAAGCCACACCCACAGAACCGGTAGTAAAAAATTTTGAAACCCACCACTGGCCCCGCCCACATCTATTCGCTGCCTCCCGAGTCCCAGCTGATCGGGAGGAAATGAAGATTTTGCAGTATCCTTCCCCTGCCATGCTCACCAAGCCACGCCCACCAAGCCACGCCCACAGAACTGGTAGTAAAAAAATTTCAATCCCACCACTGATCCATTTGCAAGGATCTTGGACAGAAGAGCAAAGATTTTTTTGGGGGGAGAGATGGGGAGGTGTAGAGTTTAGTGGACTGGCTGGGGAATTCTGGAAGTTGGAGTCCAACATATTAAAGTTTCTAAATTTGACCAAAAAAAAAAACAAAACTGGTATAAACAGTACATTTGGAAGCCTCACCTGGTCTACAGACATTTCTTTAGTGAACAAACAAACAAATAACGGGCATTTCCTTACCATCCTGGCAAATAGAAAGTAAAAGAGTTGGTGGGACAGCGAATAACCATCGCAGTGAGTGTTGATCATGAGATTGGTGCAATTGTCTGCAATCTGGCACACATCAGAGTCATCCCTGTTGGAAAGCAAGTTAGGTAAGCACTAGCATTACTGTTTCGACTTATATACTGCTTCACAGTGCTTTCCAGCCCTCTCTAAGCGGTTTAATAAGTCATGGCCCTAAACCATTTTAGATAAGTGGCTGTCCAGTCTTTTCTTAAAAACCTCCAATGATGGAGCATCCACAAGTTCTGGAGGCAAGTCGTTCCACTGGTTAATTGTTCTAATTGTCAGGAAATTTCTCCTTAAGTCTAGGTTGCTTCTCTCTTTGATTAGTTTCCCTCCATTGCTTCTGGTCCTGCCTTCAGGTGCTTTGGAGAACAGGTTGACCCTCTCCTCTTTGTGGCAGCCCCTCAAATACTGGAATACTACTATCATGTCACCCCTGGTCCTTCATTTCTCTAGACTAGCCAAACCCAAATCCTGCAACCGTTCTCCATAAGTTTTAGTTTCCAGGCCTTTAATCATCCTAGTTGCGCTGCTCTTTGCACTTTTTCCAAAGTCGCAACATCTTTTCTGTAATGTGATGACCAAAACTGGGTGCAGTATTCCAGGTGTAACCTTACTAAGACTTTATAAAGCGGTACTAATAAGCAATAAGGTAAAGGTTCCCATCACACATATGTGCTAGTCATTCCCGACTCTAGGGGGCGGTGCTCATTTCTGTTTCAAAGCCGAAGAGCCAGCGCTGTCCAAAGACGTCTCTGTGGTCATGTGGCCAGCATGAATCAACGCCAAAGCCGCACGGAACACTGTGACCTTCCCACCAAAGGGGGTCCCTATTTTTCTACTTGCATTTTTAGGTGCTTTCGAACTGCTCGGTTGGCAGAAGCTGGGACAAGTAATGGGAGCTCACCCCGTTACGCGGCACTAGGGATTCGAACCGCTGAACTGCCGACCTTTCGATGGACAAGCTCAGTGTCTTAGCTGCTGAGCCACCGCTGTCCCTCTTAGTAATAAGCAATACTAAACCCCAATTTTGATCACATGACCTTGGGGATTCTGTGATGGTTGCATCTTCAAAGAGTAGTTATAAATCACTTTTTCCAATGCTTTGTAACTTTGAACAGCTATAAGTGGTTGTAAGTCGAGGACTATCTGTTTTTGGGGGGAGAAGGCACCCTAGGAAAATCAAAATCAAAGCGAATACCTACTTTGTTTCTAGCAGAATCGAGATGCAAAAATCACTGGTTATTAAATCCAGACAGTTGCCACTTGTTAGGGAGTAAGGCCTAGACTCCTTAATCTTTTTCCATTTCTGAGGGACCTTCCAAAATCCTGGTTTTAAAGCTGGAGCAAACTCTGAGGGGAAAACACAAGAAAGAAAGAAAGATTGCTTAGCCTTTGCTTGTGACTTAGAATCATCCAACCTATCTATTTTCTCAATATGTTGGAATAACGAATCCCAGAATTCTATTGATGTCATCACTAAAAGAGTTGGTGGACATTTCCAGATGTTCATTTCCCGATCTGAATGTAAGAGGAAGGCCTTTAGGAAGGTCTTCCTTCCTCTTTTCATGAAAGTTAATCCCAAAGATGCTTTTTCAAAAGGCGACTGGACTTTGTTTTTCCTTGAAGACGTTTTGCTTCTCACAGAATGGAAGAAGCTTCTTGGATGAGAAGTAAAATGTCTTCAAGGAAAAAATAGAATAGAATAGAATAGAATAGAATAGAATAGAATAGAATAGAATAGAATAGAATAGAATAGAATAGAATAGAATTCTTTATTGGCCAAGTGTGATTGGACACACAAGGAATTTGTCTTGGGGCATACGCTCTCAGTGTACATAAAAGAAAAGATACATTCGTCAAGAATCATAAGGTACAACACTTAATGATAGTCATAGGGTACCAATAAGCAATCAGGAAACAATATCAATATAAATTGTAAGGATACAAGCAACAAAGTTACAATCATACAGTCATAAGTGGAAGGAGATGGGTGGTGGGAACGATGAGAAAATTAATAGTAGTGCAGACTTAGTAAATAGTTTGACAGTGTTGTGGGAATTAGTTGTTAAGCAGAGTGATGGCGTTTGGGAAAAAACTGTCCTTGTGTCAGTTTATGTCCAGGATGTGAGGGATCTGTAAATATTTTCACAGCCCTCTTTTTGACTCTTGCAATATACAGGTCCTCCATGGAAGGCAGGTTGGTAGCCATGGTTTTTTCTGCAATTCTAACTATCCTCTGAAGTCTGTGTCTTTTCTTGTTGGGTTGCAGAGCCAAACCAGACAGTTATAGAGGTGCAGATAACAGACTCAAAAACAAAGAAAATCCAGTTGTCTTTTGAAAAAGCATCTTTGGGACAATCACGACTTGGATGACTTAATAACTGTGGCAAAAAACAGTCGTAGAATTGGGTGCAACTCACTTAACACTGACTTCGCTTAGCAATGGAAACTCTGGTCCCAGTTGGGGGTTGTAAGTGGAGGACTAGCTGTAGTAACAACTCACTGAGGCTGAAGTGCATGTTTGAAAGCACTTTTCCCCTAAGAAAAAAATGGATTTGAACCCAGATCTCTCTGCTTGTAGCCCAACATTTTTAACTACTTTGCCTCTCTCTTTCCATGTTGCCAGCAACTGGTTTTCACAGATCGGGTCACGATTTGTTGGCAAAGCAACTATATTTGCATGCAGAGAGTCCCAGATTTATCTCCCTGGCTTTCAAATTAGATTCCAGAGCAAGGAAGAGCAATTATCGCACTCAGAATAAAATAATCTCCTGCGTTCCTTTGGCAGAAGTGGGTAATTGCCTTCCCAGGGCGATATGTAGTCCCCAAGCTCTCCTTTGTATCTCTCAGAGTCTCTTCTAGCAACAATTGTTGAAAATCATTGCTAGTTTCTGGCTGTTTTGTGCCAAACGCTCCCTAAAGGTATAATACGAGCCATAAAACAAACACATCATTGCTTAAAATAATGAAGAAATCCCCAACATAATGCAAGTAACTTGGAAAATAAGGAGGTGGAGCGGTATCTCGACTCCATCCTAGTATGTATGTATATACCTGTTTCCCCGAAAATAAGACATCCCCTGATAATAAGCTCAATCGGGCTTTTGAGCACATGCGCTAAAATGAGTCTCCCTCCCCGAAAATAAGCCCTCCCCAAAAATATTTAAACGCTTAGCTGGAAATCAGGTAAGATGGCAAGAGGAGCCCCATCTTGCTCCACGCACCCCAAAATAATAAGACCTCGCTGAAAATAAGGCCAACCACTTATTTCGGGTTTCAAAAAAATATAAGAGAAGGTCTTATTTTCGGGGAAACACGGATATGTATTTATATAAAATAAATACATAATCACATGCATACACACATACTTATGTGTGTATGCATGTGATTATGTATTTATTTTATATCCCATCTTTTATTATTTTTATTAAAAAGGCAGCAAATGTACATAATATTTCTTCCTCTCCCATTTTCCTCGGTACAACAACCCTGTGAGGTGACTTGGGCTGAGGGAGAGGGACTGGCCCAAAGTCACCCAGCTGGCTTTCATGGCTGAAGGTAGGTCTAGAACTCACCATCTCCTGGTGAATAGTCTAGAGCAGGGGTTCCCAACCTTTTCTATACCTTGCACCCCTAGAATGCTTCTGATATATCCTTCTACCCCTTACAAAAGTAAAGAATTATATGCATATAATTATGCATATACACTATAATTTTGAAACTTCTAAGCCCACGTTTTCACACTCCCTGGACAGGGGTGAAATGCTCTGAAGTCTGCTATTGGTTTGTTTCATGCTCACATGTACAATGCACACCAAATGCGTGCTTCACATGCATACTCATCGCAGGCGCTACCACACAGCGCTGAAAAAGGAGGATTAAGAAACCTTTTCTGAAAATCTTTTTCCAAAAATCCAAAAAAATCAAATTCTCTCTAACCTTGATGTCACACGCTGTCTCCTTTCCTTTTCTTCCATTGCGGCCGCCCCAGCTTCCTAGCGACTTCTACAGTCGCTTTCTCCCCTGTCCGGTTTGAGGAGCTTCTTCTAGTCCAGCCAGGGAGTTTGCAATCTCCCTGTGCTGGACAGTCCATGCTTCTCTTGTTTGTCGTCCCTACAGGATGACTTAGGTCAGTCGGGACCCCCAGACAATGGAGATATTGACGGGTCTTCAAGAGACTTCAAAGAACTTGTCGTACCGCTGTGATGCTGGCCACGCCAGCGAGGGGAGGGAGAACAGCTGTGCCACGTGATTTAGATTTGCTGCTTTCTAGCGAATATAAATCACGTGGCACAGCTGATCGTCGGAAATACCGGTTCGCCTGAACCAGTAGCATTTTTTTTTATTACTGATTCATCCAAATCAGTAGTATTTCAACCCTGCCCCTGGAATATCGTCTCACAACCCTGGTGTCAGCGCTTCAACGCTGGCATAGAGAGCAGAGGAGAGAGAGAGATAAGCTCTGAACTTTTGCCTGCTAAATCCCTTTGAAGTCGGGTTGTCGTGGAAATGAAAGGAGGGAGACATTCCTGGGAAATGATGAGACAAGAAGTCTGGAGAATGACCTGGAAGATAGCCAATGAGAAGCAGAGAATTGGGGATCGGAAAGGGAGGGATTGGGGGGCAAAAGGTCAGTCTTGTCCGCATCGAGTCGTGATCCGGTGGCTGTGCTCAATTAAAGAAAAGATTTCCTTAAAGATTGGCAGTTTGGAAATTAATTTATTTTGAGATAGCATCGAAGTCTGACACCTGGTTGGGAACCCCTGGCCTAGAGTCACCCAGCTGGCTTTGATGGCTGAGGCAGGACTAGAACTCACTGTCTCCTGTTTTCTAGCCTGGTGTCTTAACCACTAGATCAAACTGGTTCTCTAGTTTGCATCTCTAGCATGCCCGCTGCAAAAAAAAACCCAAAACCCACAAAGCAGGGGTGAAATGCTCCCGGTTCAGACTGGATCGCCCGATCCAGTAGCGATGGCGGCAGGTGGTTCGGAGAACCGGTAGCAAAAATCCCTGCAGGGCCCCCCCCATGCCCAGCTGAGCTGCGTGATCATCAGAGGCTGTTACTTTTACTTTTAAAAGCATTTTTTCTACAACCCCTTTGGCTGAAAAAATGCTTTTAAAAAAAAAAAGCCTCTGATGATCGCGTGGCTCAGCTGGGATTATCAGAGGCTTTTAAAAGCATTTTTTTCTACAAGCTCTTTGGCCAAAGAGGTTGTAGGAAAAAAAATGCCTTTAAAAGCGTCTGGCGATCCCAGCTGAGTTGCCTGATCGTCAGAAGCTTCTAAAAGCATTTTTTTTTCTGCAACCCCTTCGGCCGAAGAGCTTGTAGAAAAAATGCTTTTAAAAGTAAAAAGAAAAAAGAAAAAAAAAGTTGGCCACACCCACCCAGTCACATACCCCCACCACCACCAAGCCACGCCCACAGAACCAGTAGTAACAAATTTTAGATTTCACCCCTGCCACAAAGCTATTAATGAATAGCTCTTGGCAATGAAACATTTTCTTTCCCACACTAATGAAAGAATTCACATCAAACTTCTGTTCCTAGGCAGACGGGGGGGACCTACCTTTCCTAACCACGGTTACCTAATTCTACTGAAATAACAGTTGCATCTTTTACCTTTGTGGGATACCGGATCTTGTCTTTCAATGTTTTGGGCTGCCTCCTCCATGAAGGTCAACAGCTTCTCCCTCACCGCCATGACTCTCTGCCGCTCGATGGTTAATTCCGCCCTGTTTTCCCATACCTCCACTACCGTGTTCAAACATGCTAGAGGTTTCCAGAGGGAGAAAGGGAAAAAAAAAAAGAGATGGAATTCATACCATATCTCAAAAGTCAAGAGAGATGGAATGACACGGATGTGATGTTGTGCGTTGCCAAGCTTTTCCAATTCATTTTAGTGCGTTTTGAGGGAGGTGGAAATGTAACAACAAGACAAGAAGTGGATTGATTGATTGATTGATTGACTGATTGATTGACTGCCATCAGATCACTTTTGATTCCTAGCGACCACAAAGATTTTCTGCAAGAAGAGGATGGCACTAGAATATTTGGTACAGTAGATCTCCTTGGGAGTCTGGAAGAAGCTAGTTATGAAACAAATGTTATAACATTAATGCAACCTCCATCTGAAATGAGTTTGCATTTCTGTCACTCCAAGACAATTGAAGTTCTTGACTCCCTCCCATCATAAATTTCCCAAAACAGCCATTTCTAGATTATTTATTTGTTTATTTAGCATATGGCATCAGTGGTTTTGCAACCACTGATATACAACCATTAATAAAACACATTTTGCATTCAAACACAACTGTGTGTAAGCAGAGCATCAACAGATATATGTATCAGGGGTGAAATGCTACCGGTTCGAACCAGTTCAGGCAAACCGGTAGTAAAAAATGCTACCGATTCGCCCGAACTGGTATTTTCAACGATCAGCTGGGCGAAGATCAGCTGTGACGTGTGATTTATATTAGCTAGAATCATCGGATTTCCTGCTTTCTAGCTAATCTAAGGTGACCAGACGTCCCGCTTTTGGCGGGACAGTCCCGATTTTTAGCAATTTGTCCCGCGTCCTGCGGCGTTTCAAAAAAGTCCCGATTTTTCATTCTGCCTCCTCAGTCCCGCTGCCTCTTGAGCCCCAGCTGATGGCTAGAAGAAAAAAAAACTGTTTAAACTCTTGCCCGGGGCTTCAAAGGGCCGCCCTACAGGCAATCAGTGTAAAGAGTTCCTGAAGCAGTTTTTTTTTCCCCTAGCTAAGCTGCAGAAACGAAACCGAAACCAGGATCTTTGGTGCAACGTGACAAAATGAGGCAGAGAGAGATTTATTTTTATTTTTATTTTTCCTCCCCAAAAAAGGTAGGTGAAAAACTGCAAACAATGGGAAATTTAGGAGGAGAGTTCAAGATTTTAAAACACAAAAGAAAAAAAAGCTGTATTTAACTAGGGAATTGTAATAATTGAGATACTATTAATTGTATATTGTGTTGAAAGCAGAAATGGTTAAGTTGTGGTTCAGAGGAATATATGGGGGAAATTATTTGGTTTATTATTATTGGTAAATATAATTAATTGATTTGTAAGAAATTGGATTGCATGGAAATAATAGGAATATTCATGTTCATATTGATTAATATACAAAAAAGATAGTTTTATAACTAATTGATTTATATTAAAATGTTGAATTTGTATTAAACAACTGTATTACATAATTACATAATTAAACAATGTGAGGATGGATATAAAAATAGATGACAATGGGAAGGGGTATAATATAGAATAGAAGGGAAAAATTGAATTTGATTAAGATTAGAGATGAGGATGAAGGGTAATATTGGTTTTTTTAAAAAAATAGATGAGGAATAAATATGGCAAAAAGGAAATATAGAAATTGTAAATTTAATTGAAGTGACTAAACACTGTTTAAATTTGTGAACCGGCCAAATACTCTGTTCAAAGAAAATAAATTGTATGTTTGTATGTGTGTTTCTAATTACTGCTATTTATTCATATTTGTTCTCTTTTATTCTTTAAAGTTTAACCATTCATTCTTTATCTTAATATCTTTATATTTGTTTGGGATTGGCTTTCTTCCCTTTCATCTTTTTTATTGTACAGCAATCTTTCTCCTCAAACCTACCACCTCTCTCTTTTCTTTCCTTCTTACTTTCTCTTCCCCCCCTCTTCTTCTCCTCCCTACTTCCTCTTCCTTTCTCCTTCTCCTCCTCTCTTCCTCCCCCTCTTACCTTCACTCCTACTCTAATTTCCCTTCCCTTCCTTCATCCCTCTCTATTGCTGTATCCTTTTATGCATATGGACTACTCAGAGGGCTGAAAAAGTTATTTTTGACTGGTCCTCGCACTTTTGACCAGTCCTCGAACTTACGACTGTCTTCACATTTTACGTTTTTTGCTCTATCTTATCACCATGGTGAAGAGAAGCAGTTGTGAAATGAGTGACATGGTTGTTAAGGATGCTGCATGGGCATAAATGTGAGGATGGTCATAAGTGTGAGGACCAGTCAAAAGTGCGAGGACCTGTCAGAAATGATTTTTTCAGCCCTCTGGTTAGTCCTTTTGTGCATATGGACTACTCAGAGGGCTGAAAAAGTTATTTTTGACTGGTCCTCACACTTTTGACTGGTTCTCACACTTATGACCATCCTCACATTTATGCCCATGCAGCATTCTTAACAACCATGTCACTCATTTCACAACTGCTTCTCTTCACCATGATGACAAGATAGGGCAAAAATGTAAAATGTGAGGACAGTCGTAAGTTCGAGGACTGGTCAAAAGTGCGAGGACCAATCAAAAATAACTTTTTCAGCCCTCTGAGTAGTCCATATGCACAAAAGGACTAACCAGAGGGCTGAAAAAAGTCATTTCTGACAGGTCCTCAAAAGGCTTTAAAATGTTCCTTTTTTAGCGCTGTGCGGGTGCACCTCAGGTGTGCATGCTCGGTAACAGACTCACAGAACCGGTAGCAGACTTCAGAGGATTTCACCACTGATATGTATGTGTGTAAAATATGTGGACAGTACAATATATAAGATAAAACCTTAAATTGAGGGAAAAACCATGATAAAATCACCATTTATTTAATTTTATTTAGTGTCTGGCATCTACAGAGGCCATGCAATGATTGATATGCAAATTTAATTTAAATAATGGAACTGGATATTGCATCCCTCAAGGTCAAAAATGGCAGAGGCAGCAATTAGACTACAACAGTTCTTTTAAGAAAATGACTGAGAAAAGGTATTTTAAATCACCATAATATGGCATCATATAGTAGGATAGATGTTATAATTCAGTATCTAAGGAAGCTGACCATCTAACTGCTTCTGTAAGGGCTAATTTCTAGATTTCTACATCACCCATCTGCACTAATGGTATCTTCCTGTTTTGGAAAACATCGCAAGGAGGAAACTCAACACCACAGTACACTACCAATGCTATTTAGTAGTACTGTAGTAAATACTTGGGGACGCGGTGGCTCAGTGGGTAAGACGCTGAGCTTGTCGATCAAAAAGTCGGCAGTTCAGCGGTTCAAATCCCTAGTGCCGCATTAAACGGGGTGAGTTCCCGTTACTTGTCCCAGCTTCTGCCAACCTAGCAGTTCGAAAGCAGGTAAAAAATGCAAATAGAAAAATAGGGACCACCTTTGGTGGGAAGGGAACAGCGTTCCGTGTGCCTTTGGTGTTGAGTCATGCCGGCCACATGAGCACGGAGATGTCTTCGGACAGCGCTGGCTCTTCGGCTTTGAAACGGAGATGAGCACTTCCCCCTAGAGTTGGGAACGACGAGCACGTATGTGCGAGGGAAACCTTTACCTTTTGAGTTAATACTTGGATGAGAATTCTTAGGGCTGGACTGGAAGTCATAAAATTGTCTTGTAAGAGGGCAGGAACAAACTTTCCTGTGGTTGGTTTGACAGGGATGTATCCATGAGTCACTGGAATCTAGCTTGATTTGAGGGTGTTTTCCATTTTAAGTTTTTAAAAGCTCAGACTCTTTATTAGTCATTATTAGTTAGACAACATCAGGACAGATCTGACTCCTGACCTGTTGTTCTGCCCTGCCCGTCTCTACCAATAACATCCAATTTCCATGCTTTCCTTGATCACACCCAAGGGTGAAAGCTACTTACCTATCTTACCGGTTCGGAAGTGCATGCGCCGTGCACGAGAGAGAGCGAAAAACCTTCTGCGCAGAAGGTAAACAAACATTACTTCCTGGGTAAAACCAGCTGGTCGGCAATTGCTACCTGATCGCTGAACCACAGGGAAAAATTGTTACCGGATCGGGCAATCCGGTCCGATCTGGGAGCATTTCACCCCTGATCACAGCCATGTTCCTCTTCTACTGCCATCCCTTCTTCTTTGTCCTGTCAACAGAGTCGTTCTTTGTAGTCTTTCATCCACCTGTAGGACATCTTCAAAACATGGGGAAGTTTCTGCCTGTCGCCCAACCAACCTTCTTACTTCCAATAACCATCTTCAAATCAATTGTTTCATGGCGTCTACCTCCTTCCCTTCCCTCTTTCTCATTCTCCAGCTTTCAAAGACCGTGTCTTAATCCTCGTGATTTTTGTCATTTACCGAATTTATTCATCACTCATCACTTTATCCCGCTCGTCACTGTCTTCCTCTTTTCAGTTAATCTCCTCCTTATTTCTCCATCACAATTTCCCACTTTATGTGTTCCTCAGGGCCAATATTCACTTACCTTTGCTACCGGTTCGCAAATGTGAGTGCCATACACATGCAGGAACGTCCGTGCATGCACAGAGCATCAAAATGGGGTATGATGACATCCGGACAGGTGGGCGGAGCTTCCCACCACTTCTACCGGTTCGCCCAAACCGGATATAACCGGTTGAATACCACCACTGGTGTTCCTCAGCCCAAGGACACAAAGCACCCATCTTCCCTTAACAGAATAACAAGAGTTGTGAAGGAACCTTGGAGGTCTTCTAGTCCCACCCCCTGCTCAAGCAGGAGACCCTATACCAGTTATGGCGAACCTTTTCAGCACCGAGTGCCCAAATCGGAATGCACACGCATGTTCGTGCATGTGCGTGCCCTGGTGTGCCAGAAACCCAAAGACCAGCTGGCGAGTGTGTATGATTTTTGGCCGTTTTGGGGGCTGTTTTCAGGCCATTGTTGGGTCGTTTCTGGCCAAAAAAACAGCCTGAAAATGGCCTGAAAACAGCACAAAAAGCTGCCTGAAAACTGGCTGAAAAACTGCCTGAAAATGGTCCAGAAAACGGCCTTCTTTTCAGCTGTTTTTCGGGCTGTTTTCCAGCACTCCAGCGCCCGCAAAGAGCAGCTGGCGATGCTGCGTGTGCCCACAGAGAGGGCTCCGAGTGCCACCTCTGGCACGCGTGGCATAGGTCTGCCATCACACTCCTATACCATTTCAGACAAATCGTTATCCGATCCATTTCTTAAATACCTCCAGTGTTGGAGCACCCACAAATTCTGGGAGCAATTCAGTCCCTTCTTTGCAGTCAACTTTAAGCCTAATGCCAACCACCACAGCAGTGGGTAAAAGTGGTACCTTCCAAGATAATGAATCCCAATAGTGCATCTATGTTAATGTTGTCGTGGTTTTCAGCCAGGAACATAACTGCCTTCTCCATGGCGGAAATGATAGCATTCCTTCTATCTTCTTGACAAGAGGAGGGTTGCAGGTTCACGAGACAGATCAACAGCAAAAATACAAAATTCAGCATTTTTTGCATCGGGGCAGGAGAAAGCAACAGAGGCTTTTGATAAGGCTCTGTGAAAAACCTCCAGAATCCTCTCTTTGTTCTTTATATAGGTAGGATTTGTATACACAAGCATCCACGTCAGAGCCCAAGGAGCTCTGATTGACAGCTAAGCTCTCACTCCTTTACAAAGAGCCATTGAAGTTCCTCCAGGGGCCAAATTATATTTTTGTGGATGGATGTGAGTCGCTCCAAAATCACTTGGGAGTTGAGTCAAGGAAATGAAATCTTGTTTTTGTCTGAATGTTATGAAATCTCTTTAAAAAGAGGAAAACACTGAAAAAAAACCCTAATACAAAGTAAAGGAGGGAAAAAAGGGGAAAGAAGAAGCAACAAAAGGTACACAAAGAAAAGATAAATAGAAGTTTCCAATTTCTTTGCAGCAAATATGTGTGGTTACACAATTATCTCTTTAGAAAAAAACCCTTTCTTTTATTACCTAATATTTTCTAACGGCACAAATCATATCCCTTTTTTTCTGCTTCATGCAAAATGTTCCTGAGGATTTTCCAGTCAGCAGCAAAGGAAATCACTGTCTTTTCTTTAATTAAATTAAGTCAAATTTCATCAACTAATACAGCAACCATTCCTCCTTTGTAGACAGTACTGAATCTTTTAACTTTTAAGCGAATAACAATCTTGCTGCACTTGTCACATATCAAAACAAAACCTCTGTGATTTCTGTTCCAGCTGATCATCCACTCAGCCTCCCAAAAGAGTCTCTGGTTTCAATTGTACGTTAGTCTTCAAAATCTTTAAAGCCTTTAAAAATCTTCTGAATTAGTGCGTGGGTTTGGTTCCAAGAATTGCTGGTTTTCTTGCATCGCCATCAAACATAATACGCCCCTTCGTGTTGGCTCACATTTCCAGCATAAATTTCAAGTACTCTGTTGAAAGAAATTGTCATTGTGGCATTCACAACAGCAAAAGTGCACACCTCTTAAAATAACCAAGGTTGAGAAACATTAACCTAGTTAAAGGTAAAAGTTCCCTTTGCACATATGTGCTAGTCGTTCCCGGCTCTAGGGGGCAGTGCTTATCTCCGTTTCAAAGCTGAAGAGCCAGCGCTGTCTGAAGATGTCTCCGTGGTCATGTGGCCGGCATGGCTAAACGTCAAAGGCGCACGGAACGCTGTTCCCTTCCCACCAAAGGTGGTCCCTATTTTTCTACTTGCATTTTTTACCTGCTTTCGAACTGCTAGGTTGGCAGAAGCTGGGACAAGTCACGGGAGCTCACCCCGTTATGCGGCACTAGGGATTTGAACTGCTGAACTGCCGACCTTTTCGATCGACAAGCTCAGCATCTTAGCCACTGAGCCACCGTGTCCCAGAGTTAGAAGAGTTAGACCAAGTTAGACCTAGTTAGAAGAGAATAAATGTAGCTCAGGACTGAACTGTGGTGTCCTTGGTGCTCTCTGAGCTTGGTTGTTTTTCGTGTAGACATTTTATTACCCAACTAGGTAATATCATCAGTGTTAGACGGTTGTGGAGGTTTTATACAGGTTTAGCCCACTCCCTTCTAACACTGATGATGTTTCATAGCTTGGTAATGAAACGTCTGCAAAACATCCACCAAGCTCTGAAGGCAACAAGGATCTCACTGATCTAATTGATGGGAACTCAATGTTTCTGCTGCTCCTCCGTCCTTTGCAGTAGCGCCCTGAAAGTGGGATAGATGAGTTACATCTTCCTCTTAGATGCTCTGTCTCCATTCTTTGGGTTGGAAACTTTTTTCCCCCTTTGGAATCCCCTCCCACACATGGCACCTAGAATACTGCATCCAGGTTTTATCACCACACTATAAAAAAAAGGATGTTGAGACTCTAGAAAGAGTGCAGAGAAGAGCAACCAGGATGATGAGGGGACTGGAGGCTAAAACGTACGATGAACGGTTGCAGGAACTGGGCCTGGCTAGTCTAGTGAAGAGAAGGACCAGGGGAGACAGGATAGCAGTCTTCCAATATTTGAGGGGCTGCCACAGAGAGGAGGGAGGTCAAGCTATTCTCCAAAGCACCTGAAGGTGTTATGCCAACAAGGTGTAATGGATAGAAACTGATCAAGTGAAGTGTTAATACCACTCTATAAAGCCTTAGTAAGACCACACCTAGAATACTGCATCCAGTTTTGGTCACCACACTATAAAAAAGATGTTGAGACTCTAGAAAGAGTGCAGAGAAGAGCAACCAGGATGAAGAGGGGACTGAAGGCTAAAACATATGATGAACGGTTGCAGGAACTGGGCCTGGCTAGACTAGTGAAGAGAAGGACCAGGGGAGACATGAGAGCAGTCTTCCAATATTTGAGGGGCTGCCACAGAGAGGAGGGGGTCAAGCTATTCTCCAAAGCACCTTTGAAGGAATAGCAGATGGAAACTGAACAAGGAGAGATTCAAGCTGGAAATAAGGTGAAATTTTCTGACAGTGACAGCAATCAGCCAATGGAACAGAAGTTGCCTTTGGAAGTTGTGGGAGTTTCTGTCAGGTATAAATGCTCTGCCCGTGCCAGGGATCAGCTATAGCTCAGTAGTGCAAGGGTTAACCCAGACTCCCACCTGGTCAGCTCCTCCCATAGACCCCTCCTTACCTGAATCCCCGCCCACAGGTATAAAAGGTGGGCACACTCCTCCATGTTCCAGATCCTAATGTATTCAAGTGATGATATGATGAACCTGCAAATAAAAGAGAGATATTTTACTTGATGACTCAAGTCTCTTTATTGGGCCTGATCCACCATTCCTCGTAACAATATGGTAGCAGAGGATGGTTGGTAAGGCCCAGAGATCCCAAGCCACAAGACAAGGACCCATACCTACCTGCAGAATGGCGACACCCCCGAAGCAATGGGAAAGCAACCCATCGGACTCGCCAGGGAAGGCAGGAACCTCAACCACCCCCAAAGCCACCGCGACGGAAGAAAGGGGGGAGATCGAGAAAGGGAAAAGGGCCCACCACTACGATCAAGAAGAAGAGAAGCTGCGACTCGACGTCCTGCAGCTGTTGAAAGAGCGAGCCGGTGACAAGAACCTCCTTGCTGACCTGCGGAGCTTCATAATCGACCGCGAGGTGGCAAGGAGCGAAGAGGGCTCGGACTCCAAACTCGAGGAGCTGGACTCGGTGAGTGGATCGCCCAAAAGGGCACCCCCAACGGCCACCGAGCCCCAAAGCCCCGCTCTAAATTTGAAACGGCGGCCATCTTTGTCCACATGGTCGGACAAGATGGCCGACCCCCAACCAATCAGCAAACAGAATTCAAAATGGCCGGCGCGCGAAAAATGCCGGACCATAAACAATGATGAAAGTGACCGGGGAGAGGGGACTGAATCCGACTCCGACCCCTGGTACACCCCCAGCGAGCGGCAAGTGGATAGGGCCATGAAGACCCTTGCCGCCGCCTTCGGCCCAGGCCTCAAAATCACTAAAGAGAAGCCGGAGAGGCCAAAACAAAAGGGAAGACGAGGAGAGGGGCATCGGAACACCCACCCGAGAGCCACCGACGCCCGTGACAATTCGCCAGCCCACCTTCGCACCCCAGGGACACCGCGCCTCCGATCGCTCAGGCCGCGCACCCCGGACCGCATGGATTGGGGCAGCTACTTACAGCCATCGCCGGAGCCCCAGCACCACCAGGATCTTCATTCCGGAGAAGCAGCTGCTGGACGACGCCTTCCGGAGCACACCTGGACCCCCAAGGCCGAAGCTGAGGCCTACCCGACCGGCAGTAGCCTCTACAGCGGAGCCGCGATGAACAGGTCCTTCCACAGCGACGGCGAAGCTGAAATGGACTTCGCGCATGCGCTCTTCCGCCTAGAGGAAGAAAAAAGAAAAAAATTACAAAGCGGGACTTTTAAACTACCGGCAAGCGTTCCCATGCCTTACTGCTGCTATAGACACATAAGGAACCATGGACAGCAGCCAGCAGTAAGTAATTTTACAAATAGTGCTGGGAACTTACCTGTTGACTTTCCCAAGTTGAGGATGGATGGGGGTAATATCCTAGAGTGGTCACAGCAGCTCCAGGTAGTATTCCTGAAAGAAAATATGTCTCATTTTATTAATGACCCCCCCAGAGAGACCATGGACCTTAGAGCTGGATTGCATGCACCATAGGGCATTCTATCTTTTGATTGCCAGCATATCTCCCACAATTTACCACTGTATAGGCCATAACCTCACGGTATCAGAAATTATAGGAAAAATGTTTGGGTTGTTTTACAGTGAGAGTGTGTCCACCACCACCCAAATTTCCAAAGACTTCTTTTCCGCCAGGCTTAAACCAGGGACCCCCATGAGTGAGCACCTAGTGTCATTGAGCGGTACCAGAGCAGAGCTACACCTTAGGGGGGAAGTTATTTCCGACCAGATTATGAAAAGCGTGATAATCAACTCTTTAGACCACTCATGGAATAACTTCTTGACACACTTAGACACCGTTAGTTTAGGGATGCTATCCGTGGAGAAGCTATCCAACAAGTTTATCGCAGAAGATAATCTGAGGAGGAGCCGCCCCGGCCCTCCCAGAGAACACAAAAGTGAGAAGAGAGTAGTCTTCCAAGAGAAACAACACAACACGCCAGAGTGCTACATCTGCGGGTCGAGGGGACACATCAAAAGGGACTGCCCCAAGAACTATAGGGAGAGAGGCAGGCCAGAGCACAGGTACAGACAAATGGAAAGGCACACATCCGAAGAAAGGTATAGGCGTAGAGACTCGCCCATTCCCAGGGATAAGAGGGGGAACAGAGACAGCTCACGCGACAGCAGGACAGGGTCTCTATATGGGATAGGGGAGCACACACCACACACCAAGACAAAGACACCAGCTCATGGCTCCTGGACTCGGGAGCCTCCAACCACACCACCTACAACCAGAAACTACTCTCATCATTCAAGAGGGAGGATTTTTCGATCAAAGTTGCGGACCAAAACCAGGTTAGAGTAACAGGCAAAGGGACAATTACATTACCAGGCGTAGGGAAAATAGAGGGGGTACTGCTAGTCCCGGAGATACCCCACAACATCCTGGCCGCAGTAAAGCTTAGCAAGGAATCAGGGGTTGAGGTGACCTTCACAAAAGGCAGTGTCAAGGTTAGCAAGGATGGGGAAGATGTAGGAAGAGTAACCGTTAACCAAGGGTTACCTTACATAACTTTCTATGAGGATTACACCCACAGCATAAACACCAGTTCAGAGAACGCAAAGGACACTGACCAAGACAGGACTGAGGGTGAACAGGTAGGCGGGAGAGAGACAGATAGCGATGATAACACGACACCAGAAACACAACACAACAAACACACCCAAAAGAGGCCCTCAATAGGCAAACCAATGCATGACGACTGTGCCCATCTGCTGCACCGGAAGCTTGGACACGCCAGTTTTCCCGTGATACAGAAAATGGCCAATTGTACCGAGGGTGTCATAATAAAAAACTGTGAAAACTACCTCAAGTGCTCGGTGTGCAAGTGTTCAAAACTAAAGGTAAAACCCAGACCCAAGAAATCGTTACGTGCCGCCAAACAAATATTCGACTTAGTACACATGGACCTGGTAGGGCCCCTAAGACCATCCATAAATTACAAGAAAAGGTACTTCCTCACCATAGTGGATGACTATAGTCGATATGGCTTTGTCTACACCTTAAGAAAGAAGGATGAGGCCTTCCAAAAATTCAAAGAGTTTTATAAAAGAGTAGAAACCCAAAACAACAAACAAATCAAACAAATCATGACCGACAGAGGGTCTGAGTTTCTATCTAAGGACTTCTCCCATTGGCTCAGGTCCAAAGGCGTGATTCACTTTACGTCGTCCCCGTTTTCCGCCTTTCAGAACGGGGTCGCAGAACGACGGAACTCCACACTGCAAACGATGGTCAGGTGCGCCTTAGAGGACGCGGGCATTGGCCAACACTTCTGGTCTGAAGCCCTGGTCTACTCCAACTACACACTAAATAGAACGTGGTCCAGTGTGATTGACAAAACACCATACGAGATCATGTATAACAAGAAGCCACAGATAGCACACCTACATGTGTTCGGTGTAACTGCTGATGTACACATACCCAAGCAGTTGCGCAAGAAAGGGGATAAGGTATCCAGAAGGCTCAGGTTTATGGGATACGAGCCAGGAACCAAGGGATTCAGGTTTGTGGACAGCAATAATAGGTTTGTGGTCTCTAGAACAGCGGCATTCCATGAGCAAGCCAACTGGTCCAGAATACACTTAAATGAGGTACCCACCAAGCGGGAGGATAGTCCAATCGAGCAAACTCAAAACAAAAACGAGACAGTGGGTAGACAGGAAGGGAGCAGGCCCAAGCCCAACCTCCAAGGCATCAAGGTTGAGGGATGGAAAGAGAATCATCCCAAGATAAGTGTCGAATCACTGACACAAAGAGAGGCCAGATATCTGCATGATACTGAGCAGACAGCAACCAGACCGGTCAGGTCAACCAGAAACCAGCTACCAAGAAGGCTAAATGATTACGTGATGCACGTGCACACGAACCACGTTACGCCAAACTCCTACGAAGAGGTACTGAGACTACCCCAGGGGGAGAGGGCAAAGTGGGAGTTAGCCATGGCCAAAGAACTGGACAGCCTGAGGAAGCTGGAGGTATACACCACCACCAAAGTCCCAGAGGGCAAGAACACAATAGGCACCCGATGGATCTTCAAGGTCAAGAACTTAGAGGGCGGCCAAAGCCTATACAAAGCAAGATTGGTTGCCCAGGGGTTTGCTCAAAGGTTTCCGGAGGACTACAGAGACACCTATTCGCCCACCGTAAGAACAGAGAGCGTCAAAAGCGCCTTGGTCATCGCATCCTTGCTAGGGCTGGAGGTGCACCAGTTCGACGTGCAGACCGCCTACCTGCACGCCAAACTAGACAAAGAGATATACATCAGAGCCCCCCACAGCAAAGAAACCAACAGAGGGGACACCTGGTTACTTCATAAGAGCCTGTACGGGCTAAAGCAATCAGGCAAACGCTGGTACGAATGCCTGGTAGAGGCCCTGAAGTCTATGGGATTCACGGCGACCATAGCTGACAACTGTTTCTTCACCAGGAAAGAGGGGGACTCGCCAGAATACATCCTAGTTTACGTGGATGACATTCTATACATCAGGAAACACGAAGCCAACCGCAACACCTTCGCCAGCAGGCTGAGCGAGCATTTCACCCTAAAATACCTTGGAAGGATAAACCGGTACCTGGGAGTACAAGTCAATCAAACACCAAAAGGTTTCCAACTGTCACAGAAAGAGAAAATAGAAGAGTTACTCCATAAGTGCAACATGGCAGACGCCAAGGGATGTGATTCACCCATGCAGGCGGACTTCCTAAAAAACATGCATGATGAATCACCCGAATTTGGAGACAACACGCTGTACAGGTCAGTCATAGGCTCCCTCCTGTATATCGCTAACTGGACAAGACCGGACATTGCTCTATCCGTTAATTTACTGTCCAGGCACGTGAGCAAACCCACCACATACCACTGGGACGCAGTGAAAAGGGTGCTAAGATACCTGAAACAAAGTGTCAATGCATGCTTAACCCTAAAGCCTGAAAAATCCGACGAACCCATCCTCTCATGCTACGCTGATGCTGACTGGGCCGGGGACGCCAAAGGCAGCAAAAGCACGTCTGGGTACATATTCTACTTAAATAACTGTCCGGTGCATTGGTACACAGGCAAACAAATCTTGGTGGCAACCTCGACTACTGAAGCTGAATACATATGCCTCTCCAAAGCCGCCAACAATCTCATCTGGTTCGACGACCTACTCGCCAGCGTGTGGAGAGAACCAGCTTACCCAATAAATATCTACGAAGATAACAAAGCCGCCATAGAGATATCCATGTCCGACGCTGTAGGGCAAAGGTCAAGGCACATAGACATAAAGTATAAGCACGTTAGACAGCTCTCCAGAATCAGTTTCATAAAGGCCATACACTGCGATACAGAAGAACAGACCGCAGACATACTCACGAAACCCCTACAGGGCAAGCAACACTCACACTTAGTTTCCAAGCTCAACATCCACCCCAGGGTGCCAACCAGTCAGTCACGGGTCAGGCATCTAGAGGGGGATTTGTCAGGTATAAATGCTCTGCCCGTGCCAGGGATCAGCTACAGCTCAGTAGTGCAAGGGTTAACCCAGACTCCCACCTGGTCAGCTCCTCCCATAGACCCCTCCTTACCTGAATCCCCGCCCACAGGTATAAAAGGTGGGCACACTCCTCCATGTTCCAGATCCTAATGTATTCAAGTGATGATATGATGAACCTGCAAATAAAAGAGAGATATTTTACTTGATGACTCAAGTCTCTTTATTGGGCCTGATCCACCATTCCTCGTAACAGTTTCATCAATGGAAGGTTTCAAGAAGAGGCTGGACTGCCCTTTATCAGAAATGGTGTAGGGTCTCTCCTGCTTGAGCAGGGGATTGGACTAGATGACCTCCAAGGCCCCTTCCAACTCTGTTATTCTGTTAATATGTTCCTCACTTTGAAATTGTTTATAGACATAATAAAGGTGGGAGTAGATGACCTCCAAGGTCCCTTCCAACTGCTTGACCGTGCTAGTTAACAACTGTTAACATAGAGAAAAGGGACCAGAAGATACAATATTGCATTCATTCCAGCGGCGCTCTCTCTATACCAGGGGTCTCCAATCTTGGCCACTTTAAGACTGAGGAATTGTGGGAGTTGAAGTCCAACAAGTCTTAAAGTGGCCAAGATTGGAGACCCCTGCTTTATACATTCAAAATCCCCCGTCGACGTCTGTAGTTGGTCCTCCCGGCCGGCAGGTCGGCGCCGTCCGCGACGTGCAATGGGCGGCGCTGCCGGAGCCGCTCCGCGCGGCCTCTCTCACCGTCTCTTCCAAGATGGAGGCCGGCGATTGGCTGTTTTTGGGGACGGCGCTGCTTCTGCTGCTGTTGGTGGTAGGGGCCTGGTGGTCGTTCCGGCTCCCGAAGAGGCCTAGCGGCGTCGCGGGACGCGTGGCCGTGCTGGTGGTGGGCGACCTGGGCCGTAGCCCCCGCATGCAGTACCACGCCTTGTCGCTGGCCCGGCGAGGCCGCCGCGTCGCTTTCATCGGTTACGCGGGTGAATCTTCCTCTCTAACTTCCAGAGACGGCGGGCCAAAGCTTGACCTGCCCTACTACGACTCCCAGCAGCCCCGGCTATGACAGCGGTGCGAGAGGCATGCTGGGAGTTGTGGTTCGGCATCCGTGGAAGGGGCCCCGCTTGGGTTCACTTTCTTCCCTAACCTGGCGCCCCTCCCACCTCCTCCGTTGGGCAGTGGGAGTCTGCCAGTGTCGCCAGCCCCCCCTCCCCCCCCCGGTTGTCTTTCTGAGGTGCTGGGCAGGATGATGGCGGTGGTAGGGCTCCTGCAGGTGGGAAAAGGAGAGAAGCAACTTGGAACTAAGGAGAAATTTCCTGACAGTTTAGAACAATGAAATCCGTAGAACAGCTTGCCACTAGAAATTGTGGTTGCTCCAACACTGGAACTTTTTAAGAAGAGATTGGATAACCGTTTGTCTCAAGTGGTGGAGGGTTTCCTGCCTAAGCAGGGAGGTTGGACTAGAAGACCTCCAAGGTCCCTTCCAACTCTGTTATTCCATTCCATTCCATCCCATCCCTTCCTTCTATTCCCTTCCATTCCTTCTATCCTATCCTATCCTATCCTCCTATCCCATCCCATCCCTTCCCTTCCCTTTCATTCCATTCCATTCCATTCCCCCTGTTCTGTTCTGTTCTGTTCCATTCCATTTCATTCCATCCCCCTGTTCTGTTCTGTTCTGTTGTACTCTAGTCTACTCTAGTCTAGTCTACTCCCATTCCCATTCCACTCTATTCTAAAAGGCTTCTGCCTTCTTGCTGGGGTGGGTGGGAGGTGCGCAGGAGGAACCCCATCGCAGATTTGGGATACGGCTTACGTGTGATTTTAGGCTTTCTGTTTTCAGGGCTTTTGCCCGGCCTTTGATTCAGGTTTTTGGCTCTCTGTCCTTTCTTGTCCATCACTCGGGCTCAAATCTAATCTCCGAAAATTTTTTTCCCAGGGTCAACAAAATGGATGGATGAAATGTCCTTTTTGCAATTGCACTCTAGGTATTTAAATTTGCAGAAGTAACTGCCAGCCATTGATTGAGAAAATTAAGGTTTTTTTGGGGGGGGGGGATGGAGGGCGTACCAGACAGCCAAAATAAGCACAATTAATCGATTGGTGCGCAAAAAAATAAATATGGCAGATAACAAAGGAAGAAAGAGCCAGTTTTCTTAAGATTATTCTAGTTTATTACTCTCTATTGCTACGTCCTTTATGATATATAGCTTGTGTGTAAACTTTAGCCATGGTTAATCAGAATGTAATTAGTAACAGAAGTAATTTGGGAATTTGTTTTTTTAAATAACCTGCCCTCTTTGGATTAGGAATAGAGTTGAAATCCACAAGTCTTAAAAGTTGGAGACCCCTGGTCCCATTGTCCCATTCCAGCTCATAAGTATTACACTTATTTGTTATTTATGGTGGCTGGAGAAGTTTTCATACGTGTTTTTTTTTCTCCAATTGACCTTTGAGATAACTCACCTCAGAATTTCACTGCGTTTTTTTTAATCCCTACATCTTGGACATGGTGCCTAGCTTTTATCCTGGACAAACACTTAACACTATTTTTCTTGCAGGCACAAAACCTCACAGTGAGATCATAAGCAATGGAAACATTGAGATTGTTCCCCTTACGGAGCTCAAAATCTGGCAAGGTAGGTTGAATGTTATTCCATTTATGCACTTATCAGTGCTAAATCGAATGTCAAGTCAGAGCGAGTTTATTTGTGCAGAACTGTGGTGGAGATCTGAATAATCCTTCTTTCATTCGTCAGTCTTTTCTCTCCCTCCACTGATTCCTTCTTCGCTGTTTTTGGCAAGACCAGCAAGGAAGGAATGGCATGCTTGGGTCAAAGCGTACTTGCGCTAGTCATCAACGGGTACAGTGGCTGGTTCAGCCAGTGCCATCTCTAGACGGTAATCTGGGTGAAATAAGTCCAAGCAAACGGCCACCTTCTGGATCTTCTCCAGTTGAAGCTCATCCAACCTTCTCCACACACTTTCTCCCCTTTTTAGGGGAGGTTGGGGACTGGATGGGAATTTTCAAGAAATATCCAAAGAATTGCCAAAGTAGCAATTGCCAAACATGAAACGTACTGTTGAAAGTCAAGGACTACCTGTACAGTACACGCCAGTTATCAAGCGTCTGAATTTTAATCCCAGGACCATGGGATGCTGCAACAGTTGCCTGAAAACCGGTCGCAAGCCTCCTTTTTTCAGTGCCGTTATAACTTTCAAACAGCCACTTAACGAATGGTTGTAAGCAAGAGTGAAATCGAGCAGGTTCCGACAGGTTCTGGAGAACCAGTAGCGGGAATTTTGAGTAGTTCGGGGTGTGAAGTTTCCGAAAGATGCCCTAATTAATTCATGAGCCGAACTTCAAAAGAAATATAGTCATTTATTAGGAGCACCATTTCGGCAATACCCGACAAATACCACCTCTGGCTGGTCCCAGAGTGGGGAGAGAATGGGGATTTTGCAGTATCCTTCCCCTGGAATGAGGTGGGAATGGACTAAGCCACACCACGCTCACCAAGCCATGCCCACAGAACCGATAGTAAAAAAAAAAAAGAATTCCGCCACTGGTTGTAAATCAAGGACTACCTGCATAGAAACGTTACTTAGCATCAGACTTTGATGAGAGTTTCTTTTCCTTTGCAGTTGGGCCCAGGTTTTTGCAGTATATCATCAAAGTGATTGTGCAGAGTTTCCAGTTGTTGTACACACTACTAAGGATTGCTCCACCGGACTATGTGCTTCTCCAGGTATTTACACTTTCAGATTTTCACACTACATTCCCTCCTTTTTTTTTTTTTCCTTCTTCTTCTTCTTCTTCTTCTTCTTCTTCTTCTTCTTCTTCTTCTTTCTTCTTCTTCTTCTTCTTCTTCTCTTCTTCTTCTTCTTCTTCTTCTTCTTCTTCTTCTTCTTCTTCTTCTTCTCCTTCTCCTTCTCCTTCTCCTTCTCCTTCTCCTTCTCCTTCTCCTTCTCCTTCTCCTTCTTCTTCCTCCTCCTCCTCCTCCTCCTCCTCTTCCTCCTCCTCCTCCTCCTCGAGTATTCTCTCAAGTGCAGTGTCTGCTTTTCAGATCATTGAACATCACTTTACACGGTCAGCTGCGTCTCCAGGGCGCAGGCCTGTGGCTTGCATGTCTTTGTTGATGGTCTTGCCATCTCCATTTTGGGTGCCTGCGAGGTCACCAGCCATTGACTTCTAATTTGTAGGCAGTCTTGGCCACGGTGGAAGGTGCTGCTCTCTGGACATGTCCATACCAATGGAGCCGGCCTTCTCTCATCTTCTCTATAATTGGTGCCACACCCAAAATGTTGTCGAATGGTGTCATTTGTGATGTGGTCAAGAAGGGAGGTGCCCGATATCCAACGGAGCATTTGCATTTCCATGGCACGGAGAGAGCTTTCGGTCCCTGTTGTTGCTGCCCAGCATTCAGTGCCATACAGCACAACAGGGCGGAGGGTTGTCTTGTAAATCTTAGATTTAAGACGAATTTAACACCACATTCCCTCCTACTTCTATTTAAACCACGGCGTCAGTCCAGTTTTTTAAAAAAAAGTGTAATGAAAGTAGCTGAGAAGTGTTCGTTTAACTTAGTTTTTATTTGAATGCCATCCTGTAAATAGTGTATCAAAAGGTGAAGAGGTAGGTACTATTTTATAAAGAATATAAAATAAGTATGTGTCCTATATGGGCTAACAGAACATGTTATGTGCCAAAGGTGCTTTTTTCAAGAGGCAACTGGACTTTCTGGTTTTTCTTTGAAGACGTTTCGCTCCTCACCCAAGAAGCTTCTTCAGCTCTCCTTCTTCAGAGCTGAAGAAGCTTCTTGGATGAGAAGCGAAAAGTCTTCAAAGAAAAACCAGAAAGCCCAGTTGCCTCTTGCAAAAAGCACCTTTGGGACAACCATGTCCTGGATGACTGAGAATCTTCATAGACAGAACATGTTATGATTACCATATTGGAGAGGAGAGAGAGTTGGCCATCTCAAGAATAATTCACATCATCTATGAATGCAATTTTAAAATATTGTTCTCCTTCCTGCTCTTAGAAGTTTATCATATAAAGTTTGCAAGCAGAAGAGAAAGGACCTAGTGATCTCACCTAGAAGGATTGAGGGATTGTGAACTTGTGGTTTTCCAAGTTAAAATGAGCTACACTGCAGCTCTGGCCATGGTGCTTAGGATTGCTGGGAATTATGGTTCAGGAATATTAGAGTGGTTGTAAGTGATTTAAAAGGGACATGGTGGCTCAGTGGCTAAGACGCTGAGCTTGTCGATCGAAAGGCAGTTCAGCGGTTCGAATCCCTAGTGCCGCGTAACGGGGTGAGCTCCCATTACTTGTCCCAGCTTCTGCCAACCTAGCAGTTCAAAAGCAGGTTAAAAAATGCAAATAGAAAAATAGGGACCACCTTTGGTGGGAAGGGAACACTGTTCCGTGCGCCTTTGGCGTTGAGTCATGCCAGCCACATGACCACGGAGACGTCTTCGGACAGCGCTGGCTCTTCGGCTTTGAAACTGAGATGAGCACCACCCCGTAGAGTTGGGAACGACTAGCACATATGTGCGAGGGGAACCTTTACCTTTACCTAGCTGGTGTTAAGTTGGTATTCTGGAAAGAAACGACTGTCATAAGCCGGTTTGGTTAAGGTGTCAGGCTAGAAACCAGGAGATGGTGAATTCTAGTCCAGCCTAAGGTGTGAAAGCCAGCTGGGTGATTTTGAGCCAATCACTCTCTCACAGCCCAACTCATCTCACAGGTTGGTTGCTGTTGGGGAAATAGGAGGAGGAAGGAGCATTAGATATGTTTGCTGCCTTGAGATGTGTATAAAAAATAATAAAGGCAGCATATAAATAAAATAATAAAATAAAGAGAGGGCGTCTGGGTGGAGAAACTAGAAAGCAATTGATCATATTAACTGGATCTTGTTCTGAAACATTTTCTCTTTCTCCCCATAACCAGAATCCGCCCGGTTTGCCCAGCATTGCCGTCAGCTGGATATTTTGCCTACTGCGAAACAGCAAGCTAATAATTGATTGGCACAATTATGGGTATACTCTAATGGGCCTGACTCACGGGAAAAGGCACCCCATAGTCCGGATTGCTAAATGGTGCGTTCAAGACTTTTGATATTTGTGGGGTACGGTTGGCCATTGCAAAGTTGCCCAATGAAATCCGTTTTCTTTTCAGAACACCGCACAGTGCTCAGGTAGGTCTCTTACCTGTTCCCGCCAGCTCCACTAGGGTTTTAAAAACTCATTAAAGAGGTGATGATGAAGTATTTATACCAAAAGAGATAAAAACCACCTGTTTACGGTTCGTTTCTCTCTTGATCTCTTTAAGAGCACAAAATGTTATTGAAAACGGTTCACTCTACCTGGAGAGAGAGATATAACAGGTAATCCTCAATTTATGACCACAATTGAGCCCAACATTTCTGTTGCTAAGCAACATAGTTGTTAAATGTTAAAAGGAACTGGCACAGTGGTTAGAATGCAGTATGGCAGGCTGACTGCTTGTTGCCAGCAGTTCGATCCTAACCGGCTCAAGGTTGACTCAGCCTTCCATCCTTCCTGAGGTCAGTAAAATGAGGACCCAGATTGTTGGGGGGCAAGATGCCTAGAGAGGGCTATAAAGCCCTGTGAAGTGGTATATAAGTCTAAGTGCTTTTGCTTTCGCTAAATGGGTTTTGTCCCATTTTATGACTTTCCTTCAGCTCTTAAGTGAATCACTGCAGCGGTTAAGTCAATACCATAATTGTTAAGTGAACCTGGCTTCCCCCATCAACTTCGCTTGTCAGAAGGTCGCAGGACACTGCAACCGTCATAAATATGAGTCAGTGGCCAAGCATCTGAATTTTGATCACGTGATCATGGGGTTGCTGCAATGGTCGTAAATGTGGAAAACAGTCATAAGTCATTTTTTCCAGTGCTGTTATAACTTCTAACATTCACTAAATGAACTGTTGTAAGTGGAGGACTATCCATCTGTATTTCCTAGTGCCGTGATAGCGAACCTATGGCACATATGTCACAAGTGGCACGTGGAGCCATATCTGTGGGCACGCGAGTGTTGCCCTAGCTCAGCTCCAGCGCACATGCGCGGGCTGGCCAGCTGATTTTTGGGCCTTCTGGGCCCACCGGAAGTCGGGAAATGGGCTGTTTCCGCCCTCCGGATGGGTGGGGAAGGCAGTTTCCACCCTCCCCAGGCTCCTAGAAAGCCCCTGGAGCCTGGGGAGGGCAAAAAACGGGCCTACCGGGCCCATCGTGCCATCACGTGCCAAAAGAGGGGGGAGCGTGGGGGTCACGAGTGCATGCGTGCGGGGGTGGAGCACATTGAATTATGGGTGTGGGCACACGCGCGCACGACCCCCCTACATTCCCCCCAGTTTCGGCATGTGGTGGCAAAAAGGTTAGCCATCACTGTCCTAGTGTAAAGAGTTTCAGAAAATGTATTCCTGCATGCTTACACCCATCTATACTTCCGAAAGCTGCTTCCGCATGCATTTTGGTATCTGAAAATCGATGGCTTCTGATCTGATTAAGAGAACTGTGCGTGCTTTGAGAATAATTCACTTATTTGTGATTTTTAAAATTTATATGCCTCCCATTGTGTGGTTCGAAGCGACTCAGTGACGTGTAACAAATAGATTGCACGGGCATTGCCTCTCTCTGCTATTGCTTAAAGCAGCCCTCTTTTATTTATTTTCAGGTTTCTACAAGAGCCTGAAAAAAAAAAAAACACTGTGGCACCAAGAGGTCATCTCAGTTAAAGTTAGTAGAATTCTTAACGCAGCACAATTTTTTTCCATACACACACACACCGGTTTTCACGGAAGCCTGACTGTTTATATAAAACAAAGATTTCTCTGTCTTTATTTTTTTTACAAGAGAGAAAAAGAACCGCGAGAGAAAGAAAAATTGAAACAATAGAAAAAGGAAAAAAAGGAAGGAAAACCGCTGCAGCAAGATTAGATCTAGATATAATTAGATATTTGAGATTAGAAATTAGATATTTTGAAGAAAAAGATGACTGCTTTTCGTTATCCATAGAGGTAGTCTCTTACAATCAATTCACTCAGCGACTATGTAAAGTTAATATGGCACTGAAAAAAAGTTATTTATGACTAGTCCTCGTACTTATGACCATTGCAGCATCGCCATGGGCACACAATCAATATTCAGGCGCTTGGCAACCAACATGTATAACAGTTGCAGCATCCCAGGGTCATGTGATCCAGAGGTGGGTTTCAGCAGGTTCTGACCAGTTCTGGAGAACCGGTAGCGGAAATTTTGAGTAGTTTGGTGAACCGGTAAATACCACCTCTGACTGGCCCTGTCCCCATCTATTCTCTGCCTCCTGATTGGGAGGAAATGGGGATTTTGCAGTAACCTTCCCCTGGAGTGGGGTGGGAATGGAGATCTTACAGTATCCTTCCCTTGCCACGCCCACCAAGCCACGCCCTCAGAACTGGTAGTAAAAAAATTTAAAACCCACCACTGCTATGATCCCCATTTGTGACCTTCTCGGTCAGTTTCCAACAAGCGAAGTCAATGGGAGAAGCCAGATTCATTTAACAACTATGATTCAATCAATCAATCAGAATAGAGATGGAAGGGACTTTGGAGGTCTTCTAGTCCAGCCCCCTGCTCAAGCAGGAGATCCTATACCATTTCAGACAAGTGACTGTCCAGTCTCTTCTTAAAAGCCTCCAGTGATGGAGCGCTCACGATTTCTGGAGGCCAGCTGTTCCACTTGGTAATTGTCCTCACTGTTAGGAAGTTTCTCCTTAATTCCAAGTTGCTTCTCTCTTTGATTAGTTTCCATTCGTTGTTTCTTGTCCTGCCCTCCGGTGCTTTGGAGAATAATTTGACCCCCTCTTCTTTGTGGCAGCCCCTCAAATACTGGAATACTGTCAAGTGTTTGCAAGCCATTGGCACATGTGTCATATAGACACCAGTGGAGGCAGAGAGTGTCTCCACCCCTATGTGGAAAGGAGGGGCTTACCCTGAGTATAAAACCCCCTCCAACCTTTTCCATCTTGCTCTCTCTCTCTCTCTTTCCATCTCTCTTTTCATGTTTGTTCCTCATGAGACTTGATCTCTGTTGTACATAGTTAATATGATTTATCATATGAATAAATACGTTTAAGACATTTATTTATGCATCTGCCTCTGAACTCTTCTATGCTCCTGGGTGTTTCTACGATCCCAATTCCACAAATACTCTTGTCATCTTCCCCTCTAGTCCTTCTTTTCTCTAGACTAGCCAGACCCAAATTGTGCAACCAATCATAAGTAGTGATTTTTTTTTAAAAAAAAAATTTATATGCCGCCCTTCTCCGGAGACTCAGGGCGGCTTACAATGCGTTAAGCAATAGCCTTCATACTTTTGTATATTTTATACAAAGTCAGCTTATTGCCCCCACAAACCGGGTCCTCATTTTACCCACCTTAGAAAGGATGGAAGGCTGAGTCGACCTTGAGCCTGGTGAGAATTGAACTCGCATAATTGCAGGCAGCTGGATGTTAAATGCTGCCTTAGTAGGAGGCATTAGCCTCCTACGCCACTCAGGCTCCTAGATTTGCTTAACAACCCTGGGAAAATAAAGAGGTTTGGGCATGACTCATTTAACCACCAGCTTTCTTAGCCACAGAAATTCTGATCCCAATAGTAGCCGTAAGTCAAGGACTCCCTTTACATAATTTCCATCTCTAAGCATTAAGTTCATAAACTGCATACAACCTCAGGTCTTCGGTTCACTGAGCAACTGAAGTTTTATAAATAAACAAAAAAGACAAATAACTGGTGATATCTATTCAGCTTTCCAATTTGTTGAAACATCTCCCTAGCAATAAAACGTTGCATTTCTTTTGTCCAGATTCCAACTTCCTTGTCATAGATCCGTAGTTCAAAATAATAAGGATGTCCCAAACCTTGTCTCGGAGTCAAAATAATGTGTGAAATGAGAGAGCTGTTTTAATCAATAGTAGAAAAACATTTGGCTTGTGTGAGGCCTAATCCTCACACAAGCCAAATTATTTTTGAAGTGTGCACAGCTCCAAAGTCAGATAAAATAATCTCCATTGATATCCTTCACTTCCTATTTTCCACATCCATATACAGCCATCATTGATAGATGGCAATTTTTCGTTGTGCATTCTTCTAAGAAATGTTCATTTCTGTGTTACAAAGATTATATATTATTATTTAAATAATAATATTCAGTGATGCAGGATACAAGGTGATTATATTTCTGTGTTTTAAAAGTACTGTATTGAGAAATAAAATCAAAGATACTAATATTTGGAGCTTTGCTCTCATTTCTATTTCCTTTCTTTTTAACAAACTGTGTAGGAAACCTATATTTCTGTACAAACATCTGAATAAAATTACTAGTTTCAGTAGCAAGTTACATTTTCATTTCTTTTAGGTATGAAGAATTATTTGGCTCCTTGTCCAGCTATAATATTTGTGTGACCAATGCAATGAAAGAGGATCTTCAAACAAACTGTAACATCAGGTACTTCAATAGTTTAAAAATTACTTGGAATTCACTTTTGTTTTTCCTTGGTTACAACAATGCTGTAGACCTATCTGCTCCTATTTATTATGGGGGATATTTTATATCTTTTTTTAAAAAAATACTTTTCAGTAAGCCATTTTTCAAAATGCTGCTCAAAATTAAATCTATTTTCACCACTATCTTCTTATAATAAATGTTTGGATTTATAAACATTTAAGCAGATGCATCAACTCCAAAGAAAATTCCCTATCTTTTACGTTCAAGCTTTTCCCATTATACCTCAAAAGGAGTGATTTCTGCTCTCTGGGATTATTAGCATTTTGTTCAGCGGGGTTAACAGATGTAAATTTATGATTTATGAATTTCTTCAAGTAGATCAGATATACTTGTGTATATATATCTTAGTATCTTAGCCAAATATTCTGAGCATTATTTTTATTTTTTTAAAAGTGCATAGATCAATGTACGTGATAATTGACAACAGTATCGTGTGATGCACAAATATTTCATTCTGGATATTTCTTAATATCCAGATATTCTTAATATAATTTCATTCCTTCTGGATATCTCTTAATATTCCTAACCCTAACCCAGCCTCTATGATCCCTGAATTTATGTTTAGGGCTGGTCCTCTACAAACTGCATGGAGTCACTGTATACAACTTTAATAAAAAAATAAAATAAACATTCAAATATGTCTATTCTCAATCCTCCAGTATAGTATAAATCCTTCCATTCCACGCCATCCAGCCAGAGCTGAAGAAGCTTCTCGGATGAGAAGTGAAACGTCTTCAAAGAAAGTCCAGTTGCCTCTTGAAAAAAAAAAGCATCTTTGGGACATTCAAATATGTCAACTTGTAAATATGATCCTTGGGCATTATTTCTGTATTTTTCGCTCCATAAGACACACCTGACCATAAAATGCACCTAGGTTTAGAGGAGGAAAACGAAAAAAAAATCTGCCTCTGCCTCCCAGCATTCATCCGGTATTCACCTGACTAGTGTCCTTTCGGCAAACAGCAAGCAGCCTGGTCAGCTTCAGCAGGTTGCCACAGCCCCAGGACGTGGCTCGTCAGGGCGCTGTTCCGTGGTGCCCACCACCTGAGTGATGGCTGGATCTTGGCCTCCCGTAGCCCCGCCGATCAGTGGGTTGGCTGACCAGAAATGTCGCCATTGCTGCCTCCTCCATGTCTCCTGCCTCCACTGGGGAATGCTGGAGCAGCGATGAATGGCGGCACCAATCCCCGCCACCTGGAACAGCTGATCGGTGGTATTCCGGGAGGCCAATGTCAGCGGCGGCGACAGGCAGCTCAGTGGTTGGATCGGCCTCCTGGAATGCTGCCGATCAGCTCTTCCAGACACTGGGGATCGCTGTCGACATTTGTCCCTGCTGCTTGTCGCTGCCGCCACACCAACTTCCCCCCCCCCCCCCCAGTATGGCAAATTGCCATGGCCCAATCTGTGATGCAATATTCGCTCCATAAGACACACAGACATTTCCACCCACTTTTTGGAGGAAAGAAAGTCCATCTTACGGAGTGAAAAATACAGTAGCTCTTTCACAATATATACCATATTTTTCGGAGTATAAGACGCTCCAGACTATAAGACGCACCTACCTTTTTTGGGGAGGAAAACAAGAAAATAAAATCTGCCTCTGCCTCCCAGCAATCTGCTTCCTTGCAGCAAACAGCATGTTTCAATTTCATTTTCATTTTCAGCACAGCCTGATTAGCACAAGAAAAAAAAATCTGCTTCTGCCTCCCAGCAATTTCCCTTCTTGCAGCAAACAGTAAACAGCAGAGACCAAAAATGGGGCGCACGGAGGCGGCAATAGGCAATCCCTGCAGCCTGAAACAGCTGATGGTTGGGAGGCCGATCCAACCGACAATCAGCTGCTTGTACTAATCAGGATGTGCTGAAACTGAAACGGGCTGTTTGCTGCAAGGAAGCAAATTGCTAGGACGCAGAGGCCAAAGAGTGGAGGTCCGAAAAATACGGTATATCTTCTTACCCCAGGAAATCTCTGGGCTAACCTATCTCATTTTACATATGTCTTTTACATTTTTGATGAGTTGAAATTATTCTTTTTATTACCTTACTTCCTTTTGAGTTGTATTGATGGATTATTTGACCGTTCAACCTCTTGCGTTCTAGAGCAATAACCCTCTACGACAAGCCGGCATCTTTTTTTAAGGAAACACCCCTGAGCGAACAGCACAAATTGTTCATCAGACTTTCAAAAGACTACGCTCCTTTTAAAGCGTGAGTTAAAACTTCCATTCTGTTTGTACCCTCTTAAATTAAAGATAAAGGTACAGGTTCCCCTCACACATATGTGTTAGTCGTTCCCGACTCTAGGGGGCAGTGCTCATCTCCGTTTCAAAGCCAAAGAGCCAGCGCTGTCCAAAGACGTCTCCGTGGTCATGTGGCCGGCATGACTCAACGCCAAAGATGCACAGAACGCTGTTCCCTTCCCACCAAAGGTGGTCCTTATTTTTCTACTTGCATTTTTTACGTGCTTTCGAACTGCTAGGTTGGCAGAAGCTGGGACAAGGAACGGGAGCTCACCCCGTTAACGCGGCACTAGGGATTCAAACCGCTGAACTGCTGTCCTTTCGATCGACATGCTCAGCCCCTTAGCCACTGAGCCACCCTCGAAATTAAAATAAATTAAATTAAAATTAAAAACAGGCCTAATTTGAAAACTGCCCCTACTTCTAAGAATTGTGCCTTTTTAATATGGTGGCATGTTTGCAGGTAGTCCTCCACTTCCAACCACAATTGGGACTGGAACTTCCCTTGCTAAGTGGTTATTAGGTGAATTATCATGTGACCGCACCCAGTTTTATGTTATTTGTGCTGTTCAGCAAAAATCACCATTTAGTGAATTTGGCCATTTAGTGAATTTGGCTTCCCCCAGTTACTTGGCTTGTTGGAGAACATCAGAACACTGTTGCCATCGTAAATGCATGCTAGTTGTCAGGTGCCCATATCATGATTATTTGATAGTGGGAAGGCTGCAATTCTTGTCAGTGCGATTGGCCGTTAAGTCATTTTTTTCAACTCCATTGTAACTTTGAACGGTTTCCAAACGAACGGTCGTAAGTTGAGGTCTATCTGTATCTGCGGTGCCTTATTTAAAGCTTTTGGATATTGGAGCCCTGGTGGCCCAGTGGCTAGAAGGCAGTATTGTAGGCAAACTCTGCTCATAGTCAGCAGTTCGATCCTGACCGGTTCAAGGTTGACTCAGCCTTCCATCCTTCCGAGGTGGGTAAAATGAGCACCCAGATTGTTGGGGCCAATAAGCTGACTCTGTAAACTGCTTAGTGAAGGCTGTAAAAGCACTATGAAGCTGTATATGAATCTGAGTGAAATTGCTGTTGCTATCCACAGATAACAAAAGGGTGCAAATCAGTTGGTCCTTTGTAACACTGGAATGGTCAGGGGGGACTGTTTGCCACTTGATGGATGGGTCCTTCTATCTGTATGGACATTCATCGCTGCCTGATATCTCAGATGGTGTCATAGCCGTTTTAAACCTCAGTAGCCAAAATGAGGGCGATTTTCTGAATGTCCCAAATAGATTCATTCAATAAATGGTTTAAGATTGCTATGTGGAAGCTTTCTGTTTCCTCATTAACCATTAACCTGTCCTGAGAGTTGTGTGTTTTATGCAGAATCTGTGTGTGCATTTGCCATGAACATTCCTTGGCTAATTCTTCTTTGTTCTCAGGGTAGAATCCTTCACTCCAGATCATGTTGAAAGATCTGCGTTTACCCAGTTTGATGCCATCAGTGGAAGAGTCACACACCGTCTGGGCCGACCGGCTCTCCTTATTAGCAGCACCAGTTGGACAGGTCTGATTCTATATCTTGTCATTGAAGTAAGCCACGCTTAGTTAAATAAAGCACATTTAGCTGAATGTTCACAACATGCTAGATTCCAACCTAACCCAACCCAAAACAACGAACCCAACCCAACCAAACCAAACCAACCTAACCTAACCCAACCCAATCCAACCCAACCCAACCCAACCCAACCCAAACCAAACAACCAAACCAAACCAAACCAACTCAACCCAACCATCCCATCCCAACCCAATCCAAACAAACCCAACCAACTCAACCCAACCAACCTAAGCCAACGAACCCAATCCAACCCAAACCAAACCAACTCAAACCAACCATCCCATCCCAACCCAATCCAAACAAACCCAACCAACTCAACCCAACCAACCTAAGCCAACCAACCCAACCCAACCCAACCCAAACCAACCATCCCATCCCATCCCAACCCAACCCAACCCAATCCAAACAAACCCAACCAACTCAACCCAACCAACCTAAGCCAACCAACCCAAACCAAACCAAGCCAAACCAAACCAAACAACCAAACCAAACCAAACCAAACCAAACCAAACCAAACCAACTCAAACCAACCATCCCATCCCATCCAACCCAATCCAAACAAACCCAACCAACTCAACTCAACCCAACCCAAACCAAACCAACTCAAACCAACCATCCCATCCCAACCCAATCCAAACAAACCCAACCAACTCAACCCAACCAACCTAAGCCAACCAACCCAACCCAAACCAAACCAAACAACCAAACCAAACCAAACCAAACCAAACCAAAACCAACTCAACCCAACCATCCCATCCAACCCAATCCAAACAAACCCAAACCAACCAACTCAACCCAACCAACCTAAGCCAACCAACCCAATCCAACCCAACCCAAACCAACTCAAACCAACCATCCCATCCCAAACAAACCCAACCAACTCAACCCAACCAACCTAAGCCAACCAACCCAACCCAACCCAACCCAAACCAAACAACCAAACCAAACCAAACCAACTCAAACCAACCATCCAATCCCATCCCAACCCAATCCAAACAAACCTAACCAGCTCAACCCAACCAACCTAAGCCAACCAACCGAACCCAACCCAACCCAACCCAACTCAAACCAACCATCCCATCCCATCCCAACCCAATCCAAACAAACCCAACCAACTCAACCCAACCAACCTAAGCCAACCAACCCAACCCAAACCAACCCAAACCAACCCAACCCAACCCAACCCAAACCAAACCAACTCAAACCAACCATCACATCCCATCTCAACCCAATCCAAACAAACCCAACCAACTCAACCCAACCAACCTAAGCCAACCAACCCAACCCAACCCAAACCAACCCAACCCAAACCAAACCAAACAACCAAACCAAACCAAACCAAACCAAACCAGCCAACCCATCCCAAGCAAACCAAACCTAGCTAAGCTAACCAACCCAAACCAACTCAAATCAACCATCTCAACCCAATCCAACCCAACCAACCCAGACCAAGCAAACCAAACCAAACTAAGCCAACCAACCCAACCCAACCCAACCCAACCCAACGAACCTCTGTGGATTAGGACAGTATATGGCTCCAGGTGTAATCTTTGAAAGAATCAGCACGGTTGTCTTTTTTTGTGGATTTTGATGATGTTTCTGGACTATTCTGCTCTCTGTCGCAAGATGAATTAAAAATAAGCTTTACGATTGCCATCCATCCTCTCTTGGCTTAGTTGGCATGCAAATAGAACGATCAAATAGGAACGTAACCATAGAGTTCCTATAGCCATTGCTAAGATCGCTTGGCTGTGTTTTCCATGTATATTTCAAGATTACAATGTAAATTTAAAGATTTAAAGTTTAAAACGTTGGTATTGCTGTGAGACCTGGTCCAATGGCTGTATATGTGACTTATCCTTCTGAGTTGTTCTGAATTGACAAATACAACAAAACAATTCCTTTCTCATACGCACCCTCCCCACACTAAAAAAAACAACAACTTTTCTTGTTGGAATTTAATTCCTATCTAAAGATGAGAATTGAGTGTGGTTTGAATTTCCACGGTAGTGAAAGCATCCTCAAATACCAGTTGGCCTCATCAAAATTCAAATGTAAATTTTATTTTCTGTCTCATAAAAGATTTGTTAGCAGAGTTGGCCATTTTCTCTAAGCAGACGTAAGATGGCAGTTTTTTCAGTTGCATCAATTATATTTCCATTTGCTGGGAGGTGAATTTGGATGTTCTTCTCTGGGCCTCACAGCTAAAATTGGACACCACCCAATTGCTCTTAAGATATAATGTATACAGCAACTTTTCTCCAAGTGGTAATCTCCATAGTCTTCAGGAGTACCATTCCCAACTTTTTTAGCCAGCATGATAAAACTGACTTTATAACCATCATGTTTGTATCATAAATTCTGCTTCTTTTTCTTTTTCTAGAGGATGAAGATTTCTCCATCCTGTTAGATGCTTTAAAAGGTGAGCTATCGAGAAAGCTTTTAGTGTTTCTTAAAAGCCAGCTGTCTTCACGGTGAATGAACAAGTGTTTTCTCCTTCGCTTCTCGGCCTTGAAGAGATCAGGTTACGAGCGGGTGGTGAGATGAACCTTCCTATCAGATCTTTGTCTCGCTCTGGTAATAAAATAGGCTTCCGAAGGCCCAAAGTTGTAATACAGACAGGTCATTTTATAATATTCTCACCGGAGCTCTTGTTCTTTTCATTTTGCAAACCATCCTACGGCCAAGCCTTATGGATAAATCCAGCTGGATCCTTTTCCTAACCTTAGTCTTTCTCATCGTGAAGGAAGATCACTGATGAATCGGAAGAACCTGCCCTGCTTATTATAGGATTCTGTATCAATTTTCTTTTATTTTTCCTTTTTGTCTCCCTATGCAAGAAATCAAAATTTGCTTTACCAAACTGAGCATAGATTCCCTTTGAAATCTCACTGATGTCCAGCTCCAGTTTTCAAAATTCTGGGCTTACTTTAATAGGGAAGTTGCCTTTTGTAGCCTCTGTAAATAATTTACGTTCTTTGCTCTCTTTTTTCCCCCACAGAATACGAGCGCTGTGTCAGTGACGGAGCAAAACTTCCTTCTCTTGTGTGTGTGATCACAGGTAGCACCAGGGGTGGGCTTCAAAATTTTAGCAAGGGGTTGTCTGCCCAGTTGCTGGGTGGGCATGGTCATGGTGGGCGTGGCCTAGTCAGCCTCCTGCACCATGGCGGTGGGGAGGGGGTTTGCCCTCCCAGGACTCAGGAGGCTTTTCTTGAGCCCCTGGGAGGGAGAAAACGGCCTCCCCAGGCTCTAGAGGCTCCATTTTGGCCCAAAAAACAGCTTGAAAATGGCCCGAAAAATGGCTTGAAAACGGCTTGAAAAACAGCTAAAAAACAGACATGTGCATGCCGGCCAGCAGATCTTCGAGTTTCCAGCGCTCCGGCACACGCACATGTATGCACATGCACGCACATTCCGGTTTGGGCGCTCAGTGCCGAAAAGGCTCGCCACTACTGTCCTAGACCAAGCCAATTCCAAAAACGCTAGAGAATTCCCGGAAGCCTGGCACTCCGATAAATCGGCTATCAACAGACACAGAGAGATAAACAACAACTACATACCATTCAAAAAAGACAATCAACAAACCCAAAAGGAACAAAAAGATCAAAGCACCTCCTCACTAGCAATCGACCCCCAGATAAACAGACATTAACACCAAGATTAAACATTAAACCAACAACCAAGAAGCAAATAACACCCCAACCAAGGACCTAAATTTAGACAAAGCAATGAATATAAACAACAGCCCAATCAAGGACCCACCAAGATCCCTCCCACCCAACACTGACAGGGCAAGCTACTAGCATATAAAATGACAGCAAATCCCCCTCCCTACTAGCACTGATGATGTTGCCTACTTTAGTAATGAAACGTCTGCAAGAAAACCTCCAAACTCAAAGAGCACCAAGGACCCCTCAATTCAACCCTGAGCTACAAATATTCTCTTCTGCCAACTTTTCCTTACATGTGTGTTTCTCTTATCAAAGGCAAAGGGCCTCTGAAGGACCATTACACCAAGCTGATGGCTACTCTGCACTTCAAGCATACCCAGATTTGCACCCCCTGGCTGGAAGCAGAAGACTACGCCCTGTTGCTCGGCAAGAATTTTTTTTTTCTCTTGTATGATGATACTATCTAGATTTATTGGTTGGTTGGTGTGTTTGTTTGTTTTATTATTTATTATTATTATTATTGCGATTTATATGCCGCCTTTCTCCCTGAGGACTCAAGGCAGCTTACAAAATGACAGTTTCAATACAAATCACAATGTAATAAAAATTAAAATCAACGACCCAATTAAAACAATTTAAAATTATAACAGTATACCCCCAACGGATCAGTTAAGTTGACGGAAGAGCCAAGTCTTCAGCTCGCGACGGAAGGAAAGAAGGTCGGGGGCTGTCCTGAGCTCGGTGGGCAATCCATTCCAGAGGGTCGGGGCTCCCACAGAGAATGCTCTCCTCCTGGGTGCCGTCAGCCGACATTGTTTGGCCGACGGCACCCTAAGGAGGCCCACTGTGAGAGCGCACAGGATGGTGGGAGAGCGGCTGGAGATGGTCCTGCAAGTACCCCGGGCCTAAGCCATGATTTATTTATTTGTAAAATTTATTAGCCACTCATTTTGCCATGCAGAAACTCTGGGCAGCTTACAATATTAAAATATGAAAATGTATAATTTATAATAATATGAATACAATAGTACTATAAATTCTATAAAATCAACTTCGCTGAAAAGATGGGAAAAGGGAATCTGGTGAGGAAGGGAGAGAGAGGTATTAGTACTGCTTTATAAATCCATAGGAAGACCACACCTGGAATACTTCATCCAGTTTTGGTGACCACATTACAAAAAAGATGTTGAGACTTTGGAAACAGTGCAAAGAAGAGCATTTAAGATGATTAAAGGCCTGGAGACAAAAACATATGAAGAACGGTTGCAGGAATTGGGTATGGACAGTCTAGAGAAAAGAAGGAGTAAGGGGGGATGTGATAGCAGGATTCCATTATTTGAGGGTTTGCCACAAAGAATCGGGGGTTACCTTATTTTCCAAAGCACCAGAGGGCAGGACAAGAAACAATTGATAGAAATCAAGGAGAGATGCAACCTGGAATTAAGGAGAAGCTTTCTGAGAACAATTAACCAGTGGAACAGCTTCCCTCCAGAAATCATGCGCACTCCATCATTGGATGTTTTAAAGAAAAGACTGAACAACCACCTGTCTGAAATGGTATAGGGCAGGGGTCAGCAACCTGCGGCTCCGGAGCCACATACTGCTCTTTGGGCCCTTTGCTGTGGCTCCCTGTCAGGTGATTCCCACCACTGGCTGGCCCTGCCCCTCGCCCTCCCCTCCCAGTCACTCCTTGCCTGGCCTGAGAAGGTAAGGGTGACGGCGGGGGATGGAGAAGCGGCCAGGGCAGAGACAGTGAGATACAGAGAGAGAGGGAGAGAGAGAGACATAGAGAGATACAGAGGGGGGGGAGAGAGAGGGGGGGGAGAGAGAGATAGGTCAAAAGGATTTTGTGGTTCCCGGTGTTTTTTAACAACTGGTTCTCTGCCCTAATGACCGGCTGGGTAGGCGTGGCTGGAGTGGGGGGGAGGTGTCATGTGACTGGTGGAAGTGAGTGAAATCGAGTTGTGGCTCCCGATGTTTTGTGGCTCCCGATGTTTTCTGTGGGAAACGGGTCCAAATAGCTCTTTGAGTATTTAAGGTTGCAGACCCCTGGTATAGGGTCTCCAGCTTGAGCAGGGGGTTGGACTAGAAGCCCTCCCAAGATCCTGTCCAGCTCTATTCTGATCGATTGAGCAGTTCTATATCCACTGAACTCTTTCCCTTCCTTTTCTCTTACAGGCTCAGCCGATTTAGGGGTTTGCCTTCATAAATCCTCCAGCGGTTTAGATTTGCCGATGAAAGTGGTGGATATGTTCGGCTGTTGCTTGCCCGTGTGCGCAGTACGCTTTCAATGGTAAGGACCGCTTATGTGTGTTTGTTCAAGCTTGTCCTTCTGTCCTCCGCCGCTCCCATTGACTAGAGTGTTCTTGTAAACAAGGGATACACAACATGCCAGCTGGGATGGAATGTGCAGCTGGAGAAGGGGTGGAGGAAAATTTGGGCAGTACCACCACAGCTTCGCAGGGAGAAGGCAGCCTATTCCAGAGAGGGCTCCACAACAAGAGGTTACCCAGTCCTGAACTGCATGGGCAAAGGAGGAAAAGATTCAGGTCAGGCACACCCTAGAACTGTGATGGCAAACCTACGGCATGCGTGCCAGAGGTGGCACGCAGAGCCCTCTCTGCCGGCACGCACGCCGTTGCTCCAGGTCAGATCTTTGTGGCGTTTCTTTTGTGAGCTTCTATTTCAGTTTGGGCATGCACACGCGCAGTTTGGGCACTCGGTGTCTAAAAGGTTCACCAATACTGCCCTAGAATCTCCCAGGATATGTCTACAGGGTAGTCCTCAATTTATGACCAAAATTGGGACCAGAATTTCCATTGCTAAGCAAGGCCGTTGTTAAGTGACTCACCCCCCGATTCTACGGTCTTTTTGCCATGATAAGTAAAACACTGAAGCTGTTAAGGGAATCATGTCATTAAGTGAATTGGACTTCCCCCCCCATTGACTTCGCTGTCAGCAGCCAGCTGGGAAGGTTGCAAAGGGCGATCACATGACTCCACCCCCCCCCACTCCCACCCCCCAACAATACAACTTTTGTAAATACTTGTCGGTTGCCAAGCACCCTAATTTTGATCGTGTGACTATGGGGAAACTGAAACAGTCATAAGTGTGAAGTCTAGTCTTAAAAGTCATTTCCCCCCCCCTGTGCTGTTGTAACTTTAAGCAATCACTAAACAAATGGCCGTAAATCAAGGACTACCTGTAGTAGGTTAGAAAGTCATAACTTTAGTCTGAGAAATCTCTTGTTGATTACGGGTGGCCCTCGACTTGCGACCACAATGGAGGCCAAAATTTTTGTTGCTAAAGTGAGAAATTCGTTAAGTGAGTTTTGCCCCATTTTACGATCTTTCTTACCACAGCTGTTAAGTGAATCACTGCGGTTCTTAAATTAGTGACACGGCCGTTAAATGAATCCGGTTCCCCCATTGACTGTGCTTGCCAGAAGTTCGCAAAAGGGGTTTTTTGAAACCCCAGGACTCTGCAACTGTCATAAATGCGAGTCAGTTGTCAAGCATCCGAAGGTAAAATCGCGTGACTGTGGGGATGCTGCAACGGTCATACGTGTGGAAAAACAGACATAAGTAACTTTTTTCAGCGCCGCTGTCACTTCAAACGGTCGCTAAATGAACCGTTGTAAGTCAAGGACTGCCTGTACGTGTAAGCAATAAAGAACTGGAATCGATTGGATCTCCCTGTGTTGTCGTTGGATTTAGGCCTGACCCTTCCCCAGCCCTGTGCCTTCCACCCGTGCTACGATTTAACTTCCCCAAATTTTGGAACTTACCGTATTTTTCGGACTATAAGACGCACCAGGGAGTATAAGACGCACCAAGATTTCGAAGAGGAAAACAAGGAAAAAAAAAGTTTTTGGCCTCTGGGCATCCGGTTTTTGCCCTCCCCAGGCCCCAGGACCACTTTGCAGGCCTCTAAAATGGCCTCTAAAATAGCTAAAAACGGGATGCGCAGGGCGGGGTTTTGGGAGGCCAAAAATGGCTGTATTCTCTGTATAAGACGCACCAACATTTCCACCCTCTTTAAGGGGGAGGGGGGGAAGCATGTCTTATACTCCGAAAAGTATGGTATAATTCCAATCCACACCGAAATGCACCAAATAGCAGAAAATCAGATTGGTGGTTGCTCTGTTGAGAACTGAGTGCGAAAGTTCCGTATTCAAAAATAACAAGGACCAGTTACGCAAAATGCAGGCAGAAATCCAGTGCGGACTCCTTTGCACAATTCCAGACACCAGAAAGGCCTTCCGTACTGCAGACTGATTTTCTGTCTCCGTTCCCCCCCCCGGCCCCCATAGCTACTAATGAGATCTTCTTTCTGCACCCCGATTTCTTTGCAGTTTGCACGAACTGGTGAAACACGAAGTGAACGGCTTGATATTTAAGGACTGGGATGAACTTGCGGCACAGCTGAAGGTTTGAGGATGCTTCTTGATAGTGCTTGATTTGGGTCGATTACGTAATGCTTGAATCTTATGATTGATCACTTTGTTGCTTGTATGTATACGGAGGGCTTAGGGTTATTGACCAGAGACAATATCCTTGTGTGTCCAATCACGCTTGGCCAGTGAAGAATACTCTACTCTACTCCATATTCTATTCTATTCTATTCTATTCTATTCTATTCTATTCTATTCTATTCTATTCTATTCTATTCTATTCTATTCTATTCTACTCTACTCTACTCTACTCTACTCTACTCTACTCTACTCTACTCTACTCTACTCTACTCTACTCTACTCTATTCCATATTCTATTCTATTCTATTCTATTCTATTCTATTCTATTCTACTCTACTCTACTCTACTCTACTCTACTCTACTCTACTCTACTCTACACTACACTACACTACACTACACTACACTACACTACACTACACTACACTACTCCATATTCTATTCCATTCCATTCCATTCTGCTCTACTCCACTCCACTCCCTATTCCTATTCCTATTATTCCATTCCATTCTTTATTTTTTGGCCTGAATTCCCACTTTCTGCAGTATTTCTCAGATTCCTTTGAATCTGAGAATGGACATCTAGCACCAATCATGGTTTTCTTCTGTTAGTCATTTCTTGATAATCCTACAACTTGTCATCTTATGGTGCTAATGTTGAGATGGCACTGATCCTGCGTCTCCCTAAGTCCCATTTGGAAAAAAAAAAAATGAAGGAAGGAAGGAAGGAAGGAAGGAAGGAAGGAAGGAAGGAAGGAAGGAAGGAAAAGGGAGAGCAATAGCATTTAGACTTATATACTGCTTCACAGTGCTTTTACAGCCCTCCAAGCGGTTTACAGAGTCAGCATATTTCCCCCCAACAATCTGGGTCCTCATTTTACCGACGTTGGAAGGCTGGAAAACTGAATCAACCTTGAGCCAGTCAGGATCGAACTGCTGACAGTGGGCAGAATTAGCCTACAGGACTGCATTCTAACTACTGCGTCCCCACAGCTCCTATTGTCTTTATTATCGTAATTGTTGCTTCAGGAAGTCCGATCTTTACAGACTAAGATGGCAGGTATTCCTAGACCTGGCTGATCCCATTTTGCAACTTTGGTTGATTTTAAATTTGCATTTGATGTAATCTATAGACCTAATCTGTGGTCCAGACCATGGGTAAAATGGTCCCAGTTCGGACCGGATCGCCCGATCCGGTAGCGATGGAGGAGGGTGGTTTGGAAAACCAGTAGCAAAAATCCCTGCCCTCCCCCATGCCCAGCTGAGCCGCGCAATCATCAGAGGCTTTTTTTTACTTTTAAAAGCATTTTTTCTACAACCTCTTTGGCTGAAAAAATGCTTTTAAAAGTTTTTTAGAAAAAGCCTTTGATGATCACACGGCTCAGCTGGAATTGTCAGAGGCTTTTAAAAGCATTTTTTCTACAACCTCTTCGTACAAAGAGGTTGTAGGGGAAAAAAATGCCTTTAAAAGCCTCTGACGATCCCAGCTGAGTTGCCTGATTGTCAGAGGCTTTTAAAAGCATTTTTTTCTGCAACCTCTTAAGGTTGTAGAAAAAATGCTTTTAAAAGTAAAAAAAAAAAAAAGTTGGCCACACCCACCCAGTCACATTACCCCCACCCCCCACCAAGCCACGCCCACAGAATCGGTAGTAACAAATTTTACATTTTACCACTTGTCCAAAATTTAAACGTTCTTCTGCTTTTGAGATTTAAATATCACAAGAACTTAAAGCTGAAAGGTAGGTGTAGCATTGAAGGACATGTTACTAAATACCTGCAAAGAGAGGGAGTTGAATGTATATTTAATTATCTTATAAAGTCCCTGGGGCCTCATCTAAGCAATATCACTTTCCATCTTCTGATCCAGTAATTTTCTCCTTGACCCTCTCAGCCTTCAAAGAGTTTTGCTAGGGTTTTTTTTTATTGCAATAATTAAAAATTAATTAACTAACAATACATTTTGCTAAGGTCGAGATTGCAGCCTTTTCTAAACCTTTTCTAAAGCAGTGAATGTGGCATTGATCAAAACCTTTAAATATTGATGGGTGCAATTGTAGGAGGTAAATAGAATTGCCCTTCTAGTAAATAAATTTAATTCCTCTTGAGAAAAAAAAAATCTACACTTAGAAAGTTGAAGGGCTAGTTTTTCCTGCGATGCTCCGTGATTTTTGTTGCTGTTTTTCCATAGTTTTTTTTTTTTTAAAAAATCTATTAACATTTCCAACGCACAATTTTGGACCTCACAACATTATACAGGTAATCCTCAATTTACAACCACAATTGAGCCCAACATTTCTGTGGCTAAGTGAGACATTTGTCCCATTTTATGACCCATCTCGCCACAGTTGTTAAGTGAATCACTGCAGTTGATAAGTTAGTAACACGCTTGTTAAGTGAACCGGGCTTCCCCCGTTGATTTTGCTTGTCAAAAGGTCGCAGAAGGGGATTACATCACCCTGGGACACAGCAAGGGTCATAAGTATGAATCAATTGCCAAGCATTTGAATTTTGATCACGTGATCATGGGGATGCTACAGAGGTCGTAAATGTGGAAACTGGTCACTTTTTTTCAGTGCCGTTGTAACTTTGAACGGTCACTATATGAACTGTTGTAAGTTGAGGACTCCCTGAACTAGGGTTTTCATAATGCTTATATTTTAATGATACAATTTCATCATTTTATTAGTTCTCAATGCTATTTTTCCACGAATAGAGAATGGAATGGAATGGAATGGAATGGAATGGAATAGAATAGAATAGAATAGAATAGAATAGAATAGAATAGAATAGAATAGAATAGAATAGAATAGAATAGAATAGAATAGAACGGAAGGGTAGGATAGGATAGGATAGGATAGGATAGGATAGGATAGGATAGGATAGGATAGGAAAGGAAAGGAAAGGAAAGGAAAGGAAAGGAAAGGAAAGGAAAGGAAAGGGTAGAATAAAACAGAATAGAACAGAACAGAATAGAATAGAATAGAATAGAACAGAATAGAACAGGGAAGGATAGGATAGGATAGGATAGGATAGGATAGGATAGGATAGGATAGGATAGGAAAGGGTAGAATAAAACAGAACAGAACAGAATAGAATAGGAAAGGGTAGGGTAGGGTAGGGTAGAATGGAAGGGAAGGGAAGGGAAGGGAAGGGAAGGGAAGGAAATAGACTAGACTAGACTAGACTAGACTAGACTAGACTAGACTAGACTAGACTAGAATAGAATAGAATAGAATAGAATAGAATAGAATAGAATAGAATAACAGAGTGGGAAGGGACCTTGGAGGTCTTCTAGTCCAACCCCTGCTCAGGCAGGAAACCCTTCACCACTTCAGACAAATGGTTATCCAACATCTTCTTAAAAACTTCCAGTGTTGGAGCATTCACAACTTCTGGAGGCAAGTTGTTCCACTGGTTAATTGTTCTCACTGTCAGCAAATTTCTTCTTAATTTGATCTTAATACCGCTGGTATTGGATTGATTTCACATTTCATCCTCCACACTTCTCAGTGCATAGCATTCTTTTTTATCATATATATATATTGTCTTACAGATGCTTTTCGGTGAATTTCCTGCTGAGGAAAGCCAACTTGCTTTATTCCGAAGAAATCTTCGCCAGGCCAAACAGCAGCGCTGGGATGAAAGCTGGGAACAGACAGTACTTCCTCTGTTTAGCGACAGATCCGATTAGCTTATGATAAATTAGAAGTTAGTTGATAAATTACATCTTTTTTCCAATTTTGTATTATCCTGCCAGTATTTGAAAATTCAAAATTCAAATTCAATTCTGCTTTAAGTCAAAATTTTATGATAAACTTTATGTTGAATTGAATTTTTTTTAAAAAATGACATTTTATTTTGATAAATAAAAAAAAAACCTCTCCTATTTTTGTCCCTTACTTGATTACAGATTTTAAGTTGTTATTTATTATTTTATATTTGAATTTTTAAGTGCTTTTATTTGTTCTGGTCTCTGTTCTAAGACTGTAATAATAAATTGTTGTTGCTGTTGATCATATTCTAGCTAGGCAAACTCAGGTGCCAGTTCATGGATGGGAATTAGCCTTATACAGGTAGTCACTTAACAAATATCTCAGTTGTGGTCCTAAGCCGAGGACTCCTGTACTTGAATTGCAGTTGGCATTGGAATAATGGTTTTGCCTGCTGGGAACTAGCTTGCTGCCTCATCATCATAATTCTTACGGATGGGGACTTGAAGTTCTTCAGATGTTGAGCCACAACTCAGTGTGTTACTTCTCTTTAGCTGTGCCAAGGTAGATTAAATGTAAAACAGGGATGGGGAAATCACTTTTCTTGAGAGTTTTAAGTGCCATAGTGTTGTGGCCCGCCGGTTGCCAGCAGAGTCGGACAGTGAGAGGTTGGGGAGGAATGTGGGCCAGTCCTGGGGGCTTTCCCGCTTAGATGAGGGCTCCGCGTCTGTTGTGGCCCGTCAGAGGCCTGTGCGGATTGTAGCTGATTCTGACAACGAGAAGGCTGGTGTGGTGCTGTGCCAGCAGTCTATGCAGCTGGCACTCGAGTCAGACAACGAGGAGGCCGGAGAAGATGTGGTGCCAGAGGCAGGGATTCAGCCAGGGCCTTCAGAGCCTCCAGAAGCTCCTTTAAGTGAAGAGGACGAAGAGGAGGAGCCTCTTCTTGATGCACGGGTGCGCAAAGCTGCCAAAAGGCAGGAGTGGCTCCTCAGGAGGAGGTCTCCTCGAGAGTAAGGCTTGGGGCTAATTGGCCACTCCCTTAGCCTATTTAAGGACGAACACCGACTGAAGCAATTTGTAGGGAACAACTTTAGTTCATTCTCCTTCACGTCTGGATTCTCTGCAAATTGCTTCTGGGCTTTCTGCCAACCTTAGTAAGATTGTGATTACTTTATCTTTGGTTTCTTGTAGGCTGTTAAGAAAGTTTATTAACAGCCTTCGTTTGGAAAAGACTGAGTTATTTTAGTAAATTTAAGTTACACAGCAGCGAGGCAGAGGAACAGCTGGAGCCTGTTCCCAGTGTGCGCATGCGCAGAGCTGCCAGAAGACAAGAACGATTAAGAAAGCAGGAGTAAGGCCACACCTTGGAGATATTGGCCCCTCCCATAGAACATAAAAAAGGAGCAAATGGGATGTGGGCTTTTGCAGGAAGCAATTAGTTCATTTAGTCGATTCAAGATTGGAAAGTTCTGTTCGTGACTCTAATAGACTCGGTGCCAAGTTTGGCCTTGCCCTGCATTTGGAAATTGATTCTCTGGCAGCGTTCCAAGTGAGATACGGTGGGTGTTGATCAATATACCTCTGAAAGACTGTTTGCCAAAGCCTTGTTGATTGTGAATGACCGTAATTCCCAGTCGTGTAAATAAAAGAGGTTTGGCCGGAATTAAGACTTTGCTTCATGCTTTTAGAACACATAGCAACTTACTTCTGAATCAGTTGTGAAATCCAATTTTTTTTACTACTGGTTCTGTGGGCCTGGCTTGGGCGTGGTGTGGCTTGGTGGGCGTGGCAGGGGAAGGATACTGCAAAATCTTTATTCCCTCCCCACTCCTGGGGAAAGAATATTGCAAAATCTTCATTCCCTCCCCACTCCTGGGGAAAGAATATTGCAAAATCTCCATTCCCTCCCCACTCCAGGGAAGGATACTGCAAAATCTCCATTCCCTCCCCACTCCTGGGGAAAGAATATTGCAAAATCTCCATTCCCTCCCCACTCCTGGGGGAAGGATATTGCAAAATCTCCATTCCCTCCCCACTCCAGGGAAGGATACTGCAAAATCCCCATTCCCTCCCCACTCCTGGGGAAAGAATATTGCAAAATCTCCATTCCCTCCCCACTCCTGGGGCCAGCCAGAGGTGGTATTTGCTGGTTCTCCAAACTGCTCAAAATTTCCGCTATCAGTTCTCCAGAACCTGTCAGAACCTGCTGGATTTCACCCCTGGCTATGTTCACAAAACACCAAAATTTCACCCCTATTCTGAATCACCCTACTCACTATACGTGACCTTCCCAAGTATCCGCAAAATATTTAGTTTCCCCATGAATTTTTCAAATAAAAAGTTATCTGAAAATAAGATGTCAAAAAGTCTGCATTTAAATGCTTATCTGTACTGTAAGGGAAAGGCAGCTTATAAATATTTAAATGCTTAGACGTATGTATGGATGTGTGTGCAATTTTCTTTCATTCCAAATGGCCAAATGCTACTTGCAAAAACACGTTTGTCTCAACAATATTATATTCTATTAAAAAATATATTCTTTTCATTGGGGTTTATCATTTGCTTTTTCATCTCTATTAATGGAGCGGCCAATATCTGAAAACTGATCTCTGTTTTTTGTTTTTGAAGTGTTTAGGTGAAAAAAGAGCTATTGGATATTACACTCCTGTAGTGGATAAGGCGAAAGATTTATACGATCTGAAGAGAAACCACAGTAGAGTAGTGGATAAGACTGGAAGATATCTTATCCACCCAGGATGCATAATTCATGGAAGACTGTTGGCATTTAGTTATAAATTCTTGTTCTTGAATTCTCACTGAGAATACTGTTTTTTTTTTTCCCTTGTAGAAGAAATTCTTTTGTTGCGGTAAACTCTTAAGAAACAGAACAGTTGATTATTTAAATGTGTTGCAACCTTAAAGAAGAACAGAAAAAGCGGAATTTTCTCTTATCCGATGGGGACTGATTAGATTCCACTGTCAAGTGATCTAACTGCAAATCTTATGTGAAAGTGGATTTATTTTTTTACTGCCCTTGGTTCCTTTTTTGAATGGGAAAAACATAGAACGTAACATCCTAGCATTGGAAGGGACCTCAGAGGTCTTCTAGCCACCCACACAATTGATCCAATTTTATGACCTTCTTTGAGATGGTTGTTAAGTAAACACTGTGGTCATTTGGTGAGCCAATGGTTTGTTATGGGCCAGTTTTTTGCCAAAAGCCAGAAATGAATGCTGGGTTTTGGCACAAACTTTATAAAATGCAGTCACGTGGCCATGTACAAATGGCAGTATTTGGGGCGGTTGCTGAGCTTTCAGTGTGCCGCCACATGATCATGGGGAACGGCCATTAGAACTTCAGAACTGGGTCATAGGTACCCCAGTGAAGTCTGTTAGGAAATGAGTATTACCTACCTTGTTGGGTTGGCATTATATAAAACCATCAATATAGCTTTAAGACTGCTGTATTGCATCATACTGTGTCCTGATTGGTTAGCTCTGTAGCCAATCCCCTTAAGAGGGAGCTAGAAACATGGTTTGTTTCTCTTTGCTGTTCTTGCTCTCTGATACTTCTGTATGCTACTGTTTGCAAATCCAGAAGAACTGTTTATTGTGATTGACGACGACGACTGGTAAGAAGACTTTGTTATTGGATTATCCCTGGAGTGTAATTTTGCTATCATCTGCTTTATATGTGTATGACCTGGACTGTTTATTGGACTGTGCCTTCCTATTTCCTGAAAGTAAACACAACTCAGTGTATCTGTGTGTTGATTGTGTTTATTCGTATCTACTTTCAATCGCTTTCATGTACACACCCTTGCTATTCAAGGGTGACTCTGTGAATTCCTTAACAAAGTCCATTGAGACTTCAAACATTTCGTTAATGACCAGTCATAAGTCAGAATCAGAATAGAGCTGTAAGGGACCTTGGAGGTCTTCTAGTCCAGCCCTCTGCTCAAGCAGGATATCCTGTACAAGTGATGGTGAACCTTTTAGACACCGAGTGCCCAAACTGCACATGCGCATACCCAAACTGAAAGGTGCAGCAGAGACCAGCTGGCCAGCGGGAGGTGGGGCATCCCAACACTGGCAGCGCGGCAAGAGGTAAGATCTTTTTCTTTCGTGAGCTTCTTTTTTGTCATTTGTAGGGAAACAGAAGCTCACAAAAGAAATGCCACAGAGATCTGACCTGGGGTGGCGACGTGTGCCAGCAGAGAGGGCTCTGTGTGCAATCTCTGGCACGTGTGCCACAGGTTCACCATCATGGGTGTAGGGTGTCCTGCTTGAGCAGGGAGTTGGACTAGAACAGTGATGGCTAAGCTTTTTGGCACCGATAATACAATGCGCATGCGAACTCGAACCCGCGCATGCATGCACGATCCCCATGTGCGCCCCGCCCTGGTGCATGCGCGTGTGACCCCCGCACATGCATGTGGGTCTCTTGCATGCGCCCTGCCCCCATGCATGCATGGACACGACCCGAAAAACAGCTGGCCGGTGGGGGGCGTGTGCACATGCGCTGCAGAGCTGAGCTGGGGCGACAGCTCGTGTGCCTGCAGAGAGGGCTCTGCGTGCCACAGGTTTGCCATCCTATACCATTTCAGACAAGTGACTGTGCTTAAAACCTCCAGCGATAAAGGTTTTAAACACCCACAACGTCTGGAGGCAAGTTGTTCCACTGGTTAATTGTCCTCAGTTAGGAAGTTTCTCCTTAATTCCAGGTTGCTTCCCTCTTTGATTGGTTTCCATCCATTGTTTCTTGTCCTGACTTTTGGTGCTTTGGAGAATAATTTGACCCCCTCTTCTTTGTGGCAGCCTCTCAACTACTGGAATACTGCTACCATGGCTCCCCAGTCCTTTTCTCTAGACTAGCCAAACCCAAATCCTGCATGTTTTAGTCTCCAGGCCTTTAATCATCTTAGTTGCTCTTCTCTGCACTTTTTCCAAAGTCTCAACATCTTTTTTTGTAATGTGGTGACCAAAACTGGATGCAGTCCACCAGGTTTGGCCTTACTAAGGTTTTATAAAGCGGTACTAATAATTCATGTGATTTTGAGTCTATGCCTCTGTTTATACAACCAAGGATTGTATTAGCTTTTTTTGGCTGCTGTCGCACACTGCCGACTCCTGTTTAAGTGATTGTCCACTAGGACTCCAAGGTCCCTCTCACAGTTACTCTTTTTGAGGTAGGTTTCACCTAATCTGTAATCTGTCAAGGATTATCTTTAAATAATTGATTTCATGCAGCATTTTACCTAGGTCTGTGACAATGGGTCCATTTTCTACTCAAGCTAGTAATTCAGAGCATCAAGTGGTTTCAACCAAGAGGACCTCTTGAGGTCATTGGTTCCACTCTCAAGGTCTCCTTAATGCCCAGAAGTTTATTTTCTGTTAACACTGGAATCTGCCTTTTAGCCTTTGTACAATGAAGAATATTTCATAGATTCAAATCAATACCCTTTTAATATCTTGCAAAGCAAGGGTACTATTAATCTTCATATACGATGTATATGTAGTCAATTTACATTTATATTTTCTAAATAAATAATGGGATGTAGCTGGCTGATTACATAGGTTGATTACTATTTTCATCATTAGAGTATTATATGAAATCAGACCATACGGGGGTGGGGGGGTGGGGGAAAAAAGTAATTTTCTCTCTTATTTTTCTTTAACTGGTTTCAATTTATATGTTAATTTTTCTGTTAAGGCAATGGACCATATTTATCATGCCAATTTTTCTATGATGACCCTTCTAGATATATCCAGTATTTTCTGTTACTAATCTAGCAGCATTAATAACAAGTGTAATAGTGCCTTACTTTTCAAATTTGCATTCCTAACCGATAATAAGAAAGCTGTTTTCTTTATTCTTTGATTAGTAATTAATGGGATTGTCTGAAGTATTATATCCCCAAATTTACAAAAGTTTGGGGATGACCACCACATAAGTAAAATTATTTTTTTTCCCCTTTGCTATCTCTCCAACATTTATTTCAATTTCTTTTTTCTTATGTGTGAAATGTTAACTGGGATTAGATGCCGAAAGTGTGAAAACCTGAAATGTAATTTCTGCAAAGCTATTGAGAGAAACTTAGGCATTTTTGACCTTCCATATTTGTCATTCATTTTGGGGTATTTTTCTCTCAAAAGATAAGGCTTTCTCCTGGTTTCAGCCTTTAGTAGAAGTTTGTGAAATTGTGCACTATTAGGAAGTTATTATTAATTACTACTAATATATACTGCTCAAAAAAATAAAGGGAACACAAGCAGAAGACATCCAAGATCTGAATGAATGAAATAGCCTTATTAAATATGTTGTTCTTTACATACAGTATATACACTGCTCAAACAACTAAAGGGAACACAAAACTACTGTATGTAACGAACAAAGTATTTAATAAGGCTATTTCATTCATTCAGATCTCGGATGTCTTCTGCTTGTGTTCCCTTTATTTTTTTGAGCAGTGTACATTGCTGGGGGTACATCTGTGTGTGTATAAAGCAAGCATCTGTAAAAAAAGAAAAAGAAAAAGCCCATTAGCTGTTTAATATTTTGTAATAAGTTTCTGTGCACCCATACGATTCTTTCAATTAAATGTCATCTTGTAGGAACAGGGGAAATGCTAACTTCTCTGTTGCAATGTATTTTCTCAAATGTAAGAAAACTCTGGTGTAATGCAAGTTGTGTTACCGTACCAATACAGAAAAATATTTGTAAGCTCAGGGCTGAAATGTGGGTCCTTGGTTCTCTCTGAGCTTGGTTGTTTTCTTGCAGACGTTTCATGACCCAACTAGGTAACCTCATCAGTGCTACAAGGGAGTTGGGTTTGCAGAGTGGAGGAAGGAGAGGAGAAGGATGTGGAGAACTGTGGGGTCCTTGGTGCTCTCTGAACCTGGTTGTTTTGTTGCAGACGTACCTGATATGAGCCTTTCTGTTTTCAGTCAAAGTATTGTTTCATTCTGCTGCCATTAAAAGTATAGAGGATGAACTAGAAGCAGAAATATTAGGAATTATTTTGTGACTAGGGAGAGATAGATTTTTAAGCCCCTTGCAGGCTGCTCATTCTCAGACTCGCCTATCTTGAGAGATTGTTATGGGGATAAAACTTGGTGGTAGATCATGGATAGTTAGTCTAAGCTGGGTGGAAAAAGAGGAGAATACTTAGATATTAAAGTGAAAAATCAGATCAATCCCCTTTTCTGTTTTAATATTGACTATCTATTTGGCTCCCGCAGAAAAGAACTATGAACGCTTCTGAAACTTTTAACCTTTGCGAAGTTAAAAACTTCATCCTGCAAGAAGCACCTTCTAGAAGGCGAACCAAGAAAATACGTATAAAGGGAAGGAAGAGAACCTTGACAGAAATAGGCAGAAATTATAATAAAGACACTCGGGGGCTGAACAACTTGTTCAGCGCTCAGAAACAAGACAGCATTTGGAAGTGGCTCATGTAGACACCCCCCTACCCCCCAGATTCACAGGAGTATAAGGAGGAAGAAGAAGAGAAAGAAAAAAGAAACAATCAGATTGCAAGATTCTGTTCTGAAAGTCAATCTCAATAATAAAAAAAAAGATTGAGATTGGTTACCTGTTTTGATCTACTTCACCGGGCTGATAGGGTGGCCACAGACTCCAGACAAAGAAGTAAAAACACATCAAAACAGATGTTTATTGTACAAAAATAACAGCCTGTGTGTTCCATAGTTCACATAAGCATATAAACAGGATAGATTATAAGTGTACTCTGAGATTGCAACAGGCTAACTTTAAATCCGTAAACAATACGCAAAGGTTTAGTAATGTATCTTGTAGATCAGTCCTTTCTCAATGTTGGCAACTTAAGATATGTGTGGACTTCCAACTTCCATTCACCAGTGAAATCCGGGAGTTCATGACCACACGTTAAAGCTGCTAAAACTGAGAAACGGCAATTCTGGCAGTTGATAATTCATGCATCTTAAAGTTGACAAGATTGAGAGAAATACTCTTGTAAACCCACTGGTTACAGCACAAGAAGTCTTTAATGTAGTTGTGAGAGGCATTTTGATGCTTCTAGGAAAGATGTTGAGAATGAAACCAGCTCACGATGGCCGAAGTTATTTTCAATATTTGGAAAAAAGCTTTCCAACCAAGAGTTTGGGGGAAAACCCTTAAATGTGCAGCCTTAAAATTACTATATTAGCATGCTGGTCATATGGAAAAAGATTCTTCCAAGAGGTCGCTACCGTTTCCCATCCAATCTCCACTTTATCTGAAAAACAAAAAGGCAGAAAAGAAACATGATTAAACGTAGAGCTATTTCCATGTTGTCTATATTTTTTTTTCCTAATTCAAAGGGCTTGGTTTCATTTGCGAAATGGACCAGAATTTTTTATGTTCTGAAAGCAACTTTTGATAAATTAGCCACAAAGAAGAAACTGTTTTTTTTTAAATCTCCCAAACACGATATTTATCAAGATGTACATGGCTTCTCCCTGGATGCTGCCAAAAAGACGATATGAATTAATTTGCGCAGATTTGAATACGCAAGCAAAAAAGAAAAAAGTTCCATCCACTCTGGGCAACTTTTTCCGCAGCTGAATCTTACTTGTGGGAAATGCAACTCCTGTGAAAGTTAATTGGTCCCTTGGTACCAAGACTGTAATGTGCAGTGAGTGGGAATCGGCCATTCCTTTTTGGCTTTATGAAGCCCTAGCTGTGCTTGTCCCTCTGTTCTGGTAAGACAAAAAAAAGCTGCTGTGTATGCAAACATTTTCATACCCAAAACACGAACCTCACAGTGGTTCATTTTTAAATGTCCAGGTTTTGAAGGAAAAAAAATTCTCTGCAATATATTAAAGCCTTCATTGCATTTTATTCCCCCTATCTATTTTCCTGCATTAATAAGAGACTGCAAAAACAGTTCAGACGTGCGATCTATCAAGACCAATTTTATAAAAAGTGGATTTTTGGGGATGAAATTATTTCCAGGAATGTTGCGTGAGACATCGAAGAGACTCTGGTGTTTTTATAAACCATAATAATTTTCAGTGAATTTTTTGGAAAATATTGGCATCTTGGCATATAGTAGTAAAGACTAGCCCAGAATTAGTAGAGAGGCAATATAAGTTTATAAAGTACAGGTTGTGCCAAAGGTGCTTTTTCAAAAGGCCACTGGACTTTGTTCTTCCTTGAAGACATTTCACTTCTCATCGAAGAAGCTTCTTCAGCTCTGGTGGAATTCTCCACCATTCAGCCAGAACTGAAGAAGCTTCTTGGCTGAGAAGTGAAAGGTCTTCAAGGAAAAACAGTTCAGTTGTCTTTTGAAAAAGCACCTTTGAGACAACCATGACCTGAAAGGCTGAGAATCTGCATAGTTCTTTATTATAGGTAGTCCTTGACTTATGACTAATTGAGCCCCAGAATTACAGTCGTAAGTTGTTGCAGTAATAAATTGTAACCGAAGTAATTTTCCAGATTTTTTTTTCATGGCAGTCATTAAGCGAACATTGGGGTTGTTAAGCAAACTCATTTATCCAAATGGAAACTGGCAAAAAAAAAAACATTGCAAATAAGCAGAGCATGGAACACCTCAATGGCTTATAAAGCTGACCCTCCCAACATGCAGTCACATGACCTTGGGGTCATGAACTAAAGAGTTCAGCTTCAGTTCCAACCTGAAGAAGTCAGCAACTTCTTCAAGTTGGAACTGATCTGCTGTGATAGTCTTGTGGACAATCCCATCCAAGAGAGAGAGAGAGAAAAAAAAAAAAACCGCACAACTTCTTGTGGCCCGTCAGTGGCCTGTGCAGATTGTAGCTGATTCCGACAACGAGGAGGCTGGTGAGGTGATGTGCCAGCAGCCTGTGCAGCTGGCGCTCGAGTCGGACAGTGAGGAGGCTGGAAAAGATGTGGTGCCAGAGGCGGGGATTCAGCCAGGGCCTTCAGAACCTCCAGAAGCTCCTTTAAGTGAAGAGGACGAAGAGGAGGAGGCTCTTCTCGATGCACGGGCGCGCAAAGCTGCCAAAAGGCAGGAGTGGCTCCTCAGGAGGAGGTCTCCTCGAGAGTAAGTCTTGGGGCTAATTGGTCACTCCCTTAGCCTATTTAAGGAGGAACACCACTTGCAGCAAGCTGTAGGGAACAACTTTAGTTCAATCTCCTTCGCGTCTGGATTCTCTGCAAAATTGCTTCTGGGCTTTCTGCCAACTCTAGTAAGACTGTGATTACCTTATCTTAGAATTCTGGTAGGCTGTTAAGACAGTTTATTAACAGCCTTTGGTTGATAAAGACTAAGTTATTTGAGTAAAATAAGCTTTGTATAGAGTTTGTGTGTGCTGCGTTCTTTGGGGTCCGTAGCTGGGGCAGAACACAACTTTCTCTCTGCTCCTTTTCCGTTGTTCCTTAGAATGGCGGACAAAAAAAAAATCTGTTCAGTAAAGAAAGTTAGAGCAGTTGCCATATTTATTTATTTATTATTTATTTATTAATCAAATTTCTATACCGCCCTACTCCCGAAGGACTCAGGGCGGTGAACAGCCAAGATAAAATACAGACAATACAAATATTAAAAATCCCTTAAAATTATTAAATATTTCGGCCGAAACACAGATTAAAACACCCAATTTATAAAATCACGAATTAAAAAATTTAAAATTTAAGAATTTAAAAGAGGGAAGTTAGGCCAGGCCAGCTTGCTGAAATAGAAAAGTTTTGAGAGCACGGCGAAACGTGCGCAGGTCCGGGATCTTCCGTATCTCTGGGGGGAGCTCGTTCCAGATGGTAGGTGCCCCCACAGAGAAGGCTCTCCCCCTGGGGGCCGCCAGTCGACACTGTTTGGCCGATGGCACCCTGAGGAGCCCCTCTCTATGGGAGCGTACTGGTCGGTGAGAGGCTATTGGTAGCAGAAGGCGGTCTCGTAGATACCCCGGTCCGATGCCATGGAGCGCTCTAAAGGTGGTAACCAAAACCTTGAAGCGCACCCGGAAGACCACCGGGAGCCAGTGCAGCTCGCGCAGGAGGGGGGTCACATGGGAGCGCCACGTCGCTCCCATAACCACCCGCGCGGCCGCATTCTGGACCAGCTGGAGCCTCCGGGTGCTCCTCAAGGGGAGCCCCATGTAGAGAGCATTGCAGTAGTCCAAGCGGGAAGTGACAAGAGCATGAGTGACCGTATTTAACGAGTCCCGATCCAGAAAGGGACGCAACTGGCGAATCAGGCGGACCTGATAAAAAGTCCCCCTGGCCACGGCCGTCATATGCTCTTCTAAAGACAGCCGTGAGTCCAGGAGGACACCCAAGTTGCGAGCCCTCTCCGTGGGGGGCAATGACTCGGCCCCAATAGTCAGTGATGGTGCCAACTGACTATATCGGGATGTCGGAAACCACAGCCACTCGGTCTTGGATGGGTTGAGCCTGAGTCTGTTTCTCCCCATCCAGATCCGCACGGCCTCCAGGCACCGGGACATCACTTCAAGGGCATCATTGGGGTGGTGCAATCTTGGATTGGTGCAGGCCATTAACTAGTTAATTACCTATCATTAATTAGCAGAGGAATTCTTCAGCGATGTTGTCTGGAAGATAAAAGCAAGGCACACCAGCTGTGCCTATTAAAGCAGGTTCATTCCTGATAGCCACGCTTTGATTAGAGCTTTTAACATCCCTTTCCAATCTTCTAAAGTGATGTATTTATTCACCATTAATTAATGATACACGGCAGTTTATAAGCTCCAATGGCGCTTGCAAATCCCAGGTTTATTCATTGGAGTATTCTTTTAACCCCCTGTCCCTTATCAGAGGGAAAGTAAACACCCGTGCCTAAGAAACATGTTATTCTGTTTTGTGAGTTGGATTGGTTGCCAGTTTTGCCTGGAGGCTAAAACATACAATAAACGGTTGCAGGAACTGGGCCTGGCTAGTCTAGTGAAGAGAAGGACCAGGGGAGACAGGATAGCAGTCTTCCAGTATTTGAGGGGCTGCCACAGAGAGGAGGGGGTCGAGCTATTCTCCAAAACTCCTGAAGGCCAGACAAGGAACAATGGATTGAAACTGAACAAGGAGAGATTCAACCAAGGAGCTCTGGTGGCTCAGCAGACTAAAGCACTGTTATTAACATCCACTTACATCTGCTGCCTGCAATTACTGCAATTACTGCAAGTTCAAATCTCACCAGGCTCAAGGTTGACTCAGCCTTCCATCCTTTCAAAGGTAGGTAAAATGAGGAACCGGTTTGTGGGGGCAATAAGCTGACTTTGTATAAATATACAAAAGTATGAAGGCTATTGCTTAACGCATTGTAAGCCGCCCTGAGTCTCCAGAGAAGGGCGGCATATAAATCAAATTTTAAAAAAAAACCTGGAAATTGTAACTACTCATTAATTTTCGAGCTGTAAGTGTCGATTTATCAAGCCTGATCACATAGTTTCGTATCGGAGCACGGATATCCAGCTAGTTGTTTATAGAGATAATTAAAGGTGGGATATAAAATAAGTAAATAAGAAAACCTGGACGAAAGCAGGCCTAAGAAATGAGTCAAAAGTATCCCACCCTTAGAAAAAATTCCAGGCTCATTTCTCTTACGTTAACTTTACAACTCTGAGCCGCCGAGAAGCAGCCCGCTTCTGACCTTACCAAGTTGCATTTGGAAGTCGTGATACGTATCTGGATTTCGGATATTGAAGGCAATGTAAACTTCAGGCTTTTGTCTGTTCCCGCCATCCCTGGGAAATTTTTGCAGGACACCAATTAAGTGCTGGCTTACCTCCGGATCGTATACCACATCTGATAGGAATTTAAAGGGATAAAAAAAAAAACGGAACAAATGAAGTAGCAATTTTTTTAAAATTAAAAAGAATGCAAATTGCAAGGCATTATCGATTGGAGAGAATGGATCACTGGATAGGCAGGGATTTAAAATAGATCCAGACTGGAGTGTCTGCGGGGTAGGGTCAAAAAATTCAAGATGGCGGCCACTATGTGGCAATTAATGGTCCAACTGGTTTTTTTTTTTTTTTTATGAGTATCGCATTACAACCTCTGTACAAATCCTTACCTCTTCCTGGTGATTGGAAAGAAAATCATTTTGCAAAAATCAAGTTATGTTGCAAAGACATAAACATGAATATTTCTGAACAGTGCATAGAATAAAAGTAAAGGTAAAGGTTCCCCTCGCACATATGTGCTAGTTGTTCCCGACTCTAGGGGGCGGTGCTCATCTCTGTTTCAAAGCCAAAGAGCCAGCGCTGTCCGAAGACGTCTCCGTGGTCATGTGGCCGGCATGACTCAACGCCAAAGGCGCACGGAACGCTGTTACCTTCCCACCAAAGGCGGTCCCTATTTTTCTACTTGCATTTTTTATGTGCTTTCAAACTGCTAGGTTGGCAGAAGCTGGGACAAGTCCCGGGAGCTCATCCCGTTACGCAGCACTCAGGATTCGAACCGCTGAACTGCCGACCTTTCGATCGACAAGCTGAGCGTCTTAGCCACTGAGCCACCATGCCCCTTGAGATACTTATAAAGTAATAAAGATGGGATTTTTTAAAAAAGAAATGCTGAGTAAAGGAATGTTAATAATAACAACAGGGATATCTCATTTTCACCAGTTCTTGAGATCACCGGGCCTGATTTAACAGAATAACAAGAGTTGGAAGGAAACTTGGAGGTCTTCTAGTCCAGCCCTATACTCTATACCAGGGGTCTCCAAACTTGGCAACTTTAAGACTTGTGGACTTCAACTCCCAGCTTTGCTGGCTGAGGAATTCTGGGAGTTGAAGTTCACAAGTCTTAAAGTTGCCAAGTTTGGAGACCCCTGCTCTATACCATTTCAGACAAATGATCGTCCAATCTCTTCTGGAAAACATCCAGTGTTGGAGCATTCACAAGTTCTGGAGGCAAGTCGTTCCACTGTTTAATTGCCCTGACTGTCAGGAAATTTCTTCTTAGTTCTAGGTTGCTTCTCTGCATGATAAGTTTCCATCCAGTCCCAAAAGTGCTTTGGAAAATAGGTTGATCCCCTGTTCTTTGTGGCAGCCTCTTAGATATTGGAACACTGCTATTTTGTCACCTCTCTCCTTTTCATTAAACTAGACATCCCCAATTCCTGCAACTGTTCTTCGTCTATTTTATCCTCCAGTCCCCTAATCATCTTTGTTGCTCTTTACCCCACTCTTTCCAGAGTCTTGATATGAATTTCCCACATTTCAAAACTCCAGTGCTTAGAAAGGTTGCAGGAACTGGGAGACCTGATATCAGTATTACAACATCTCAGGGGCTGCCACAAACAATAGGAAGCGAAGCTATTCTCCAAAGCACCAGAAGGCAGGACAAGAAGCAATGGGTGGAAACTAATCAAGGAGAGAAGCAACTTAGAACTAAGGAGAAATTTCCTGACAGTGAGAACAATTAATAAGTGGAACGACTTGCCTCCAGAAGTTGTGAATGCTCCAACACTGGAAGTTTTTAAGAAGATGTTGGATAACCATTTGTCTGAAGTGGTGTAGGGTTTCCTGCCTAAGCAGGGGGTTGGACTAGAAGACCTCCAAAGTCCCTTCCAACTCTGTTATTATATTGTATTAAATGCTGAGTGATGTCTGGCTGGCTGCACTAAATGGCATGGGAGAGTAACTTCTTTTTCTAGCTCCAATTAGTGTCATCCCCTCAATTTTACTTGTTGAATTTAATTTAATTTAATTTAATTTAATTTAATTTAATTTAATTTAATTTAATTTAATTTAATTTAATTTAATTTAATTTAATTTAATTTAATTTAGTGATTGGTTCGATTTATATGCTGCCCTTCTCCGGAGACTCAGGGCGGCTTACAATGCATTAAGCAATAGCCTTCATACTTTTGTATATACCTGCTTAAGTAGGGCTTTCGCCCCCCTCCCCAAGCGGTGTTCTTTTTTATACAAAGTCAGCTTATTGCCCCCACAATATGGGTCCTCATTTTACCTACCTTGAAAGGATGGAAGGCTGAGTCAACCTTGAGCCTGGTGAGATTTGAACTCACAGTAATTGCAGGCAGCTGGCAGCTAAGTGCTACTTAACAGCACTTTATCCGCTGCACCACCAAGGCTCCTATTCATTTATTCGTAACTCAGCAAGCTAAGTCCGATCTGAGGATATCCATTACCTGCAGCAAGAATGACGTCGGCTTGCAATTTTGCAAGCTTGTCTTTCGACACTAGATTCCAGTCGAGTTCTTTTACTGATATTCGGACATGGTCACCTTCCAGGTTAACATCAAGACGGCCCTGATGGTTTGGGCTTCCTTCTGTGCGGTGGCTGCAAGATTCAGGCTCCAAAGTCAAACTGTTCAGATGGATGTTCTCAGACAGCTGTTGAAGGACAGCCTTGTGGTGGTCGCTGAAGACGTACCATCTCGGATGGCAAGTCTTGCAAACGGCAATTCCCGTCAATCCAATCCCACTCCCCAATTCCAGAATTCTTCTAGAGAAAGAGGATGAATATGGAACAAAATAGATAAAGAGGGAAGAAGATGGACTTGTTTAATTATACAGGTGGCTTTACACTTATTTTTCCCCCCGTTTTTGCAAAAAAAGTATATCCTTTGCTCAGTTTGCCCCAAGAAATCCACCTCTTAGAGAGTCCATGTCAGTCTTCGCAAAGGGAACAAGCTGAGCCTCTGCCCCATGCCTTTTATCCCCAGAGCTAGGGTGGGGCCTCACTAGCAGTGGTGGCTCTTCCATCCCAAGGACCGGCCCACACATTTCCACTGCTCTCCTCTCCTCTGCCTTCTGGACATCCGGTTGTGAGGCACTGGACCCAGCTGTTCCTCCTCTTCCTCATCAGCCACCTCCAGACCTGGGGGCTGTTGACTCTCCATCTGAGGATTGACAGATGGCACAGGCTCCCTTGTATCTCTCTCTCTGACAGCTCCATTCCCTCTTCCCCCTTGGAGCTCTCAGGTTGCCCTGATGCTCCTCCTCCTCCTCTGATTCAGCTGCTGGAGGGGCCGGCGGCTGACAGGCCACAACAGGGTCCATGCAGGGGTGAAATCCAGCAGGTTCTGGAGAACTGGTAGCGGAACTTTTGAGAAGTTCAGAGAACCGGTAGCGGAAATTTTGAGTAGTTTGGAGAACCGGCAAATACCACCTCTGGCTGGCCCCAGAGTGGGGTGGGAATGGAGATTTTGCAGTATCCTTCCCCCAGGAGTGGGGCAAACCAGCCCAAGTGAAATTGGACCAGTAAGGCATCCTGATTCTCATCCTTTCTCCTTCCCAAGGGAAAAAAAGCTCCCTCGGAGGATTTTGGAGAAAGAAAAACTTCCAAGCCAGTTGTCCCCCAAACTTTTCAAAACCACCAACCAGTGATGGGGATGGCTGCCGAGAGCGCACTGCAAGAAATTTGGTTGTGCACAAACACAACGGCTCACACACACACACATTCCTTAGCTTACCGTCCTCTGCTGCGTGGCTCTCACCCTCCAGGGACGTTAGGAAAAGTAAAAGGAGCAGGAGGGATGATGGGGACATGGTGTGGGTAGACTTCGAGGAGGGGATCCCGCTTTGCGAAGCCAGCTGTTGGGAGAAAGGCTTGGAGGCTTTGCTTGGGAAGGAAGCCTCTCCTTGCCAGCCGGTGGGGGGGGCGGTTTGATGTGCCACGCAATGAACACGCCTCCCCCCCCCAAGTCTGGGGAGGAAGGGAGGGAAGCAGGCCTCCTCCTCCTCTTCCCTCTGCTCGTCTCTCAGCCAACTCAGGAAGCTCAAACTGCCCAAGGAGCTGCTGATCCAGTTCTACAGAGGAATGATTGAGTTTTGCCATCTGCACCTCCATAACTGTCTGCTTTGGATCTGCAACCCAACAAGACAGACAGAGACTTCGGAGGATCATTAGAACTGCAGAAAAAACAACGGCTACCAACCTGCCTTCCATGGAGGACCTGTATACTGCATGAGTCAAAAAGAGGGCTGGGAAAATATCTACAGACCCCTCACATCCTGGACATCAACTGTTTCAACTCCTACCCTCAAAATGACGCTATAGAGTACTGCACACCAGAACAACTAGACACAAGGACAGTTTTTTCTTATTCTCTTCTATTCTCTTCTTCTCTTCTCTTCTCTTCTTATTCTATTCTGTTCCCTATTCTTCCTATTCTATTCTATTCTTATTGTATTCTATTCTATTCTATTCTATTCTTTTTCTATTCTATTCTATTCCCTATTCTTCCTATTCTATTCTATTCTATTCTTTTTCTATTCTATTCTATTCCCTATTCTTCCTATTCTATTCTATTCTATTCTTTTTCTATTCTATTCTATTCCCTATTCTTCCTATTCTATTCTATTCTATTCTTATTCTATTCTGTTCCCTATTCTTCTTATTCTATTCTATTCTATTCTATTCCCTATTCTTATTCTATTCTGTTCCCTATTCTTATTTTATTCTGTTCCCTATTCTTATTCTATTCTATTCTTATTCTATTCTGTTCCCTATTCTTCCTATTCTATTCTATTCTATTCTATTCTTATTCTATTCTGTTCCCTATTCTTCTTATTCTCTTCTATTCTCTTCTTCTCTTCTCTTCTCTTCTTATTCTATTCTGTTCCCTATTCTTCCTATTCTATTCTATTCTATTCTTATTCTATTCTATTCCCTATTCTTCTTATTCTATTCTATTCTATTCTTATTCTATTCTATTCCCTATTCTTATTCTATTCTGTTCCCTATTCTTCTTATTTTATTCTGTTCCCTATTCTTCTTATTCTATTCTATTCTATTCTTATTCTATTCTATTCCCTATTCTTATTCTATTCTGTTCCCTATTCTTCTTATTTTATTCTGTTCCCTATTCTTATTCTATTCTGTTCCCTATTCTTTCTATTCTATTCTATTCTATTCTATTCTATTCTATTCTATTCTATTCTATTCTATTCTTATTCTATTCTGTTCCCTATTCTTCTTATTCTCTTCTATTCTCTTCTTCTCTTCTCTTCTTATTCTCTTCTGTTCCCTATTCTTCTTCTTCTATTCCATTCTTATTCTATTCCCTATTCTTCTTATTCTATTCTTATTCTATTCTATTCCCTATTCTTATTCTATTCTGTTCCCTATTCTTATTCTGTTCCCTATTCTTCTTATTCTATTCTATTCTTCTTTTTCTATTCTATTCTATTCCCTATTCTTCCTATTCTATTCTATTCTATTCTGTTCTATTCTGTAGAGAGGAAGGCAGAGAAAAAAAAAGAGGAACAAAATCAGCACAGGTTACCACAACCAAGTCCCAAAGAAAAGCGTTGGGAAAGCAGGGAGGTTAAGATCATGCCAGGGTAAGAGCTGAAATCAGGAGGGGTTTTTCTCCTCCCCTGCCTTTTAAAATGGGGTGCATGGCAGAGGCTCAAGAGATCTCCCGCTGCCAATACAGAGCCCTCTGCAGAGGCTCAGAGGCTCTGTGCCTTCCAGGAAAGCCTCGGGAGAAGAGGAGCGCCCTGCAGAGGCTCAAGAGATCTTTTGCTGCCAATAAAAAAGCACTCTGTAGAATCTCAAGAGACCCAGTGCCTAGAATGAAGTGCTCTGCAGAGGCTTGGAGATCTGCTGCTGCCAGTAAAGAGCACTTTGCACAGGCTCAGAGACCCTGTGTGCCTAGACGAAAGCCCTTAAGAGCAGTTCTCTGCAGAGGCTCAGAGATCTCCCGCTGGCAATAAAGAGCACTCTGCACAAACTCAGAGACCCTGTATGCCTAGGACGAAAGCTCTTAAGAGCAACTCTCTGCAGAGGGTCAGAAATCTCCTGCTGATGATAAAGAGCACTCAGTACAGGCGCAGGAACCCTGCGAGCCTTCAAGGAAAGCCTTGGGAGAAGGGGAGCACTCTGCAGAGACTCAGAGATCTCCCACTGGCAATAAAGAGCCCTCTGCACAGGCTCAGGAACCCTGTGAGCCAATACAGAGCACTCTGCACAGGCTCAGAGACCCTGTGTGCCTAAGACGAAAGCCCTTAAGAGCAGCTCTCTGCAGAGGCTCAGAGATCTCCTGCTGATGATAAAGAGCTCTCTGTATAAGATCAGAGACCCTGTGCCTTCAAGGAAAGCCTTGGGAGAAGAGGAGCGCCCTGCAGAGGCTCAGAGATCTTTTGCTACCAATAAAAAAAGCACTCTGTAGAATCTCAGAGACCCTGTGTGCCTAGACAAAAGCCCTTAAGAGCAGCTCTCTGCACAGGTTCAGAGATCTCTTACTGCCTATAAAGAGCACTTTGCACAGGCTCAGAGATCTCTTACTGCCTATAAAGAGCACTCTGCACAGGCTCAGAGATCTCTTACTGCCTATAAAGAGCACTCTGCACAGGCTCAGAGATCTGCTGCTGCCAATAAAAAGCACTCTGTAGAATCTCAGAGACCCTGTGAACCTAGACAAAAGCCCTGAAGAGCAGCTCTCTGCAGGGGCTCAGAGATCTCCTACTGCTGATAAAGAGCACTCTGCACAGGCTCAGGAACCCTGTGAGCCAATAAAGAGCACTCTGCACAGGCTCAGAGACCCCGTGTGCCTAAGATGAAAGCCCTTAAGAGAAGCACTCTGCACAGGCTCAGAAATCTCCTGCTGCCAATAAAAAGCACTCTGTAGAATCTCAGAGATCCTATATACTTAGACAAAAGCCCTGAAGAGCAGCTCTCTGCACAGGCTCAGGAACCCTGTGAGCCAATAAAGAGCACTCTGCACAGGCTCAGAGACCCCGTTGTGCCTCAGACGAAAGCCCTGAAGAGAAGGCGCGCTCTCTTGCCTACGCCCAGGGCCTTCTCTTCCCAGCGGGGGCGCTCTGCGGATGCTCAGAGGCCGCCTTGCCCGCCGCCAGGGGAGCCCCTCGGCCTCGGGACGCTCCGAGCCGGCAAGAAGAGCAGCAGAAGCGGCAGCAGGAGGAGGAGGAGCCGCCGCCGCCAACGCCCCGCCCGGGACCGCCCCAGACGGGGGGGGGAAGAGAAGAAGAAGCCGAAGCGGCGGAAGGAGAAGCGGAAGGCCGGGCAAACTAGGCCGCAACGAAGCCGGGGACTCGCGTAGCCGCCGCCGCCGCCGCCATGAGCTAGCGCGCCCGCCCCGATGTGGCTGCAGCAGCGGCTGAAGGGCCTGCCGGGGCTGCTGTCCAGCAGCTGGGCGCGGCGCCTGCTGGCCCTGCTGGCTTTCCTGCTGGCCGCCTCCTGGTACTTGGGAGGCGCCTGGCCTGGCCTCCTGCTCCGCCTGAGGCCCGGGGGAGCCTCGGGAGGAGCTGCGGGGCTTTGCCTGCAGGCCGAAACCCGGGCTTGGAGGAAAGGAGAAGCCCGGCTGCTGGGGGAAGGCCCTGGCCAGGGTCCCCCGGGGCTGGTGGGCAACGGGCACCTGCTGCTGGATGCCCAGGCCAACCGCCTTTGGGTGGCCCCCAAGGGGGGCCCGGCTTGGCCCACCGACTACGGACCCTTGGCCCAGCTGCGGGGTCCAGCCGGGGCCGAGAACGAGGCGTCGGCGTCCGCTTTGCTGCCCAAGGAAGGAACCTGGCGGAAAGTCCGTTGCATCCAGTCCGGGATTTCCGCCGGGTCATGCGTGACCGTCCGAGAGGAGCTGCTGGCCCACCGTGGACGTCCCCACCTCTACTTGCAACGCTTGTCAGTGGACAACCCCACCGACCGTCTGGTGGCATTAGAAGTGACCGGTCCGGCTTCATCGTCGTCGTCGTCCTCTTCTTCTTCTTTCTCCGGCCGTTCTTTCGCCACCAGTTTAGAGAAAGCGGGCGACCGTCAGTTCTTCCTGTCATCGGGCCGGGCATTGCAACCTGCCGGAGAGAAGTTGGTGTTGGTCGTGGTAGCGGCTAAGAAGCTGGTCAGCCGGGTGCAGGTGGCACCCAAGTCACGCTTCGAGGAGACGTTGGTGTCGGTGGTGCTGAGCTCGGAGCCCATCGAGGCCGCCCAGCTGGACGAGACCTTCGGGCGTCTGCGGGAAGCGGCCAAGAGGGAGATGATGGAGGTGCTGCCCTTGCGGACCGAGGAGCTGGTCCAGGAACACCGGCGGGCGTGGGACGAACTCTTCATCTCAGGTGCGGGGACACACCACACCGGCTTGGAGTCTGCGAGCGACCGGCTGTAGGGCGATGCCAGCTTCGGACATGGACGGTGCCGTTGAGTGTGGCATTCTGAGAAATGTGCCTTTTGGTGCTTGGTACCAACCAGGTGCTACAAAAATGGACGTTTCAAAGCTAGACAGGTATCCTCTGGCATAGGGGTCTCCAACCTTGGCAGCTTTTAAGACTTGTGGACTTCAACTCCTAGTATTCTTCAGCCAGCTCCGAAGTCCACAAGTTGCCAAAGTTGGAGACCCCCTCTGCTCCGGTAGTCCTATAAGCTTGCTTGGGGCTATAGAGGGGGGCCTGAAATGTACCACAAAACCTGTAATTGACTTGAGATTTCTTAATTCAAATTAGAATAGAGCTGGAGAATGGAGCTCAAGCAAGAGATGCTTGTCCCAAAGGGCCCCCCTTTTTTAAAATTTTATTTTACAAAAGGCAATTGGACTTTCTTGGGTTTTTTTTCTTGAAAACATTTCCCTTCTCACCTAAGAAGCTTCTTCAGTTCTGAAGAAGAACCGAAGAAGCTTCTTGGGTGAGAAGCAAAACATTTTCAAGGAAAAAAAAAAAGAAAAGATAAAAAGTCCAGTTGCCTTTTGGAAAAAAAAGCCCTTTTGGGACTTAATCAGACTATAGCTGGAAGGGATCTTGGAGGTCTAATCCAATCCCTTGCTCAAGCGAGAGACTCTATACCAGATCAGACGAGTGACTGTCCAGTCTCTTCTTTAAAAAAAAAAACCCAGTGATGGAGCACCCACAACTTCTGGTGGCAAGCTGTTCCACTGGTTAATTGTCCTCACTGTCAAGACATTTCTGCTTTAATTCCAGGTTGCTTCTCTTCTGGATTAGTTTCCGTCCACTGTTTCTTGCCTGGCCTTCTGCTGCTTTGGAAAATAAATCCATGACACCTCTCCCTATGAGATGGTTTCTTGGTAGAGGCAATATGTAGGAAGTCTGCAAAAATCAGCAAGTTCTGCCTGTCTTAGCAGCAGTTGGAGCGATGGAGATTTTTTGTTTCTGGGGATAGAAATCATGACATTTTCTCCCCCCCAAAATAGTAGTATCTGGGCTATGGTATCTTCTTCTTCTTCTTCTTCTTCTTCTTCTTCTTCTTCTTCTTCTTCTTCTTCTTCTTCTTCTTCTTCTTCTTCTTCGCCTTCGCCTTCGCCTTCGCCTTCGCCTTTATTTATTTATTATAACATAAAATGACATTACAAGACATACAACATATATATATATGTATGTATGTGTGTGTGTGTGTATATATATTATATATATATATATATATATATATATATACATACACACTCTCTTAACAGCTATTTCATGATCTTCTAATATTTACATTTTCTCCCTTTTCCTTTATATTATTCAGTTTCTTCTTATCCCTTTCTTTTAGTTACAGTGTATTTATTAAGTCCCTGGTTTTCCGCTCATAGGTGGTTCTGTTATTTTCTCTAGCCATTCTTTAATTTTAGCCCAGAACTTCTTTGCAGATGGACATGTCCACCACAGGTGGTAGTATGTTCCGTTGGGCTACAGTATCTTCTAATTGTGTTCCTGGGAAATTGGCACAGATTGGAGAAATAGCCCTTGTTTAGGAAGGAAAGATCAATTCGAAGGCCTGCGTCTCCAGGGCCAGAATGTAGAAATTGCGTATATATATTATTCTCCAAACAGATTCACTTCATCCCCTGCCCCAAAATCCCAACAGCTAAGGCATTAGCTAAAATGTTCCTGGTTCGTATCTACCGCCTCTATTATCCCCATAGAATAAATCCCCATAGATTATAATTTTTTTTCTTTATAAACATCTTCTTTTTTCAACATTTTCACATCAGTAATCCATATTTATACATGTTCTCTTTCTTATCTTAATATATCTTTTATACATACATTTCTAGTATATCATATATATACCATTATAATATATTCTATTAATCTAAATATTTTATTTACATTTAACATAAACAGGTACCTAATTTCCTTTCCACAATTTTTATATCTTCTCATTTGTTTCCATATTCCTCCACCTAATTTAACCATTGTTTAGTTTTCTTTTGTTCCCCCGCTTTTTCCCCCCTTTCTCCTCCAACCATTTATACCATTTCTCCCAGACTAAGTAATACTCTGTTTCATTTTTTTCTTGTATCTCCTTTGTGAGCTTATCCATTTCCGCACACTCCATAATTTTTCTAATCACCTTGTCTTCTGATGGTATGTCATTGTTTTTCCAGTTTTGGGCAAAAATTATTCGTGCTGCTGTCCTTATGTGAATGATTAAGTATCTTATTTCTTTTTCATATGACCGGTAATTTATTCCCAGTAGGAAAGTTTCTGGCCTCATTTCTATTTGTTGATTTATAATTTCTTCTATCTGTGTTTTAATTATTTGCCAAAATTGTTTTGCCTTATGGCAGGACCACCACATGTGAGAATAAGTTCCTTTTTGGTGTTTACATTTCCAACATAGCGGGGAGGTATTTGGGAACATCTTTGCCAATCTGGCAGGTGGGAGATGCCACCTATAAAACATTATATATATATATAGTCTTTATAGGGAGATTATAATTTCTTATAATCGGAATTACTCATGGAAAAATACCACGGTGGTTGTTAAAGGCCTGAGCAAGCGTGGCGTATACAGCTAGCCTTCGACTTACAAGTTACAACTGAGCTAAAATTTCTCTTGCTCGGTGAGACAGTTGTTAAGTTTGAGTTTGGCCCTGTTTTACACCCTTTTTTGCCGTAGCTGCTAAGCAAATCGCTGCGGTTATTAAGTGAGCAACAGGGTGGGTTAAGTGAATCCAGCTTTTCCCGTTGACTTCGTTTGTCTGAAGGTCGCAAGGAATTTGTCTTTGGTACATACACTCTCAGTGTACATAAATGTGGGAAATGGTCATATTTCGCTTCTTTTCAGTGCCGTTGTTAACTTTGAACGGTCGCTAAACAAACTGTCATAAGTCGAGGAACTAACTGGTACAGGTCATGTGAAGGTTTCTCGCTTCTCAGAGAAGTAGGGAGAAGGTAGAGAAACTCCCTTGCTATGTAACTGTACATGAGAATTTAATGGTGGGCTTTTATTATTATCCAAGACTTATTATCTTATTGATGGGACGTGGTGGCTCAGTGGCTAGGACGCTGAGCTTGTTGATCGAAAGGTCGGCAGTTCGGCGGTTCAAATCCCTAGCGCCGCGTAACGGGGTGAGCTCCCGTGACTTGTCCCAGCTTCTGCCAACCTAGCAGCTCGAAAGCACGTAAAAAAATGCAAGTAGAAAAATAGGGACCACCTTTGGTGGGGAGGTCACTGCGTTCCGTGTGCCTTTGGCGTTGAGTCATGCCGGCCACATGACCAGAGACAGAGACGTCAGTTCGTGCTGGCTCTTCAGCTTTGAAACGGAGATGAGCACCGCCCCCTAGAGTCGGGAACGACTAGCACACATGTGCGAGGGGAACCTTTACCTTTTTATTATCTTATTATCCAAGGCCGTTTATTCCATTTGTCCGTTTATTATTCCTTTCAGGTGTGGAAATGCGCAAGATCACCGACGCTCACACCCCCTCCAGCGACACCGTCAATCTGACGCTCTACTTCGTCCTGTCCACCACCCCGGCTCCCCTCCTGGACCCCCACCACAGCCCCGAAGAGAAGGAGAAAATGGAAGCCACTCTGAACTATGCCGACCACTGCTTCAGCGGCCACGCCACCATGCACGCCGAGAACCTGTGGCCCGGGCAGCTGTCGACCGTCCTCCAGGTCTTGCAGCTTTCCAACCTGTGGAAGCTGACGTTGCAGAAACGCGGTTGCAAAGGGCTGGTGGCCGCCGGGGCCCACGGCCTCATGCAAGGGATGGTGCTCAGCTTCGGCGGGCTGCAGTTCACCGAAAACCACCTGCAGTTCCAATCCGACCCGGAAGTCCTTCAGAACAGCTACGCCTTGCGGGGGATCCATTACAACAAGGACCTGATCAACCTCGCGGTGTTGCTGGACGCCGACGGCAAGCCCTTCCTGCACGTCTCCGTCAAGTTCCAGGACAAGCCGGTGAAGCTGTACGCCTGCGAGGGCGGCTGCTCCAACGACCCCGTGGAGCTGACCTCCCAGGTGCACGGCCACACCTTCCCCGTCATGGTGACCCAGCCCATCACGCCTCTGCTGTACATCTCCACCGATCTGGTGCACCTGCAGGACCTCCGCCACACCCTTCACCTCAAGGCCATCTTGGCTCACGAAGAGCACATGGCCAAGCGGTACCCGGGCCTCCCCTTCCTCTTCTGGTTCAGCGTGGCCTCTCTCATCACCCTCTTCCATCTCTTCCTCTTCAAGCTCATTTACAACGAGTACTGCGGGCCCGGGGCCAAACCTCTCTTCCGGAGCAAGGTCTAGGGACGGCTGAAGTAGGGCCCCAGCTTCCTGGGATGGAGGAGTGGGGGGCTCGGTTTCTTCTCCCTGACATCAGCCCTGGACACCGGGGAGACCTGTAGGAGCCGAGAGCATCTTCGGAAGAAGGCAGCCTTTCTGCATTGTGTGTATGTGTGTGTGTGTTTGCACACCTGTGGGCCCCCGTCTCTACTTAACATGTTTGCCTTTATGGAAGATGGAGCTCTCGAAGGAGGGAGTGTTGTGGGGTACGGGGGAGAGACTGACGAAGAGGCGGGTTTAAAAATAAAGGTTCTTCTCCCAAATGATTCGGGGTTCTGTAAATTGTAGTCATCTCGGGTCTGTCGGGGTGCTTGCTCCCCAAAAGGGTTGATGGGGAAGCCTGGTTTAGGGGGTGCTGGGGCTGGCGCACCCCAAGGGTTAAGCAGTGTGTTCCCTCACTTGGACGAGTACCCCCGAAATGAACCAGGATGAAGGCGTGGGGGGGGATGCTTCCGGGGAGGGTTGGGAAGCTTGTCACGAGCGATCTGACGGGACCCCAAAATGCAGTTTTATGCGGAGTAAAAATCAAACCTTAGCTGGCATCTATCTCTCTCCCTCTCTCTCTCTCTCTCCCTTCCTCCTCTCTTTCCCCCTCCTTCCCCTCCCCCTCCCTCTCTCTCCCCTCCCTCCCTCTCCCTCCCCCTCTCTCTCCCCCTCCCTCTCTCTCTCCCTCCCTCTCTCTTCCCTCCCTCCCTCTGCCTCCGTCTCTCTCCCCCTCCTTTCTCTCTTTCCCGCTCCCTCTCTCTCCCCCTCCCTCTCCCTCCCTCTCTCCCTCCAGTATATCTAGGCTTAGCTATTCAGCTGAAGAGCAGAGATGGGGGAAGCGCAAAGATTACCCAGCCCAACTGGAATGGACGCAGGGACAGAATTCTGGGCCTTTGGTCACAGGTGGGGGAACGGCCTCCCCTCTGACCTGAAAAAAAAAAAAGTTTTAAAAACAGGGCAGGGAGTCCGTCGGAGCTGCTTTACGCTAAAACTTTGGCAAATGAGAGCAGCGTGGACATTTTGTGGGAAAGAGACCCCTGGTCTATATAATGCGTGCATATTTACTGGAATCCGTTTTTTTTCCCCTGGTTCCTTTTGGCTTTTCCCCTCCCTTAAATTTGGCTGCTGCCTATTCAGTTATTCAGAATATATATATATAAATCTTGCGGGCTCCTGGATTGGAGCTGAAAGGCAAAAGGGATGCAGTATGCTCCCTCCCACATGCTGGGGTAGACCAGGTGCCTCGATAGAAAATCACTTTTGTGTGTGTGTGTGTGTGTGTGTGTGTGTGTGTAGGTCTTTGGTTAGTTCGGGTTTTCTCCCGCGTAAAATTGGAGGTGTCTTGGCAACGTTTCGACGAAGTCTCATTCGTCATCTTCAGGCTGGTGTTTTTGGCTTCGTGCTTCTAGAAGCAATGTTGCTCCTAGAAGCACGAAGAAGCTCCTACTTGCTCACATTGCTCCTAGAAGCACGAAGCCGAAAACACCAGCCTGAAGATGACGAATGAGACTTCGTCGAAACGTTGCCAAGACACCTCAATTTTACGCGGGAGAAAACCCGACTAACCAAAGACCTACATACAAACACCTACGAAAACCTCAGAAAAGAAATATAATTTTTTTTTTTAAGAGGGACTGACGGGCTACACAACCCCTCTTGAAATCTTCCCCCTTCCTTGTCAATGTCAGGGAATTATTAGAAATAAGCACCACAGATAACTCTTAAGATACTCATTCCTCGCCCCCCCCCTTTGTATTCCTAAACTTTCTGTGGAATTGGAGAGCAATTTGCTCTCATCCTTAAAGCAATTCAAGAGATCCTTGCCTGCGGAATGGGTGTGTGTGTGTGTTTGTGTGCGTTTGCAGGTGCCTTTTTCAAAGACGGCCTAGCAAAAAGCAAAAGGAAGACAAAGACTGGTCAAGAAAAACACTCCAGAATCAGTTGCTGTTTTGAGCAAATAAAATGACTCTCGCCTGCAATCTCGGGTCTTTCTATCTAAGACGAGCCTTCCCTAGAGAGGGGGAAAAGCCCCATTTTTGTGTGTGTGTGTCTCTGCACATTTGCGGCGGCCCCTGAGTGTCCTAGCTTTGTCTCTACATCAGGGGGTCTCTCACCTTGGCAACTTTCAGACTTGTGGACTTCAATTCCCAGAATTCCTCGGCCAGCTTTGCTGGCTGAGGAATTCTGGGAGTTGAAGTCCACAAGCAAAGCTGGCCGAGGAATTCTGGGAGTTGAAGTCCACAAGTCTGAAAGTTGCCAAGGTGAGAGACCCCTGCTCTACATCCCCCCCGACCCCAAAGACCCCCCCTCCCCACCGCTTCTTAATTCCGTTGGCTTTCATTACCGATTTTGTTCTTCGTTGGGGAAAAAAAAAATACTTGAAAAAAAAACAAACCTGCATTAAAGATTTTTTTAACGTCGATGGGAAGTGATAAGGAGGCACCTTGGCTTTGAATGTTCTTGCTTAACTCGGGTTGAAAAAGTGGTGACGGCGGGGATTTCTCTCTCCCCCCCCTCCTCCCGAAACCCCTAAATTTGAGCGTTGCTCTCGTTTCTTAACTTATTGTTGGTGGTGGGTTTGAGAGGCGTCCCGTTTTGTTCCAGCGTTTCAGGCCGAAGGGGAGCCAAACGTAGAATGTATCTGTAGCTTTAATCATTTTGACTTTTCATCTTTTAACACTGATCAACAGGAGTTCTCAGTCTTTTCCCTTGGAAGGCAGCGTACAAAATACGACACCTTTCACGATTTTTATTGGGGTTGATTTAGTCTTTCACCAGGTTGGTTGCAGTGACCTGATTTTTTTTTTTTTTTTTGTTTGTTTTAAATTCTAGAGAGACTTAACAGATTTTTTTTTTTTTTTTTTTTGGTGATTTGAAAACAATTGTGATTATTTTAAGATACCAAAGGTGGTGGGTTTTGGGGTTTTTTTGTTTTGTTTTGTTTTGTAAGAAATAAAAATCTTTCAAATCTCTACTTGTCTCTCGCTGGCTTTTTTGTTCTTTCTTTAAGTCCCGCTTTTGCTCTGGAACCGATTTTTTCAGTAAAACGAGAAAGGATCTTGAACTGCATTCTCGGGAGGGAGCAGAGAGCCTGTTTAATATCTCCTAATTCCCTTCACCTTTTTATCCCGAGCTTCGACCCGATGTTGAGGAATTCACAGAGCAACCCTTGAGTAACAAGGGTGTGCTCATGAAAAGCGATTGAGTGTAGTTAGGAAAATAACACAGCCAACACACAGATACACTGAGTTGTGTTTTACTTTCAGGAAATAGTAATAAGGCCCAGTCCAATAAACAGTCCAGGTCGTTCATATATAAAGCAGTAGATGGTTAAACAATAGTCCAGGGGTAATCCAATAACAAAGTCTTCTTACCAGTTGTTGTTGTCATACACGATAAACAGTTCTTCTGTATTTGCAAACAGTAGCAAACAGAGATAACAGAGAGCAAAACCAGCAAAGATATCAGCAAAAAGAAGCAAAGAGAAATAAACCAAGTTTCTAGCTCCCTTTTAAGGACATTGGCTACAGAGCTAACCAATCAGGACACAGTATGATGCAATACAGCAATATAGTAGTCTTAAAGCTATACCTATGGTTTATATATTGCCAATCCAACAAGTTAGGTAAAATCATTTCCTAAGAAATGCTATCTGCGGGAAAGGATGTGTGGCGAAAAAGGGAAAAGAGAGAGAAATTCACACAGTGAAATCTTTTACCTGTAAAAAAAAAAAACAGGTCCCTGGGGACTTCAGGTGCTCTGTCCTTGCAGATAAATCTTCCTAGAGAAAAGATGTAATATTTTTGGAACAAGATTGCTCTCTTGTGAAAAAAATAAAAAAAGCGGTCCAGCTAACCTCCCCTTTCACTATCTCAAGACAGACTTACCCGCTTACCCTTTTTAACGGACAGGGAGTCCTCGATTTGCGACCACAATTGAACCCAAAACTCAGCCCAAAAACAAAACAAAACAAAACAAAACAAAACAAAAAAACATTGCTAAGGGAAACATTTGTTAAGTGGGTTTTAACCAGGGGTGAAATCCAAGAGGTTCTGACAGATTCTGACGAACTGGTAGCGGAGGTTTTGAGCAGTTCAGAGAATCGGCAAATACCACCTCTGGCTGGCCCCAGAGTGGAGTGGGAATGGAGATTTCGCAGTATCCTTCCCCCAGGAGTGGGGAGAGAATGGGGATTTTGCAGTATCCTTCCCCTGGAATGGGGAGAGAATGGAGATTTTGCAGTATCCTTCCCCCAGGAGTGGGGAGGGAATGGGGATTTTGCAGTATCCTTCCCCTGGAGTGGGGTGGGAATGGAGTTTTTGCAGTATCCTTCCCCCAGAAGTGGGGTGGGAATGGAGATTTTGCAGTATCCTTCCCCCAGGAGTGGGGTGGGAATGGAGATTTTGCAGTATCCTTCCCCCAGAAGTGGGGTTCTGCAGTATCCTTCCACATGGAATGGGGTGGGAATGGAGATTTTGCAGTATCCTTCCCCCAGGAGTGGAGTGGGAATGGAGATTTTGCAGTATCCTTCCCCCAGGAGTGGGGTGGGAATGGAGATTTTGCAGTATCCTTCCCCCAGAAGTGGGGTTCTGCAGTATCCTTCCGCATGGAATGGGGTGGGAATGGAGATTTTGCAGTATCCTTCCCTTGGAATGGGGTGGGAATGGAGATTTTGCAGTATCCTTCCCCCAGGAGTGGGGAGGGAATGGGGATTTTGCAGTATCGTTCCCCTGGGGTGGGGTGGGAATGGAGATTTTGCAGTATCCTTCCCCCAGGAGTGGGGTGGGAATGGAGATTTTGCAGTATCCTTCTCTTGGAGTGGGGTTGGAATGGAGATTTTGCAGTATCCTTCCCCCCAGGAGTGGGGTGGGAATGGAGATTTTGCAGTATCCTTCCCCCAGAAGTGGGGTTCTGCAGTATCCTTCCGCATGGAATGGGGTGGGAATGGAGATTTTGCAGTATCCTTCCCTTGGAATGGGGTGGGAATGGAGATTTTGCAGTATCCTTCCCCCAGGAGTGGGGAGGGAATGGGGATTTTGCAGTATCGTTCCCCTGGGGTGGGGTGGGAATGGAGATTTTGCAGTATCCTTCCCCCAGGAGTGGGGAGGGAATGGGGATTTTGCAGTATCCTTCCCCTGGGGTGGGGTGGGAATGGAGATTTTGCAGTATCCTTCCCCTAGGAGTGGGGTGAGAATGGGGATTTTGCAATATCCTTCCCCTGCCACACCCACCAAGCCATGCCCACCAAGCCACATTACGGCCACCAAGCCATGCCCACAGAACCGGTAGTAAAAATTTTTTGATGTCACTACTGAATCCATGTCAGTCTTCGCAAAGCGGTCAAGCTTAACTGGCTCTGTCCAAGCCTGAAGTGGAGCCACCCTACCTGTTTCTGAAGACCTCCGAATTCTCCAGAGCCCACTCGGCCAGGTAGAGGCCAGCATCCCAGGTGACGAGACCCGTGGTTCCCTGTGAAACGATCGCCACGTTTTCACGAAGCGTGATGGCATCTCCCGAGGGCTGGAAGGAACACATTGGTAGGAAGGATCCATCGCATTTGGAGACAATAAAGGGAAAGACGCCCTCGAGTTGAATTAAGACTCTTGGGGATGCTGTACAAAACATTGACGCCGTTTTCAACGCAACAACACAACGGGGAGTTGACACTGCCGTCTTTCAGGATAGCTGTTGGTTTCCCAACCTGGCATTCTGCCCCGGAGTTCCCTGATGGGTCCCATCTGTGTATTCAGAAGGCCTAATCCTTGCTAGTTCCCAAATTATCTAGAGGCTGCTAACTGCTGTAGGGTTTTATGGGAGCAAATTTAGTGAGGCCTGTTATGAATTCTAGGAGAATATAATTACTTCCTTAGGAACAAGTGGGCAGGGTAATTTTAAGCATCTTCAGAGCAATTCAGATCTCGGGTTTTTTTTAACAGAACATGAATCCTATAAAGATTGGATTGGCTAAGCCAGCTGTGGAATTAAAAAAGCAACAACACACCAAATATTTCAAAGGTCGTTTTATCTATAGATGGCACGGTTTTTCATGGAATTTGGGCTAAACATTCAAGGGTCTGGCTTACCTGTGGGTGGGCTTATCCACAAATATATATGGTAATTCCAGCAACTCTGTTTTATGTAATCTGTTTTTATGTAATTTTATATGCTAATTCCTCACTCTGTCAAGGACCTTGGAGTACTCATATCAAATGATCTAAGTGCCAAAGCTGACTGTAACAACATCACCAAAAAGGCATTAAGGATTGTAAACCTAATCTTGCGTAGCTTCTTCTCCGGTAATATCACGCTACTAACCAGAGCATACAAAACATTTGCTAGACCAATTCTTGAATACAGCTCATCTGTCTAGAACTTGCACTGTATATCGGACATTAATACAATCGAACATGTCCAGAAATATTTCACAAGAAGAGTCCTCGACTCCTCCGCTCACAACAGAATACCTTATGCCACCAGACTTGAAATTTTGGGCTTAGAAAATTTAGAACTACGCTGGTATGACCTAAGCATAGCTCATAAAATCATCTGCTACAATGTCCTATCTGTCAATGACTACTTCAGCTTCAACCACAACAATACACGAGCACACAATAGATACAAATTCAAGGTAAACCGCTCCAAACTCGATTGCAGAAAATATGACTTCAGTAACAGAGGGGTCAATGCCTGGAATGCACTACCTGACTCTGTAGTTTCTTCCCCAAATCCCCAAAATTTTAACCTTAAACGGTCTACTGTTGACCTCACCCCATTCCTAAGAGGTCTGTAAGGGGTGTGCATAAGAGCACCAGCGTGCCTACCGTCCCTGTCCTAATGTTCCCTTTAATTGTATTCATTTTACGTATTCAATTCATACTTAGACTTATATATATTATCTAATACGTACTCGACAAAATAAATAAATAAAATAAACAAACTGAACTCTCTCCCATCTAAAGTCAGTATATCTCAAAGGACATTAGGCTCTTTTCACTGATACACATCTTGCTTACACAGTGGTCTCCAAGACTTTTTATGTCATTAAACAAATGGGCATAAGTCTCTCTCTCTCTCTCTCTCTCTCCCCCTCCCTCCCCCCCTCTCTATGCACACACACACACACACACACACACACACACACACACACACACACACGTAGTCCTTGACTTGCAACCATTCGTTTGGTGACTGTTTGAAGTGAAACGGCACTGAAAAAAGTGACTTATGATGATTTTCACACTTACAAGTATTTCCATGGTAGAGTAGAGTAGAGTAGAATAGAATAGAATAGAATTTGGAAGGGATCTTGGAGGTCTTCTAGTACAGCTCCCTGCTCAAGCAGAAGAACCTATATTATTTCAGATAAGTTCTTTTTAAAAACCTCCAGTAATGGAGCACCCACGATTTCTGGAGGCAAGCTGTTCCACTGGTTAATTGTCCCAACTCTTAGGAAGTTTCTCCTTAATTCCAGGTTTCTTTTCTCCTTGATTAGTTTCCAACCATTGTTTCTTGTCCTGCTCTCTGGTGCTTTGGAGAATAATTTGACCCCCTCTTCTTTGTGGCAGCCCCTCGAATACTGGAACACTGCAATCATGTCGCCCCCAATTCTTCTTTTCTTTAGACTAGCCAGACCCAAATCCTGCAACCGTTCTTCACGTGAGTCAATCCTGAGTTTCTTTCTCAACCTTTCCTGTCCTCCTGAGCTAAACCCGTGTTTTCCTGACACCTGTTGAACATATTCTTTAAGGCTTATGGCCATAACCCTCTACAAAGACAATTTTAACAAAACCACTGTAGGTCTAGCGTGTGCTGTGATTTCTAGCTTAGGCTCCAGGTTCTAGTAGAACTCATATTAAGGTGACCGTGAAGACTGAACCTGAAGATTTAAAGATGACTGCAGTGTTCATACTTGGGTTTTTTTCTTGGGGGGGGGGGGGGGGGGGGGGGGGGGGGGGGGGGTTAAACAGAGACTTCCCACTTAAGGGATCCTTGGTGTTATCTGAGCTTGCTTGTTTTCCTGCAGACGTTTCATTACCCTAACTAGGTAACACCCTTAGTGCTAGAAGGGAGGAGGGTTTGCAGAAAGGAGGCGGAGGAGGAGGAAGAAGAAGAGGAGGAGCAGGAGGAGAAGAAAAGGAGGAGGAAGAGGAGTGGAAAAGGAGGAGGCGAGGAGGAGGAGAGGAGGAGGAGGAGAGGAAGAGGAGGAGGAGGAGGAAGAGGAGGCGGAGAGGAAGAGGAGGAGGGAGGAGAGGAAGAGGAGGAGGAGGAGAGGAAGAGGAGAGGAAGAGGAGGAGGAGAGGAAGAGGAGGAGAAGAGGAGGAGGAGGAGGAGGAAGAGGAGGAAGAAGAGGAGAGGAGGAGGAGGAAGAGGAGGAGGAGTGGAAAAGGAGGAGGCGGAGAGGAGGAGGAGGGAGGAGAAGAAGAGGAGGAGGAGGAGGAAGAGGAGGCGGAGAGGAAAGAGGAGGAGGAGGAGAGGAAGAGGAGGAGGAGGAGAGGAAGAGGAGGAGAAGAGGAGGAGAGGAAGAGGAGGGGGAGGAGAGGAGGAGGAGGAGAGGAAGAGGAGGAGGAGAAAGATGACGACTGTGGAGTTTTTGGAGGTCTCTGAGCTTGCTTGTTTTCTTGCAGACATTTCATTGCCCTAATTAGGGAACATCATCAGTGCTGTACTGATGATGTTACCTAGTTAGGCTAATGAAATGTCTACAAGAAAACAAACAAGCTCAGAGAGCACCAAGGACCCTCATAGCACCAGTGCTCGTGATAATTCCTACTTACCAATAAATAGTTCTTGTAACAGTGTGTGGTTTCTTCACAATTTAGGACAACCCCTAGGGCTTCGTAGAGTTGATCCAGAGGCTCGGTGCTTGTAGATTCATGCTGCAATGAAGGATTGGGGGTGGGTGGGAAACAGCAGAAGATACCGTACTAATTTGGGAAGATGATGCAGATAGAAAACAAAATGGCCCAACGAGATTTTATTTCATTCCCTTCCACAATGCTTTCTATAACATGGCTGGAGAATAATTGCCAGGCTTATCTGCATTTTTTATAATAGCAAGAGAGAGTCATATAAGCAGACATAAATTAATTAATTAATTAAATTAAATTAAATTAAATTAAATAAATAAAATAAAATAAATAATAAAATAAATAAAATAAATAACCAACCAACCAACTCTCAACTGTTAGATGAGGCACATGCATCTCAAGATATAATCCAACTTTCCTCAAAAATTTTGTGATCAAAATCATTTGATATATTGATATCGAAATTTATAGCAGGGGTCAAAACATGTACTGTAGTCATGATCTTAAAAAAATTAAACAAACTATTCGAAACCGCCTAAAAATAAATACCTCAAAAAGCAGCAAGTTATTCCAGGTATTAGTGGAAATTGCTAGAAAGGCTGAAGTAAAAAATAAAAAAATCAAGATGGCAGACACATTCCCATTGTTGCAAGAATAAAGATCTAATGAAAACCGATCAAGGAACGTGAAAGTGGTTACGGAAAGCTTGTTGATGGGTATATTCCAGGGTATTGTTTTAATTTTTTTTAATTTTATTTGTAAATCTGCCCGTTTAGAGCTTCTTTCGGTAGCAAAGGGATCTGAAGCAGGGCTCTAAAACAGGACATCTTTCAGCTGGCTTCATTAAACCTCCCAAGTGGGAGGTTAATCCAGCTTCAAAATAAAATGATAATATATAACAGTAACAGAATTGGAAGGGATCTTGGAGGTCATCTAGTCCAACCCCCTGCTCATGCAGGAAACCTATACTAGGGATTCAAACCATCGAACTGCCAACCTTTCTGAGCTTTCTCTCCGAAATCTCACCCACTGTCAGTATAGCTTGACTGGATTCCAATCTACAGTCAGAAATCTAGAAGTCAGAGAGATTCTGGACCGGCATTTCTCAACCTGGGCATCTTGAAGATGTATGAACTTGGTTGGCTAATTCTGGGAGTTTATTTATTTATTTTATATATTAGTTCAATTGATATGCCGCCCTTCTCCAGAGACTCAGGGCGGCTTACAATGCATTAAGCAATAGCCTTCATACTTTTGTATATACCTGCTTAGTAGGGCTTTCAGCCCCCCCTAAGCGGTGTTCTATTTTATACAAAGTCAGTTTATTGCCCCCACAATCTGGGTCCTCATTTTACCTACCTCGAAAGGATGGAAGGCTGAGTCAACCTTGAGCCTGGTGAGATTTGAACTTGCAGTAATTGCAGGCAGCTGGTGTTACTTAACAGCACTTTAGTTTGCTGCGCCACCAAGATTTTACCCAACTTTAATGTGCCAAGGTTGAGAAATACTGCTCTGGGCAGTCAGTCTTCCAACGACAGTCTCGTGAAGAATTCATTACGGCAATCTAACCTGTGTGATCACCACAACCCAAACCAGGGGTGAAATGCTCCTGGTTCGGACCGGATCGCCTGATCCGGTAGCGATGGAGGCGGGTGGTTCGGAGAACCGGTAGCAAAAATCCCTGCGCCCACCCCCCATGCCCAGCTGAGCCACACAATCATCAGAGGCTTTTTGTTTTTACTTTTAAAAGCATTTTTTCTACAACCTCTTCCGACGAAAAAATACTTTGAAAAGTAAAAAAAAAAGCCTCCGATGATCGCGCGGCTCAGCTGGGATTGTCAGAGGCTTTTCAAAGCATTTTTTTCTGCAACCTCTTGGCCGAAGAGCTTGTAAAAAAAATGCTTTGAAAAGTCTCTGACGATCCCAGCTGAGTTGCCTGATCGGCAGAGGCTTTTCAAAGCATTAGAAAAAATGCTTTGAAAAGTTAAAAAAAAAAAATTTGGCCATGCCCACCCAGTCACATTACCCCCCACACACCAAGCCACACCCACAGAACCAGTAGTAACAAATTTTACATTTCACCCCTGACCCAAACCATACCTTTTTGATCAGCTCGGATAAGAAGCGTCTTCTGTATTGGACCGATGGAGGATACTTCAAACAGAGCGGATGATGCACAGTCTGAAATTATGAAAAACAAGAGCAGATGGCCACGTGGTCAAAGGACCTCAGATCTGAGGGTCCTTGGTGCTCTCTGAGCTTGGTTGTTTTCTTGCAGATGTTTCATTACCCACACTAGGGACTGATGATGTTACCTAGTTGGGCAATGAAACGTCTGCAAAAAAACCAGCCAAGCTCAGAGAGCATCAAGGACCCCAAAGTCCTTCTCCCTTAACCCTTCCTTACTTACGTATTTTTCAGAATATAAGACACACATTTTTCCCCCCTAAAAGGGATTGAAAATTTAGGTGTATCTTATACACTGAATGTAGCCCCGCCCACCCACTGGCCCCCACCCTTTGGCCTCTGCCTCCCAGCAGTTTACCTCCTTGCAGCAAGCAGCAAGAAGAAATAGCTCCTTTCAGCTTCAGCACAGCCTAATTAACACAAGTTTATTGGATCGGCCTCCTGACTCTCAGCTGTTTTGCTCTCAGCTGTTTTGCGCCGGCCTCTGCTGCTTGCTGCAAGGAGGTAAATTGCTGGGAGCAAATTTTTTTTCCTAATCAAGCTATGCTGAAAACAAAAATGAAAGGAAAGCAGGCTATTTCTTGCTTTACTTTAGATCTACTTCCAAAGAAATATTTACCTTCTGCAGGATAGCCAAAAATGGAGAGGAATCCTCTGAATATTTCAGGACCTCTTCAAGACTCTAGATAACAAAACACATGTACGATTTTGATGGAGGGAAAGGCAGTTAAATGAATTACAGCTCATGAAAGCATTGTTTTATTTTGATGAGGAGCAACCAGCAATTTCTGTGTTCTTAATACAGTACGGATAATCCTCAATTTACAACCAGAACGGAGCCCAAAGTTTTATGTTAGTAAAGTGAAAAATGTGGTTAAGTGAATTGGTCCCGTTGGACAACTTTTCTTGACACCTTTGTTCAGTGAATCACTGCAGTGGTTCAACATGGTTGTTAAGCGAATCCAGCTTCCCCCTTGACTTTGCTCGACAGGAGGTTGCAAAAGGGGATCACGTGACCCTCTCCGGGGAGACACGGCGACTGTTATAAATAGGAACTAGTTGCCAAGCGTCCGAATTTTGGGGCCGTAGGGATGCTTCAAAAGCGTCATTAAGTGTGACAAAGGGGTCCTAAATCACTTTTTTCCAGTGCTGTTGTATCTTTGGTCACTAAACAAAAAACTGTCTTAAGTGGAGGACTACCTGGATCAGGAATTCTCCTTTCCATTGTTGGAAGCAAAAAGAAGCCTTTCCCTTTAAGGAAGGCAGAGCTTTCCCTTCTTGAATTCAAAACTCCTGGCTGGGAGATTACTTCGAAATGATTGGAGATCAGCTGTTTGAGAGCAGAATTAAGTTTATTGTTTATAGGAAGGCAGGCAAGAAACAAATACAAGTACAGCGTTCTGAGGCTAGCCTGTTTGAGCTGTAAGAAAAACCCTTTTTAATATCCTAAAAGGTCTTTTGATTTTTCTATGTGACCCTTTAAAGTCTTTTGAAATTCTTTTGATTTGGCATGTGAATCCTTTGATTTGTGTGCGTGATTGTTTTATGGTGTTTAAATCCTGCTTTTTGTGATTGGGTTCTTCCGTCCTGGATCTGGCAAATAAGTAATTGTTTTATAGTCCAATCTCTGTTTTTCCTAGCCCTTTGTAGTTGTTCGTTCCCTATAATTAATCAGTCACTATTATTTAGTGAATATCTCCTTTTCTCATGTGTTAAAAATTCCAATTACTTTGGCTTGATTTCTTTTCCATTTTTTGGGTGTTTGCTTTTTTCTGTGTCCCATACCTGTTTGGATGTTGCAGGCCCCTGTAATTTTGTCCTTCCTTTCTTGTGGAAAATAGGGGTGGCTTCAGCTTCTTAATGGCCCATTGACAAAGGTGGGGGCTGAAACTCAGCCTGAGTTTTTGCTTCTATTTTCTTTTAGGGGAATTTTCCTGCTCTTTTAATATTTTTTGGAGTTTCTTTTCCTTTTCCTAGGTGTGAATCATCTCTTCCAACACCATCCTCCGGAGGATTTCTTGCAGCAGCCTTGAAAGTCAAACCCAAAGCAGGAACGAACCCCCCCAACACCCCCCCCCGCACAAGTGGATTAAAACAATCCAGATGTTCAAGGATTGCAATTCCCTGCAGTTCTGGATAACTGAGCCACGGGGAGGGGGCATCCAACAAGGGAAGGGGGGGATTCAGCCCCTCCTCACCTGCAATTTCTACCCCCCCTCCCAAATCTGGCAAAATTTGAAGCCCCTCCCTTCCCGCCTCCAAGCAGCTCTTCCCCCCCCCACGCGCGCGCCTCTCCATCAGTGCTAAAGGGACGCTGCTGGTGCAACCGTGCGCCCACGGGCGCTACTGTGCGCTCACCTCCCAGGGAAGCTCGGCCAGGCGCTTCCCGGCTAGGAAGCCCCTCTGGAAGCCGAGCGCTGCCTTCTCTTCCAGGGCCTGCCCTCCTTCCTCCTCCATCGGCTCCTCCTCCGTGCGTTCGGCCTTCCGGAGGTGTGGTGGTGGTGGGGCAGAGTTCCGTGTGTGCCCGCCCGCGAGTGGGCGTGTGTGGGGGCGTTTGCCACCATGCAAGCCGCTGCGTTGAGACGGCGCCTTTGTGCGGGCGGCCGAGCAGTTGCGTCCGTCCCAACTGCAGCGCTCAGCTGGAGATCTTTTGGGATAGAGAACAGTGACAGGAACAGCCTTGTTAATTCTCTATTACAGGTAGTTTAACAGAGTTGGAAGGGACCTTAGAGGTCATCTAGTCCAGCCCCCACCACTAGCTCAAGCAGGAGACCCTACACCATTTCTGACAGATGGCAGTCCAGTCTCTTCTTGAAAGGAGCCTGTAGTACAGTGGACTAAAGCACTGTTATTAACATCTGCTGCTTGCAATTACTGCAAGTTCAAATCTCGCCAAGGCTCAAGGTCGACTCAGCCTTCCATCCTTTCTAAGGTAGGTAAATTGAGGACCCAGTTTGTGGGGGCAATAAGCTGACTTTGTATAAATATACAAAAGGATGAAGGCTAAATTAAAGAAAAAAAAAAAAAAAAAAGTCTCAAGTGATGGAGCTCCCACAACTTCCAAAGGCAACTTCTGTTCCATGGGTTGATTGTTCTCACTGTCCGAAAATTTCTCCTTATTTCCAGGTTTTTTTTTGTTTTTTGTTTTTAATTTGATTTATATGCCACCCTTCTCAGGAGACTCAGGGCAGCTTACAATGCGTTAAGCAATGAATCTCTCCTTTCAGTTTCCACCCATTATTCCTTGTCTGGCCTTTGGGTGCTTTGGAAAATAGCTTGACCCCCTCTCCTCTCTGTGGCAGCCCCTCAAATATTGGGACACTGCTATTCTGTCTCCCCTGGTCCTTCTCTCCACTAGACTAGCCATGCTCAGTTCCTGCAACCGTTCATCGTATGTTTTAGCCTCCAGTCTCCTAATCATCCTGGTTGCTCTTCTCTGCATTCTTTCTAGAATCTCAACGTCTTTTTTATAGTGTGGTGACAAAAACTGGATGCACAGAAAACACAGGATAACAAGAGTTGGAAGGGACTTTGGAGGTCGTCTAGTTCAACCCCGTATTATCATTCCAAGACAAGTAGTTGTCCAGTCTCTTCTTAAAAGCCTCCAGTGATGGGGCACCCACAACTTCCTGAAGGTAAGCTGTTCCACAGGTGAATTGTTCCCACTGTTAGGAAGTTTCTCCTTAGTTCTAGGTTGCTTCTCTCCTTGGTTAGTTTCCATCCGTTGCTTCTTGTCTGGCCTTCTGGGTTCTTTAGAAAATAGGTTGACCCCTCCTCTTCTTTGTGGAGCCCCTTAAATATTGGAATGCTGCCATCATGTCACCCTACTACTCCTTTTCATTATTATTTCTTCTTCTTCTTCTTCTTCTTCTTCTTCTTCTTCTTCTTCTTCTTTCTTCTTCTTCTTCTTCTCTTCTTCTTCTTCTTCTTCTTCTTCTTCTTTTTTCTTCTCTTCCTCCTCCTCCTCCTCCTCCTCCTCCTCCTTCTCCTCCCCCTCCCCCCTTATCTTTTTCGATGTTTCTTAATCATATCTTAATATTTCTATTTATTTATATGAACAACATCTTCATTCGCCGTCAAATTCTAATTTCTCTATTTTTACTCATATTTATTCTTTTTTACTTTTTAATAATTCATTCTTTATCCTAATACATTTACACATGTTCGGGGTCAAGCTATTCTCCAAAGCACCAGACGGTAAGACAAGAAGCGATGGATGGAAACTAATCAAGGAGAGAAGCAACCTAGAACTAAGGAGAAATTTCCTGACAGGGAGAAAAACTAACCAGTGGAACAGCTCGCCACCAGAAGTTGTGAATGCTCCATCGCTGGATGTTTTTAAGAAAAGACTGGACAGCCACTTATCTGGAATGGTAGTGGGTCTCCTGTTTGAGCAAGGGGTTGGACTAGAAGACCTCCAAGGTCTCTGGCAACTCTGTTATTCTTTTTATTTAAAAAATGCTTTTGTCAAAATGCTGTGAATTGCTTCCAGCAGGTTTTTACTCCTCTTAAGTCTGAACGGGAATTCGGTTTCTTGCTTTTTTCTGTTCTGGATTTGTATGCAAACCGTGAGCAGGAAGGCCCCGTGGATTACATGGTTTTCCTCCAGCACTGTTGCTAAAGTGCTTTGAATTGTCAACATCTTTAGACCTTATGGAGTTTGACACCGAAACCCACGTAGACCAGGCTGCTGCGTTGTTGAGAAACGCCATGGAATCGCTGATGCCACAACTGTCCCGCAGCCCAGGTTTGAATAGCGATCAGTGGCGTCATATGAAAGTCACAGACTTTGAGTCAGCAGTGAGAGTTTAGCAACCATAATCCACAACCGGCATGGTCAATGAGGTGTGGGAATTGGAGTTCAGGGTGTTTGGGAAGGCAGCCAGTTGGAGGTATTGGCAGCCTTGGTGTGAAGCAGTGGTGAAATGTAAAATTTGTTATTACCGGTTCTGTGGGCGTGGCTTGGTGGTGGGTAATATGACTGAGTGGGCGTGGCCAACTTTTTTTTTTTTTTTACTTTTAAAACCATTTTTTCTACAACCTCTTTTGCTGAAGAGGTTGTAAAAAATGTTTTTTTTAAATTATATTTTTATTGTTAAAGAATAACAAAAAGGAAAAAAAATCAATACAAAAATCAATAGTAAGGAAAGAATTTTTTCCCCCCAACATGCTATACAAACAGAAAGGAAGTTTTAGGAAATTGAAGAATTGGAAGAATTGAAGACTTCAAAAAAAATGCTTTTAAAGCCTCTGACGATCCCAGCTGACTTCCCTTTTAAAAACTTTTTTTCTATAACCTCTTCGGCCGAAGTCGTAAAAAAAAATGCTTTTAAAAGCCTCTGATGATCACGGCTTTTTTTTTTATTTTTAAAAGCATTATTTCGGCCAAAGAGAAAAAATGCTTTTAAAAATAAAATAAAAAAGCCTCTGATGATTGCCTGGCTCAGCTGGGCAATTGGGGGGAGGGGGGGGAAGCAGGGATTTTTGCTACTGGTTCTCCAAACCACCTGCCTCCATCGCTACCGGATTGGGCGATCCGGTCCAAACCGGGAGCATTTCACCCCTGGTGTGAACTTTTCGAAAGATGCCCTAATTAATTCATGAGCCACGAGCCAAACTTCAAAAGAAATACAGTCATTTATTAGAAGTATCATTTCAGCAATATTCAGATGCAGTTAGAACTAATCCCACGTAGATTTACGTTCCCCTGTCTCTCCCCTCCTCCCTGACCATGTCATAAATCACATTCTCCAATTGACCACTTTGGCTGGCTATGAAACCCAAAGCTCTCCTACTGATTGCGGTAGAAAAGCATCTGTTTAATGTAGTTTCAGTTAGGGAAATCAATCAGCTCCATCAGTTCTCCCTCCCTCCCGCTCATGCAACTTGAAAGCTTTGCAAGTTGACACTTGGGTTGCAGAGTGGTGAATCCAGGGATGGGTTTCAAAAATTTTAGCATGCTGGGTTGCGTGGCCATGGTGGGCATGGCCTAGTTGGCCTCCTGCACCACAGGGGGGAGCGTTTTTGCCCTCCCTGGGCTCTGGAAGCTTTCCTTGAGCCTCCGGGAGGACGAAAATACCCTCCCCAGGCTCTGGAGGCCCTCTGGAGGCTGGAAACGGGCCCGTTTCCGGCCTTCCTGAACTTCCAGTATGCCCGTTTTTCACCCTCCCCAAGCCTCCATGCGTGCCCTGCACTTACCTGCATCCAAAATGGACTGTGTGGGGACTCCTGGGAGGGGCGGGGCAGGGTGGGTGTGACCAGCCAGGAGTGGGATTTGTGGGTTCAAAGAACTGCACAGAATCTTAGCTAGAGGTTCTCCCGAACCCCTGCGAACCCCCAGCAGCCCAGCCCTGGGTGAATCCATGGGTAGTCCTTGACCTAGGGCCACAATCGAGCCCAACATTTCCATTGGTAAACAAGGCACTCATTAGGTGAGCCTTGCTTCATTTTTGCGACCTTTCTTGCCAGAGTTGTTAAGTGAATCAGTGCAGGTGTTCAGTTAGTAACATGCTTGTTAAGTGAATCTGCTTTCCCCATTGACCTGGCTTGTCAGAAGGTTGCAAAAAGGGATCCGGGACACTGCATCCGTCATAAATATGAGTCGATTGCCACGTTGTCTGCATTTTGATCAGGTAACAATGAGGATGCTGCAACGGTTGTAAATGTGAAAAATGGTCATAGGTCACTTTTTTCAGTGCCGTTGTAACTTGGAGGCTAAAACACACGATGAACGGTTGCAGGAACTGGGCCTGGCTAGTCTAGTGAAGAGAAGGACCAGGGGAGACAGGATAGCAGTCTTCCAATACTTGAGGGGCTGCCCCAGAGAGGAGGGGGTCGAGCTATTCTCCAAAGCACCCGAAGCCCAGACAAGGAATAATGGATGGAAATTGATCAAGGAGAGATTCAACCTGGAAATAAGGAGAAATTTTCTGACAGTGAGAACAATCAACCGATGGAACAGAAGTTGCCTTCAGAAGTTGTGGGAGCTTCATCACTGGAGACTGGACTGCCATATGTCAGAAATGGTGCAGGGTCTCCTGCTTGGGCAGGGGATTGGACTAGATGACCTAAAACAGTGATGGCTAACCTTTTTGCCATCGTGTGCCAGGAGAGGGAAGGGGCGGGGGAGGTTCACGCATGCGGGTGCCCACACCCATAATTCTATGCGCCCTGCCTTGCGCATGCATGTGCAACCCCCCTCCCCCCCCCTGCTCCTGGCACGTGATGGCCTGGTAGGCCCGTTTTTCTTTCTTACCTGGCTCCAGATCCTCTCTATGCATCTGGGAAGGGTGAAAAATGTCAGGGCGTTGATTAATCCCATGTTTGGCTCTGGGAAAAAATCACCCTGGTTTAGAGGATGGATTGTGGCTTATTCCTTGTTGCAATATTCTGAAAAGAAACGCGAAGAAAAGTTTCTAATAAAACTCATTTATTTGTTATAAAGAAAATAAAACACCTCACTAACTAAGAAAAGTAATTGCTACATTTTTGAAATAGCTTTTGCCGGCTATTTCTCAGCCGGACCTTTCTGGAAAGAGAACAAAGGAAAAGAGTGTGAGTGAAGGATGGATGGAAGGGTGGATGGACATGCATAGTAGCTTTTGATAACAATTCTTGGCAAGGTACGGAAAGTCTGATAGTCCAGAAATAATGAGCTCAGCTGGTAAATAAAATAATGCAGTGACAAAAAGAACCTTTCCCACTCCCTCAGAGGCCTGAAAGCAGGGGTGAAATGCTCCCGGTTCGGACCGGATCGCCCGATCCGGTAGCGATGGAGGCGGGTAGTTCGGAGAACCGGTAGCAAAAATCCCTGCCCCCCCTCTCCATTGCCCAGCTGAGCCGCACAATCATCAGAGGCTTTTTTTTTTACTTTTAAAAGTCTAACCACTTTTCCGCTCTTATCGCATCTGCCCAGAGAACCGCCCAGCCGCCTTGTTTAGGGTGACCCACTCCCTTCTCCGGGGGGGAGTGCGGGAAGATCCCTTGCAGGGTCGTGCTGAGGATTTTGTACAGTTCCTGCATGATAAAGTCGCTCGGATTCGGGATGGCTTGGACTCCGACTGGATGAGTCCGCGGGAGGAGACGAGGGCAGGTCTTGAGAATGTTATCTGGGAGGAGTTTGATCCTGTGACTCCCGAGGATGTGGACAGGGTTCTGGGTAAGATTAGTGCCGCCACGTGTTTATTGGACCCGTGTCCCTCCTGGTTGGTGCTGGCCTCCCGGGAGGTTACACGAGGCTGGCTCCAGGGGATTATAGGTGCTTCTTTGAGTGAGGGTGCCTTTCCTGCCACCTTGAAAGAGGCGGTAGTGAGGCCCCTCCTCAAGAAGCCTTCCCTGGACCCGGCTGAATTAGCTAACTATCGTCCAGTCTCCAACCTTCGTTTTGTGGCGAAGGTTGTTGAGAGCGTGGTGGCACGACAACTTCCCCGGCACCTGGATGAAGCTATCTATCTGGACCCGTACCAGTCGGGCTTCAGGCAGGGGTACAGCACAGAAACGGCATTGGTCGCGTTGGTGGATGATCTCTGGAGGGCTCGGGACAGGGGTTGCTCCTCTGTCCTAGTCCTATTAGACCTCTCAGCGGCTTTTGATACCATCGACCATGGTATCATGCTGCAGCGGTTGAGGGGGTTAGGAATAGGGGGCACCGTTCTGCGGTGGTTCTTCTCCTTCCTCTCCGACCGCTCGCAGTTTGTGTTGGCAGGGGGACAGAGGTTGACCTCGAGGCATCTCGCATGGGGAGTGCCGCAAGGGTCAGTCCTCTCGCCTCTCCTGTTCAACATTTATGTGAAGCCGCTGGGTGAGATCATCCGTGGTTTTGGGGTGAAGTGTCATCTGTACGCTGATGATACTCAGCTGTACATCTCTACCCCAGACCACCCCAACGATGCCCTTGATGTGATATCTCGCTGCCTGGAGGCCGTGCGGGTCTGGATGGGGAGGAACAGGCTCAGACTCAACCCTTCCAAGACCGAGTGGCTGTGGCTACCGGCGTCCCGATATAGTCAGCAGGTGCCATCGCTGACTATTGGGGGTGAATCCTTGCCCCCCACAGAGAGGGCTCGCAATCTGGGTGTCCTCCTGGATGCACGGCTGTCTTTAGAAGAGCACATGACGGCCGTGGCCAGGGGGGCCTTTTATCAGGTTCGCCTGATTCGCCAGTTGCAGCCCTTTCTGGATCGGGACGCCTTGCGCACGGTCACTCACGCCCTTGTCACCTCCCGGTTGGACTATTGTAATGCTCTCTACATGGGGCTCCCCTTGAAGAGCACTTGGAGGCTCCAACTGGTCCAGAATGCGGCCGCGCGGGTGGTTATGGGTGCAACTCGTTGCGCCCACGTGACACCCCTCCTGCGCGAGCTGCACTGGCTCCCAGTGGTCTTCCGGGTGCGATTCAAGGTGTTGGTTACCACCTTTAAAGCGCTCCATGGCATAGGACCCGGGTACCTTCGAGACCGACTTCTGCCACCAATAGCCTCCCACCGACCAGTCCGCTCCCACAGAGAGGGTCTCCTCAGGGTGCCATCGGCCAAGTTATGTCGGCTGGCGACACCCAGGGGGAGGGCCTTCTCTGTGGGAGCCCCAGCCCTGTGGAATGAACTGCCCCCGGAAATACGTAAGATCTCCGACCTCCGAGTGTTTCGCTGCGCTCTGAAGACCCTGTTGTCCCGCCAGGCCGGGCTATTAACATAACGTTTTAAATTGGGGTATTTTAAATTTCTGGGATTTTAATTGGAGCCTAATTATTTAATGATTTTAAATTTTAACTGTTGTTTTGTTTCTGTGTTTTTTAAATAGGCTGTACACCGCCCTGAGTCCTTCGGGAGAAGGGCGGTATGAAATAAAATTATTATTATTATTATTATTATTATTATTATTAAAAAAGCCGCTCGCTTAAACTACGGTGATGATTTTTATTATTATTATTATTATTATTATTATTATTTCTACAATCTCTTCAGCCGAAAAAATGCTTTTAAAAGTAAAAAAAAAAAACCTCTGATGATCCCAGCTGAGTTGCCTGATCGTCAGAGGCATTTAAAAGAAAAAAAGTCTCTGCTGATCAGGCAACTCAGCTGGGATCATCAGAGCCTTTTGAAAGCATTTTTTTAGAACCTCTTCCCCGAAGAGGTTGTAGAAAAATGGTTTTAAAAGTTAAAAAAAAATGCCCATGCCCACCCAGTCACATTACCCCCCCACCCACCAAGCCATGCCCACAGAACAGGTAGTAACAAATTTTACATTTCACCACTGCCTGAAAGGACCCATTTCCCAACTCTTGGTGGGACAGGAAGTGATGTTTTTTGCTCTCCTCAGCCTCCAGAGCCTCTCTAGGAGTCTCTGGAGGCTTGGGACAGCAAAAAAAGTCACTTCCTGTCCCACCAAGAATTGGGAAATGGGCCCTTTCAGACCTCCGGAGGGCTTTCGAGGGAGTGGGAAAGGCTGTTTTCACCCTCCCCAGATGCATAGAGAGGATCTAGAGCCAGGTAAGAAAGAAAAACGGGCCTTCCCCACCCGCCCAGGCCCTCCGGAGGCAGGAAACAGCCTGTTTCCCTACTTCTGGTGGGCCCAGAAGGCCCGAAAATCAGCTGGCCAGCGTGCGCATGTGTGCCAGAGCTGAGCTGGCGTGCCCACTGATAAGACTATGCGTGCCACAGGTTCCCTGTCACGGACCTATAAGGTCCCTTTCAACTCTGCTAATCTGTTAAATCTGTTAAATCTTCCCAATTTCAGGTATAATCTTTCTCCTAATTTGCGCCCTTTTTTTTTTTTTTGCAAAAGTTTTCCTTAGCAAACGGACCATTTCCTCTGGTCTTGGAAGTCATTCTCGAGTGACGCAAATTGCCTTCTTTTTTTTTTTTTTTTACAATTCTATTATTCCCTCCGTTAAAGCTGTTTATGGGGAAGAAGGATGCCTTCCCATTTCACAGTCCACAAAACCAGCCCGCAGCATATGCGCCAACTTTGGAAAATGAGTTTTTTATGGGTGCATTTTTTTTTTTTTTTGGCCTCGGTTCGTTCGGTTCGTAGCTAGCTTTCTGAACAGATTGCTGAAACGGTCTTTTGTATGCTTTTTACCCAGAGATAGATGGTATCCCAAATAAAGCATCTGCCGTCTTGTTGTTTGTTAGGAATGGAAAACGTTTCTCCAAAACGAAGGACGAGACGGAGAAGAAGACGTGACTTTACGGGCGTATCACTAAATCACAAGCGATTGGGTTTGTATGGTAAGCCAGGTTAAGCAAACTGCAATACGGTTTTAGCTCAATGAGTGAAGTGTCCATTGGTGATCTATTCAATTAATCTAAATTATGGTTTAGTGCAGGGGCTTTCAGCCTTGATAATTTTTGAGAGTCAACCCCCAGAATTGTTCAGCCAGCATGGCATAGCTAGGGAATTCTGGGAGTTGAGATCCACAAATCAGAAAGATTAGATTAGATTAACAGAGTTGGAACGGACTTTCCAACCCCCCCTCCAAGCAGGGGACTCTACACCATTTCTGACAAATGGCTGTCCAATCTCTTCTTGAAAGCCTTCAATGATGAAGCTCCCACAACTTTTGAAGGCAACTTCTGTTCCATGGGTTGATTGCTCTCACTGTCAGAAAATTTCTCCTTATTTTTGATCAGTTTCCATCCATTGTTCCTTGTCTGGCTTTCGGGTGCTTTGGAAAATAGGTGGACCCCTTCCTCTCTGTGGCAGCCCCTCAAATATTGGAAGGCTGCTATCCCCTGGTCCTTCTCTTCACTAGACTAGCCATGCCCAGTTCCTGCAACCGTTCATCGTATGTTTTAGTGTCCAATCCCCTAATCATCTTTGTTGCTCTTCTCTGCACTCTTTCTAGAGTCTCAACATCTTTTTTTATAGTGTGGTGACCAAAACTGGATGCAGTACTCTAGGTGGGGTCTTATTAAGCCTTTATAGAGTGGTATTAGTACCTCCCTTGATCTTGCTTATATCCCTCTGTTAATGCAATTTAGGATTGCATTGGCTTTTTTGGCTGCTGCTGGACACGGCTGGCTCATATTTAGCTGGTTGTCCACTAAGACCCCAAGATCCCTCTCATAGTCAATGCTATTAAGCGTGGTTTCACCCAGTCTATATGTGTACTTTTTAAAATGTCTTAAAAATGGCCAAGTTTGGAGATCTTTGCTCTAGTGCAATCTATGAACCTGGCCCTCACTCATACAGGTAATCCTCAATTTACGGCTATGATTGAGCGCAAAATTCATGTTGTTAAGTGAGAAATTTGTTAAGTGAGTTTTGTCCCATTTTACGACTTTTCTTGCCACATTTGTTAAGGGAATCCCTGCACTTGTTAAATTATTATTATTACTATTACTATTACTATTACTATTACTATTACTACTATTATTATTATTATTATTATTATTATTATTATTATTATTATTATTATTTGCTTTAATTTATATGCTGCCCTTCTCCGGAGACTCAGGGAGACAATGCGTTAAGCAATAGCCTTCATACTTTTGTATATTTATACAAAGTCAGCTTATTGCCCCCACAATCTGGGTCCTCATTTAACCTACCTTAGAAAGGATGTAAGTCTGAGTCAACCTTGAGCCTGGTGAGATTTGAACTTGCAGTAATTGCAAGCAGCAGATGTTAATAACAGTGCTTTAGTCTACTGTACTACAACCCTCTTAAATTAGTAAGAGGGTTGTTAAATGAATCTGGAGTCCCTGTCACAAGGTCATAAAAAGAGATTGCACGACTCCAGGACACCGCAACGGTCATAAATGTGAGTCAGTTCTCAAAATCCGAATGTAAATCATGTGTCTATGGGGATGCCTCAAGCATCATTAAGTGTGAAAAGCGGTCATAAGCCATTTTTTTTCAGTGCCCTTGTAACTTCGAATGGTCGCTAAACGAACTTAATGAGCTTAACAACCATGGTAAAAAGAGGTTATAAAATCAAGTGTGATTTACTTAACAGCTACTTTCATCATCATCTTTTAATGACCCCATAATCCCTTGCAGGGTGGACTCTAGGCAACTGAATGGAGCTGAGTGTTTACTGGCCGGATGCCCTTCCTGTCACCAATGCGGAGCTAAATTCAGCAAATGTAATCTCAACGTGCCCAGAGAGAGAAATATCTGCCTCTACCTAGGATCGAACTCACAGCCTCCTGATTGTGAGGTGAGAGCTCCACCTCTAGGCTGCCGCACCATTCACTTAATAGCTGCCATGCTTAGCAATAAAAATTCTGGCACTAACTGTAGTTGTAAGTTGAGGACTATCTGTGTGTGTCCAAGTAAGGACTGGAATTCACAATCTCCCAGTTCCTCGTTCAGCACCTTCACAACTAGATCAATTTAAAGAGCTGACATTGTGGTGTAATGAAAATAATCTCACACTTAACACCCCAAAAACTAAAGAATTTATAATTGACTTCAGGAGGAAGAGAGATGTACATCTACCATTGTACATAAATGGTGAGGAGGTGGAGAGGGTGGGTAGTTTTAAATTTCTGGGCACTTATATCTTGGAGAACCTCTCATGGACTATGAATGCTAACATGCTTGTGAAGAAGGCACAGAAGAGGCTGTACTTCCTGAGAATGCTCAGGAAGATCAATCTATCTCAGCATCTACTTCTGTCCTACTATCGCAGCACCATTGAGAGTGTCCTGACATACGGCATTCTTGTATGGCATGGGAGTAGCTCTGTAGTGGACAAAAAAGCTCTACAGAGAATCATTAAAACTGCCCAAAATATGATCGGACTCCAGCTACCAGCCCTGGACGACATCTTCGAATCTCGCTGTTTGAGGAAGTTACATAACATTCTCAGAGACTCTTCCCATCCTGCTCACAATCTTTTTGGACTTCTGGCAGAAGATACAGAACAATTTAAAACTCGGACCACACGTCTTCTGAATAGTTTTTATCCCAGAGCTATAATTGCACTCAACCATAAACTAAAGGGCCACCGTCAGTGAGCTGTTGGACAGCATTACTTGGTCTGTTGTGTGGATGTTTGGGTGGTTTAGGGGTGGGGAATTGTGGTGGGTGGGAGTGTGTTTGAGGATTATGTGTGTGGGACCTGGTCTTTGGATGTCAAGTAAATTTCGTTGTATGTGTATACTGTGTATACACATACAATGACAATAAAGTTTATTTATTATTTATTTATTTGAACAAAAACCAGAAAGGAAGCTTTGGATCACCAAAAGAAGAGCAATAAGAACAGAAACTAACAGTTCTCAAAACTGCACGTCGATTGAAGTCATGGACCGATCCAGATTTTTCACTAGAATAGTTTTATGGAGCTGAAAAGTGCCGACTCTGTTTTTTTCATTTCCGCAGATGATGCGCAGATTTACGCAGCACTGACACTGCGTAAAAGACAATCGACTGGGAAATAATCATTTTTAAAAAATATTATTTATTGAATATTTATATCGTCCGACTCTCGGCGATTCCAGGGGTTCACAAATAAAGACGCAGAAAAACAATCAAACAATACAGTAGCACAAAGAAGGAACAAAAGATGCAAAATGCAAGTAGCCACGAGAAACAATTCCACACAAAACAGGAGGGGGCTACATCCCCATCCTAGGCCAAAGCCTGGGGGCCAAGTCTTCAAGGTCCTCCAAAGCATCAAGACAAGGGGGGGGGGGGCGGGATCCGGGGGGGGGGACTCATTCCAGAAGGTAAGGGCTGTGACAGAGATGGCCTGCTTCTGGGGGTCCCAAAAGATCGTATTGTTTAATCAAAGGAAGCTAAAAGCAATAGCACTTAGACTTTTATATCACTTCACAGTGTTTTACAGCCCTCTCTAACCAGTTTTAAAGAGTCAGCCTCTTGCCCCCGACAATCTGGGTCCCCATTTGACCCACCTTGGAAGGACAGAAGGCTGAGTCAACCTTGAGCCTGGTGAGATTTGAACTGCCAAATTGCAGGCAGCTGGCAGGCAGCAGAAGTCGCCTGCAGTACTGCACTCTAACCACTGCGCCACCAGGGCTCAAGAGAGCGATAAATCTGTTGGATCAAAGCGGCTAGGTAGATATTATGGAAATACGGTGGGTCCTCGGCCATGTAAGGCTTTATTGGTCACCACCAGACTCTTGAGTTGCACCTGGGTGACCAGTGCGGCTCATGAAGCAGAAGTGTTTACATGGGCATACTGAGACATATACATCCATCTGGTGCATTCTGGAAGAGGTGAAGCTTCCGGGAAGTGTTCAAGGGCTGCCCCATACACAACAAGTTGCAGTAGTCAAGCCACCAGGTGTCTAGGGTGACAAGCAGTGGTGGGTTGCCCCTGGTTCGGACCGGTTCACAAGAACCGGTAGTAAAACCAGTGGGAGGCTCCGCCCACCAACCCGGACATCATCAGGAAGTTTCTGCGCATGCGCGAGCGGTCCCATTGCGAACCGGTAGTAAAGGTATGTAGAACCCACCCCTGGTGACAAGATAGCTGTCTGAAGGGACTCCTAAGGTTCTAGGATAATGAAGAACAGTTTGAGATTTCCTTCTGTGCGGTATCTTTTTATGGAATAGGAAAGAGAGATGATATCCAGTCTGCATTTTCTTGTTATGAGATTAAACTTGCCCAATTCCTTCCATCTTTTTTTGAAGGTCTATTTCTGGTCCATCATCATCTCTATTGCCTTTCCCTGAGCAATTCTGATTTTCCTCAAGTTCCTTCCACAGGAAATTTTGGATTGGCTGCTAGTATTACTTGCATTGCTCTGAGAAGGTGGCCCATCACTTACTGCTTTTTAGATCTTCAAGGATTTCCAAAACTTATGAGATAAATATAAGTTTCTCGTCCAGGATCTTCCATAACACATCCATTTCTTTCTTTACAAAGCAAAGGAGAAAAGCGTGGATTATCTTTGATGATGGATTATTAACCTTATATCAAAGCTAGATGGCCATCAGGAGAAAGAGGAGACCAATGGTCCCCAAACCGAGGAGAGGAACAAGGCTTTTGCCTGATGCTGACGAGCTCAGCATGTCTTCAGTCAATGCCAAGGAGCCATTGTTCAGTTCCGGCTGGACTCCTAGAAGCTTGCACATCAGAGGATAGATGTGGATGCTGTCGAAAGGTTCAGCTAAATACCCCTTCTTGAAATCGGGACCGAAAGCTCTAAAGATGGTCTTCATGTCCATGTCTTCGTTGTCAAAACCATGGTCCCCCTTGTTGATGTAGAGAATAAACCTCTGAAAAGGAAACCATTGGAAGAAGCCATCTTAATAACGTAGCTATTTTAAAAGTAAAAGATTGCTAAATGCTGCAGGACTATTTTAAAATCTGAGAAAAGATTAAAAATAGCATCCTTTTCCCTCCCTCCCTTCCTCCCTCCTTCCCTCTCTCCCACCCACCCACCCTTCCTCTCTTTTTCCTTGTTTTCCTTCCTCTCTTATTCTTTGTTTTCCTCCCTCCCTTCCTATCTCCCTCCTTGTTTTCCTCCCTTCTTCCTTCCTTCCTTCCTTCCTCTCTTTTTCCTTGTTTTCCTTCCTCCCTCTCTTCCTCCTTGCTTTCCTTCCTTCCTCTCTTTTTCCTTGTTTTCTTCCTTGTTTTCTTCCTTCCTTCCTTCCTTCCTCCCTTCCGCTCTTTTTCCTTGTTTTCCTTCCTCCCTCTCTTTCTCCTTGCTTTCCTTCCTTCCTCTCTTCTTCCTTGTTTTCCTCCCTCCTTCCTATCTCCCTCCTTGTTTTCCTCCCTCCCTCCCTTCCTTCCTCTCTTTTTCCTTGTTTTCCTCCCTTCCTCCCTCCCTCCTTGTTTTCCTTCCTTCCTCTCTTCCTCCTTTGCTTTCCTTCCTTCCTCTCTTCTTCCTTGTTTTCCTCCCTCCCTTTCTATCTCCCTCCTTGTTTTCCTCCCTCCCTCCCTTCCCTTCTGCTTTCCATAAGGGCAAACCAATGATTAGCGGAAGACAGTCTGGAAGATCTAACTCTTTACACAGTCCCACTGACCAAATTCAGCAACCTTCTGGACTCACTACCTTAGTGGCCACTACATGTCACTGTTGCTCTACTCAAAAACGGCCAATGCGAAGAGCAAAGAGCCTCCAGCTTAAAAGTCATCTTAGGTGTGTAGCCCCGGAGATGCGAAGAGGGGCTTTTGAGCTGTGTGATGGGCAGTTGGCAAAGTGGGCTTGACAAGCCAATGGCATTTGGAGACCTTCTCATACCCTAGAGAAGAAGCTCACGCCTCTGGTCTCCGGTGTCATGTCCAGATCTTCTCCTTGCCATGCTAGCAATTCAGAAGCGGGGAAGAGATTTTACATGGAGGGTTAATCCATGTACTCCAGAGGTGGGTTTCAGGAGGTTCTGACCAGTTCCGGAAAACCGGTAGCGGTAGTAAAAATTCTGACTGGCCCCGCCCCCGTCTATTCTCTGCCTCCCGAGTCCCAGGTGATTGGGAGGAAATGGGGATTTTGCAGTAACCTTCCACTAGTTTGGAGAGGGAATGGAGATTTTACAGCATCCTTCCCCTGCCACGCCCACCAAGCCACGCCCACCAAGCCACACCTACAGAACCAGTAGTAAAAAAATTTCTGAAACCCATCACTGATTGTACTCCCCACTGATCTGAAATATTATACATTTCTCCTGCTTTGAGCAGGGGGCTGGACTAGAAGACCTCCGAGCTCCCTTCCCGCTCATTCGTTCTTATTCTATTCTATTCAAGTGCTGTGATCCACTGCAGTTTGCAGATTTCTGGTTGTTGGTTTTTTTTTTTTGTTTTGTTTTTTTTTTACATCTGCAAGCACTGGCATGGTTATGGATGATAAGGACCGAGGAGAGCATTCAGAAGGAAAGGTCACCAACTGAAAGTGAGGAATTAAAAAGCCCATTATGCAACGGCCACCTTTCTGTGTGAAATTGCATTTTATTGTTTATTGATCGGCTGAGGATGTCAGAGCCTTCGGGGGAGGTGAGGGGGGAGGAATGTGAAATGCTAATAGCGGTTAATAGGCAAAGGAAAGAATGTTTTAAAATGAAAAGGGTTTACATTGATTTCTCTTGCAACGAGAGTTAATGTATTAACAGGACTTCAATATTAAGACCGGGGAAATGCGACCCTTTTTTTTTTAAAAGACCGGGGTGAACTTTTGGAATCTCAGAAGTGAGATCAGAATTGAGACTCTAGAAAGAGTGCAGAGAAGAGCAACTGGATTTGAACTGGATATCAATAGGGTGGGAGTTGAAGAAATCTTGTTTAAACAGAGGGATACAATCAAGATCAAGGGAGGTGCTAATACCAC